TATTGCTTTTCATTTAATTTTAAGGGTAACTGTATGTTCTTTTACATTTAGCCAAATTACTGCAAGAAAGATTTTTTTCAGTGTGATATTTATTTTGTTTTTTTTTTTGCTAGGCCTCTTCCTTTATGGCATGCCATGGCTAAAGAAGCATACAAGGACCATCTACTTGCCACCAAGGTAACGTTGTGCATATTTATCTAAAGCTTTGATCACTCAAAACTTCAATTACTCATGAAATTTTGCTTTGACTGTATTCTTTTAGCATCAGTTTGTTTACTTGGACATAGCAGTGGGCCATCAAAAGATTGGACGACTGTTGATTGAGGTATCTGCATAGATATATCATCCAGATTTCTATTTTTTTGTTTGTCTGAAGTTTTTCCTGTCCAAGAGAGTTTCACATACATGCTCAGCGAGGAGGTATACTTGCTGCTCACAGGAAGAAGATTAGTTTCTTTATAACCTGGAGCTTGTTTCACAAAAGTCCTACTAGTTACTGGTTCTGAGAAAGGAGATATTTGTTTGTAGTGTTTACATTCAAGGTTGAGATATGGATAGCTCTGAAATTTAAACTATAAAGATATCAGCAAATGAAACAGAGTAAGACGTACTCTTGTATTTCTTAATTTGAGAATTTGGAAGATGTCTCCCAGCCCTTAAGCTCATATCTATCAAAAGGAAAAAGTGGGCTATTAATTAGGATGTGCCTGTGGGAGAGAGAAAGTTGAATAAAGTACAGACACAGCTTATACAGGGACAAGCGGAACAAAGACATATTATATTATGAGCCCTTAATTCTAATGTACAGTTCCTTTTCAACAGTTGTTCTCTGAAAGACTACCTAGGACATGTGACAATTTTCGTGAGTTGTGTGTAGGAAGTCAGACTGAATCAGTACGGCATGATCCTCCTCTGAAGCTGTGGTACAAGAACTCAATATTACACAGAATAGTTCCTAATGGCTGGATACAAGGCGGAGGTAATTGCAATAGAGCACATTTTACATTGTATGATAGTAATAGTAGGTACTAGAATGAGACGCTCTTTAGTATATCGCAATATTCCATGTAATTATGTTTATTTTTATGAACTGTGAACTCTAAGCTTGCATAGAAATTTCTGTCAAGCAGAAGCTTTAGAGAGTGAGTGGCTGAATCAGGTGGTAACTTAAGATCAAATACTGTGAACTTTGAGGAATTGACAGCCCTAGGAAAAGCCATCAAAATAAAGAGAAGACTTATCTTTCAGTCAAATGTTTCTTGTCTAGTTTGTGAAAATGACCAGTCAACTTGCATAGATGTTGGTTGTAAGACTTCTCTAGCTTAAACTGATTATTGAGGAAGAAAGTTTTCCAAGAAATTGCTTGTGCCTTAGTTGATTTTCCATTGCTTTCAACTTTTCTGTGCATTTTAAAACTCAGGCACACCTGCGTGCACCCTATTGCATCAAATTCTTGAAACTTTCTCCAATCTTTCTGGCTTTGGTATTCTGTTTGAAGTTCTACCACATTGTAGATTATTGCGTTAGACCAAGGCTGAAAGTTTTAAAACGTTTGTGTTGGAGTGTTGGCCAGAAGTTCTATTTACGTCTGAAAGCATTCAGATTGTTTGTGCACCTAATTGAAAATCATTTTCTGTAGGAGTGTTGAGGAAAGATAACAATATTTATTTTGTGTTCTAGATATAGAAGGAGGAAAAGGAACCGGAGGAGAGTCAATATATGGACCCCTTTTTGAAGGTAATTGTAGGGGGTCGTGTTAGTGACGTAGGAAACTTTTTCACAACATATTAGGACTAAAATAAAAGTTTTTAGGGGTGGAGAAACATAAAAGAATATGGAATATACCAAATAGGATCGAAGATGGGTAAGAATGAAGATGATCGAAACGGATTATCCCATTAACAACTTAGTGAGAATAATAGCCATTTTATTGATTTCTTTAAGACGAAGAAGGGGAGGAGAGTGTGTAACGCAGGCTATACGCTTACACTTAACAAAGGTTTGTCTCGTCATGCAATGTCAATCGACCAGTTAGAATGCTGCGTTCGTGTATACACACAGGAAATTCGAAATTCAATTTCTTGTGAAGAGGCACTCCTTGAGAGGCTCTCGCTGGTTCCCAACTCACTCGTGTGAAAGGACACGCAAAATCCACACATATGAGCCTGCTCGCTTGCTGTGAAGAAGGCAGTAAGAAGTCTTATAGGCGGCGGTGGACCGCTGGTAACAGTCTTGTCGTGAAACCCCTGCCTTATAGACATTCTTGTCTGTACATAGTTCTGTTTTTTGATACCCTTCCTTTATTTGTTGTCGTTTCTAGATGAGGACTTTTCCATACCGCATGGAAAGAGAGGTATTGTGGGTATGGCCAACAGGGGCCGGCATACAAATGGATCTCAGTTCTTTATCACGTTACAGCCCGCTCCTTGGATGGACACGAAATATGTTGCTTTCGGGTAAGAATCACAGCTCTATGTATTAAAACATGGAAAATCACTGCCCTTTTGCTTTTGTTAAATATTTCTAAAAAAAAATCAGAAAAATGAAAGCGTGACCTTGCAACCGCGTTACCAGACTCTTATCTAACCACACCTATCAACGAATGAGAGGGCGCTTTATGTATTAGATATCCTATCAATTGAACTCTAGAAGTCTGCATTTACTCTGTACTTTGGATTTCTAATGATAGAAGTCAAATGAAAATGAACAGTTTAAGTTAGCTAGGTAAAACTAACTTTGGGCCGCCGCTCTTATTCGTAGACAAGTAATTGAGGGTACAAGAGTTCTTGACGAACTGGAAAAACAAGAGACGTTCAACGAACGGCCCAAGTCCACCTGTGTAATTGTGGATTGTGGAATATTCGATGTGGAACGCCTTTGGGACACCTCTAGATAGATAAATTACTTTGAAATCAAAGCAATCCTTAATTCACTCTGAATCACTTACAGCTGCTAGAAAAAGGCAGCTGCACAGATTACATAGCTACATTAGTTCAGAGGTTGTTAGTGCAACAAAATTTCCAACAGAGTTATTATTTTGAAAGCAAAGGAACACGTGATATTTAATTTTCATGAAATTCGAGCCTAGCACCTTATGGAAACCTTAATGTGCAATTTGGAATGTTAGTGACTTGCACAGAATCTTTTCCTATTTTTCTGTTGCGTGTTTATAGGGATTACTCTTGGCAAAATTACTCAATGAGAAGTCGACTGAAAACAACGTAGTCAACAGGTTATTACACATCATGCCACAACAATCGATTCTAATTATTTGTGTACTTGATATACATTTTTGAAGTGAAATTGTGAGTTATTTAAAGGGAACCGCGCGTACATATAGTTTGCAAAAGGCGAGTATGAAAAAAGGGAAATGTAATTTTTTTACGAAACTGTAACTTTTATTATAATTCATCTTCCTGTACTTTTTCACGGTCATTTCAAGAGGTTTCAATTGCAGAGAGGAATGAAAGATGTCTTTCTTACTTGTATTGTATTATAGTAACCCAACTATAAGATTTTAACTGATGCAGAATTATGTTTTGAAAGATTACGAATAAAGATCACTCTTGGACAGAAATACGTGTCAGCGAGTATCTATAAAAGTGGGAGGAGAGGTAAAGCAACTATGTTTCAAGCTAATTATACCTATGGATCGTTTTTCATCTAATTGGTTACCAGCTATGCGCAAACCTTTTGGGAAAAAAAAAGAGAGAATTTACATGAGGAAAAAGTGCAAATCCCACAGCACTGAGTTGATGCACCAACATGGCCGCCATTTTATTGAATGCGTATTCGAAATTTTCGCTCGCATCCCTGCGGGCTGAAGGACTTGGCACAGGTTCACAACGTGGAATCAGGGCGTGTCACGTCAGGGAAAGGCTATTGGGAAACTCACGGGCGGAGCAGGAGTGAGGGAAATTAAAACTCTCTGTGTTGGAGAAACACACCAAGCAAATTGTCGCCGGTCATGAAAGACATTGAACCAGTGAATCTCGATTTGACACCTTTCAAAGAACCTCAAGGGGTTCGAGATTATCTTGTCTCCCGCCCGCTCAGTGACTCTTTAGACTCGCCGAACCATCCGCTTTGAGGCGATGAGAGCCCGCGCCCTTATCCTGAAAGTTGAAAATTGCGAATTTTACAGGTAAGATGGCATCACTTCGAGAGGCATCGAAGACTGGACTGACCTACGTCTATGCTGGTTAAGTTTTCCTTAGTGTAGGTGATCCTCAAGCACAGAATTGTTTGATTTAGAATAGTTCCACTAGAAAATAGCCCTCGCAAGTTGTAAATATGGCGTCCATGAAAGATTTAAACGAAACTGAATATCTTCCTTTGTTATGGTGAGATTTAAACTTTCCCTCCCATCCCATGCAGCAAAATTTAAGGATGCTGAATTCTTACGCTCTGTAGCCTAGTCTTCGATAACCATGGTAACGCTGGTGTTAACAAAGTGTCTGTTTCAGTTAAGAAGATAATCAGTAATCTGCTAGAAAGGTCTTTTTCTCGATAGGAATAGCGCTTGAGTCAATTTCTTTTCAAACTGAATGTTGCCGGGTTAATTGCGCGTCAGGAAAACTCGTTCTCACGTACCTCTAAACTTATGATAAACTTATTTTCAAATTAAAGTGCAGTACTTCTATATTTAGGAAGTAGTGATCCATGATTATTGGTTAAGATAACCGTTCATCTTGTTAAAAAGTACATACGTTAAATGTTACGATAGTGGTTCCGTCGTGAAATGACACGAGGTTTCTCGGTTTGGCACGTACCGCTTCGACCGCTTAGAAGGGTGAATAGCAGGCGTTAGACTTAGTAGATCAACTTATTTTGAAATGAGACTTCTCGTTGAACTGTTTGCGTTGCTGTTTGTTGCTGTAACTCCAATCAGCTATTTTAATTGGGTCCTGGTCTTTCGTGAAAGTTCTAACAAAGGCATAAATTTTACGGGCGATTACCTTCATTTTGCCTCGCTAATGAATAAACTCTCTCTGAACTTATTTCTTTACCATTGAATGCGTCTTTCATCACAGCTGGAGTATATCAAGGAATCTGCGTTCAAACCAATTCAATCAACTTATTTTAACTCAGGATCAACACATCGACATGTATAACGGATCAGAAACAACACCAGGGTTTTATCTTCTCGTAAGGGTGAGTGAACTTTCGATGATCAATTAAATTACAAGAAATATGTAAGCTAGTTAAACAAATATAGAACTGAATACTTATCACGTAATGAGCACACGAATGCAACTATTTGTTTTAAATACCTCTCAAACCTTTAACTATTAGTTTTCGACGAGCCAGAAGTAGGTCCGAAAGAGTAGATAGCAATTAAGTTATTTCAGAACTTATGAAGTAGCTTTGTACTTTCTAGTAATAAATTTGTCACATGTACAACAAAACATGCTCGAATCAAATGGAAACAAACATTGATCGTGCATTTCAAACGTGTCGATTACCAGTAAAAATCCGTTTCGAGTTTGTCTCGCTGCATAAAACCCTGAGTCCTTTCAAGTGACACAATGGATCGAAATTAACGTAATCTTTTCATTAATTACTGTCAAAAATGCCCCATGTAAGATAGAATCACTTCAGCAAAATGGTATCAAAGTAATAGGGATACATGCATGGTTGATTGCAAAAAATCCTATCGATAAAACCAATTTCGGCAAAAAGTTTTTCAATCAGATTGAAAAATTGTCTCTTTAAATTGGTGCATTTTGACAACTGATGCGATCAGCCATGAACCTCGTGGGAAATTTATCCATCTGAGTGCGCTATATTGTTTCTGTGCACGTATAGTCCAAGATGACGTCAATATAAGCAATCTCTGGAAATAAAACATCATGCCCACGCTAAATACGGTATTAATTAAACACAAAATAACAATCGCTATAAACACTTCACGTTAATATCGCCAGTCTTTTCTAGATAAAGCTTGGGTGATCATGAACTAACTCGGTGTAGAAATTCTCATCGAGACTATTGAAGGAGCCATAACAACTCTTAGATTGAAAATATCCCAGAACTCGCCGCCATTGAAGATTGGCATGGATATCTGCTTCAAACATACAGCCATGTGGGCAGATCCCTAACAGCGAAACGAAAAGGTGATAAATCAATGATAGAAATTTTCAGGACAATGATAATTATTTGTATAAGCCGCAACTGTAAGTCATCGGGGTAGTGTATTTTTGCAAAGCTAACGGAATACTCGTCACTGGCCACAATCTTATATTTTCAAATCATGGGAGGGTTTAAGAGAATAATCACTTTTTACCATGGGCGGTGGGGTAATCATCACAAGGTTCTCACTTCTTTCCTTTTCGCAGTCAGACATACTTTGAAAGGCAAATGTGTCCAAACATCTGCTCACTTCAAGGAGCGCTGTGCACCTCATGCATCAATGCATTCCATTTTGTAGCGCAGCAAAGATTTCACCTCAGATACCTATTCATTTCCAGGCTGCTGCGGACGAATCTTCCGTTGCGGCTTGTCCGCTGACCCACCAGGTTCGAATGATCTGCAAGCTGAAGAACATCGAGCCATTAATCATGCCCTTCAACATCCAAAAGAAGTCCAAAGAGTTTCTTGAAATCAATTCTACTGGGAAAGTCCCTGTTCTTGTTCATCAGCTTAATCCAGACGAGGCCTTGGTTCTTGATGATCCTCTACTCATCGCCAAGTATCTGGAGGAAAGGTTCCCGAACCCGCCTATCAGAAGTAACAACAGAGAGGCTATTGTCGCTGGTAGCAATATCTTCCAAAAATTTTGCGCCCTCATCAAAAATAATGACCCCGCAAAAGATCCCGGTCTTCAAACAGCCCTGCTGAAGAAATTGGAGGAGTTGAATTCCTTTCTGCTGGGCAGTGATAGTTCTTTTATGGAAAGTGATTCTTTGAGATTCTCCGACTGTAGCTTGTTACCCAAGCTCCTCCTCGTTCGCGTGGCTGCTAAAGAATTGAAGGGCCTGGAGATACCAGGGAAGTTCGAAGGAGTCTGGGACTATATTCATGCTGGCGAGAAACAAGTGGTGTTCCGGGACACGTGCCCGTCAGATGAGCTAATCAAAGAGCATTGGTCCAGGAAATTTGCAACTGTGCCTTTGTTAGAGGGCTACGAAAGAAAACTTTAGAGTGTTAGCGGCTAGATAACACAAGTTAAGTGCGGAACGAACATTTTAAGATAATGCTTCAAGAAGAACAACCGAGTCGCGTCTTCTATGAGGCTTGATAGACTTGATACCAGTACAATAAATTGGACTTACTTATCTTCATGGCATGCTCCCTCGTTTCCAAGCTTCCTCTCTATATCTTACGCGAAGAGATTCCTACGAACAAAGTCATAAAGTATCGTGGAGCTATAATAGTGATCCTCTGTAGATTCACTTTGATTAATTATCTTAACACACGGCTCTGCGCTGAAACACAAAGACTACCGCGATAACGGTTATTCTATCGAAGGAAAATCATAATTGGCTTCACTGATAAGCTTAAAAATATTCCTTAATTGCTCTATTACTTCTTTTATAGAAAAATCGACATCGAGCTTTGGCAGTTCAAAACAATTGGTCCCTTTATTGAAATTTCAAAGTGTTTGTATAATCGCCCGTTGTTTATGCACCATTAGCCTTGCGTAACAGTCGCTCTGGTAATTACACAATCTTAACCGCTAAATAGGATAATAAGTGTGAGCTTCAAATATATGGACGTGTCTATCATCTACGCCACTCCTAAATTGCTTCGTCGATCGAGAGACCTGAAGGAGAAGATCGAAGAATGACTGTAAATACCTCTTCAGTTGTCTAGGTACACAGTGCTGCTGCTAAAATTTGCTTGATTTACACGTAAAAATATTTTTGGTCTTGATAACTACACTGAACGTAAAATGTGGATTTGCATTTTCGTAACACAGGTCTTAAAATAAGTCGTTTCCAAATATAGCTTGTTCTGCTGTGCATAAGGCCGGTTGTCTGCTTTTCTTTCTTAATTATCGATCACTAAAACCAACGCATTTAAGAGGGGATTTAATGTCGTTAGCTCACTACCAGCTCACTCAACATTAGTGCCTTCCCTGGTGCGTTGTGGTCGTTTTGTTATCCATTCTGATGACATGGCCACAACTGCATAGGCAACTTCATTACTGGTATTATTTCAATGCTCTTTTACCTGTAAGAATTACTTCACTTTTGGCTTGTTCACTATGGTATATAGATGTTGTTGTTTGTTTCAGTTGTGACTAGGCCAGAAACAACTTATCAACGAAGTGAATGATTCAGAACTTTAAATGACTTAAACTTTAGTTCATTCGGAAACATGGAGAATTAAGACTTTTCTTCGCTGTTCGTTTAAAATACCAAAATGGTAAGATTTACCAGACCTCCAGGGGCCATATCGGAATCAGAAAGAGCCTCAGGGTTTTCGTTCGTAGATTCCTCGTATAACATCTGGAAACGAGTGGCTCTGGGAGCGAAAGTTAAAAAAAATATATGGCGTCGTAGTGTTAAATGGTCAAGGTTCCAGAAAACTTCTTCCGATTTTCTTCTGTGATAACGTTTCAAAGTTCATTTTCGTATGGGTCATCGGCTTTAAAAAGTTTCGTTGTGAGAATCGTTATTGTTTTGGAATTTTTTTCTTGGGCGTAGAAAATTTCTTTCAATTGACAATTTTTCTCTTCCTCTCCCCCCTTCGTATTCTTTTTATATTCACACGCGGCGCGCGTGATTTCACAAATTAGCCGATACGTCAAAGAACTCTAACCTTGACATTGGGAAACTGACGTGGACATTTTTCGCGTACTTTTATTTTGTTTTTCGTTAGTTAGTTGTTTTTGAGCTTTCATTCGCGTGAATCTGTTACTCCTTTGTTTGAAATTTTAAGAAGCTTAAGGGTTCTTTATTTGAGACAAATATTGTGGTTCATTCAACAAGTTTAATACACATTTTCTACGGAGTTTGGACTCTAACCTCATTTTTCGTAAATGGATTTTTTTTCATTGGGGATGTGGAGCTGTTAAAATTACGATTCGACGAGCCCCTTTAAGTAAAAAAAAATAGAAATACAGAGATAAATCTCTCTGCCATGCTTACTACATATGACGTATATTATGACGTCATTATGGCTAAACTATCACTCTTCAAGTCTGCCTCATAAATTAGAATCCCCACGTACTCCTCCCTGAAAATAAATACAGGACGGCGAGGTAGGCCTGGGTACGCGAATGGGTGCGCCATGAAATCAAATAGTTACTATCCTCATCGGTGGAGTTGAGCAGTTGTGTTGGTTGCGAGACTTCTGTACGCTCTATTTTGCTGTTTGTTTCCGAAATGGCTGATCAGGGGGAAATAACGCTGTATGTGAAGGTACTGCACATCTTCTGAAGTGTATATTTTGAGTTTTTTGGTGATGGCTTGTTCACTGATCATTTCGTTTGTCGTCCAACAGGCCTCGACCATCAATGATTCAGAGTTCGGAGCGGACGTTTTTGCTCAGAGGTTCATGATGATGTTTGTCTTGAAAGATGTGCGGGTCAACATCCGCCTCGTGGATGCGATTAAGAGTAGAAACATGAAAAAATTACCAGCTTTGAAGCTATTTGAAAACGACCCTGTGGAGGATCCCGCGGAAATCGAGGCCTTGATCGAAAAAATCTCTCCCGATCATCCATTGCGAAGCGCGAACGACGAAGTAAACCATCTTGTGTTTAAAGGTGCTGGTAGTGGAGTTTACCACAAGTTCAATCAGCTGGCGAAGAACACAGACCCAAACACAGATGAAAGGCTTAAAGCGAATCTTATAGAGGAACTTGCAGCGCTCGATACCTTTCTTCGTTCGAAAAAGCCCCAGAGATTTCTCGGTGGCGAAAATTTATGTCTTCCCGACTGTATCTTGCTTCCCAAATTGTTGCACATCAAAGTGGTGGCCAAAGTCTTCAAAGATTTTGATATTCCCGAAGATTTCGAAGGCATTCATAAGTACTTGGATGCAGCTAGTGGCAAAGAAGGAGAAACTCCAGATATCAATGTCGAAGCGTTCACAAGAACCTCGCCATCAGATGAAGTGATAGTAGATGCCTGGTCTCGATGGATGAAGGTTCCCAATCCTCTACAGAGGCGAAAGAAGCCTTGATGATCATCGATTTTTGCAGAGACAGCGGTAATAAATGTAGTCTTAAAAGAACTGGGAATTAGGTCTGTATTAACCATAATTTGTGTGGATTTTTTCCGGTTTTTGTGAGCCAGTAGCTTTGTAAACGGCATACAAAAGAACAGTGTGTGTACACGTGTTTTATTACGAGTTTGATATTTACATCAACGTATTAGTGATTTGAATTCTAAGCGAATGCAGATTTAGAGTCCCGAATTTTCCTCTTGCAGTCTATTCTAGATTTTTGCTCTGGGGAATGATTACATTTATTTTATTTTTTTCTATCGTAATATTCAAATCGTTAAGTTTTCAATTCCTATAAAAATGTAGCTTTCTTTCATTCGTGCGTTTGTACAAGACACATATTTGTTGTTTGTACTGCGGTGTTCCGGCGAGCCTCTCCCGCCGTAATTTTTAAGCCCTTTCGTCTCGGGCGAATTGCGATCGTCAATGAACAGGGATGGACACGCGAGCCTGTGTTTTTTTCTTCGTTGCTAAGGCAAAATCCTTCTAGAATGAGGTTGAACGTGTACTGTAGTGTGTCATATTCGAAATACCTCGCATATTGAGGCAAGTTTACTGTTTATTTTACTAATTTACCTGTGATTCTTGTTTCTAAATTATTGCTTCGACGCCAAAATTTTTACTATCACTCCCTCGGAAGGATTAGGCATGAACGGGATTCTTCGGGTGAGGCGTCATGGCTCCATTGTTATCATTGTTTTTTTCGATTTATCAATATGATCTGGCTCATATGGTTGGATGTTTTCATGTCACGGCAGGCGAGCAATGCCTTGCTAAATATTGTTTGCGATATTATGTCTTCGCTGTCAGATTTTCTTTGTGATTTCCCTGTAATCAAATCCTGCTGCATGGGTAACAATTGTGACAGAAGAATACCGATGTGGCGGCTCACCAACAATTGTTTTCATTTTTGTTAGGGCTTGTGCTGCTATTAATAGTTCTAAGCTATCTTGAGCGTAAGTTACAACAAAGATGGGTCAGCTAAACTTCAATAAATTTTTTGGGGATTTAATGAGGGCAGTTTGTTTGCTGTCTGTTGGCTCCCAGTGAGAGACAGCTAGTATTATTACAATCTGGTTGCCACAGTTGCATGACCTAACATATTGGAATGTTACCCTGGGTTTGTTTAAACTTGTATTTGTGTCCCTTGTCATGCTCTTATTCTGTGCACCATTTAGCACTGTTTACATAAGCACAGAAACAAAAGAACCATTATCTTCAAAACCCAGGGTGAGTGCATGATGGAGAGAATTTAATTTTCCTGTGAAAGTAAACTGCTTTGTGATGTTCTAAATCATATTATATATTTACCTTGTAAACTCACAAATTTTTGATTCTAGAAGACATTAGATAGGATAGACCAGAAGACTGAGATAATTGATTTCAAATGAAATTTAGAGAATATTTTATAACTCTTGCCCAAAAACTGCAGACCAAGAATGGTTTATAATGCAATAAAATTAAATCTTTCACTGATTGTGTAAATATTTTTGCCAAATACATGTGCACTATTGATCAAGAATGAAGTTAAGATACCAGTAGTAAGAATATTTTGTGTTTTTATGAAGTTATACTTGAATAACAGAGTTCCCAAAAATGGCAATATGCACAACCTAACTCACAGAAAAAGTTTACTGCCATAATCTTACATAGTAATGCCTACCCTTAAAATGAGGTACTTTTTACAATTTATTTGTCATTAGGGAAGAAGTATTTGGGAGGCAATTGCATCAACCTGACCCTCAACATGAAAGCAAGGCTCTGTCCTTAAATGGCTTCTTAAACTGTCTATTATCAACCAAATCTGAGTTAAATAGTTGCACATGAGAGTACTTGCTAAGAAATTTCAAAAGCAGCCTAAAAATGGTTATCTCATCGTCAGGTGACTTATCACTTGACAGGAAGTCTGTCTTTGATATCTTGATATTGAATGTAAACAAGATCAACAGTCCGCTTTTCACAACTGGTAATTACCAGGAGTTTCAAGAAACAGGTCCCAGTTATAGGAATGCATCCCTGGGAGAACAAGCCCATAAAAATAATTTTGAGATGCGAGCCCATCCTGTGCAAACATGGCCTAGAATTTTAGATAACAGGATGTACCAGATACCAAGAGCCGAATATAGATACATGCCTCTGTACAAATATTGTTTAACTGTAGGTTAATATCTTTGATAGTTTAAAACAGCTTCTCATATTAAATGACTTAATGCTGAATTGTATTTCCAAGTGGGCAAAATGAAGCAAATCCTGTGTCAGTTGTCAATTCTGACTGGATACCAGAGAGAGAGATAATGTGCTGTTTTTAGGTATCTCCTGACTTTTGAGAAAGCACACTTAATTTTGTTCCCTCAAAAAATGCAAAGGTCAAATTTAAAAGTAGTTGTAACTGAAAGAAAAAAGCTCAAACTTAAAAGTATTAATTAGCTGAAAGAAAAGTATTGCACGGAGCAGGCTATGTTCATTAACCCTCTAATGACCAAGCTTCCCTGACCAAGATGGATGGATATTTACCTCTTTCTTTTTCTTTGTTTTGTTTGTTTCTCTAAACCTAAAAATGACATATTTAACCCTTCTTACAAATATGGCCAGACCCAAGACAAGCACAATCTGGCTTCACAGCTCTGTTCCCAGAGAGCCCTTTAATGCCTTAGGTCACAAACAACTGCCCACTTCTGCTCCACTACTTTTAACCTTTCTAATGCCAAGAAGATGGGATAAACAACTAATTGTCTGGGAAATAATTTTTCACTGTTCACTGAAGGTGGATTGAGTGCCAGTTTCTTCTTGGGTTTTACTGAAAGGAATAATTAGTTACAGGACAGTAGGCCACCAATTTTCCAGTTTTCATCATTAGCATATCTGGTATTATCAGGGTAATTGCATTTTTTTTTTATCTTGTGTAGTGCACATCTGTTTTATAATTATATAAAACCGGTTGTTTTTATTTTAATTTTTTGGTGAAACAAGGCTGTACTATAGATCTAACTAAGATTTAAGGAGAAGTTTTGGAGAAGGAGAGAAAAGTATGTGATTCTCCAGCAACCTAGGTGGGCTATCACCGCAGTAAACCAATGCAAAGGACAGCCTAATGCATTAAAATAGCCACAAGTTTACTAGTACAAAAACAAGATTGGTTTTTGACCAGTCAGAAGGTGGGTAAGATCTCATCAATTTCATAAAACATTCAAATCCTCAACTAAACAACTCAGCAATCCTGGGACATAAATCCAAATCTCGAAATCTGGTCAAATCTCGACTTAGATAAGTCATACAGGTCTGCTACGAAAACTAGCCTTTCGATCTAAGAAAAACCAACATTCCCACTCCTTTTGACTTACTGTGTATATTTCAGTCTGAGAGTCGATGTCTTTCACGGAAGTGTTCCACGACCAGCGGTTTCAATACCTTTCGGCATACGTGGCAACACTGATTCACTCCTGACTGGGCAGGGGATGTTTAATTTTCAATAAAAATGAATACCTTTTTCAGCCTTAAAATACACGATATTTCTTTAGTGTGAGAAATTAAATACTGGACATAATTAAATAAGTTCAAGTGACAATAAAACTACGAAACGACAATATTTGAGGACATTTTTGGCATTAGCGTCAGATCTTTTGTTTTCGTCATTCCCCTCCCCTCCCCCCACCCTCAACCTCTGCTTCAAATGGAAATTTAATACTATTCCGATAGCATTAAGGGAAGGGAGAGCTAGCGTTTGTTAGTTGCGACAGTCTGGTGTGTCCTGATTTTTTTCTCTTTCCTTAAGATGGCCTTGAGCAGTGTTTTACGGCTAACGAGGATGCATGTTTTGGGATATCTGGTGATTGCAGTTTATTTAATACATTTAACAGGTATGTACGTATTTTGTCAAATCGACGTGTCCTCTTCACTGCTATAGACAACGTCTACTGTGTCGGTGAACTAAATTTGATTATCAGGAAATCTGGATTAAAATATTCGGACTATCTCTTTCAAATCATCACCATTTAAATTAGTTTGTTATGAACCATTAACATAGATTAGTCGGATCAATAATCGACAGCACGACCTGTAACTACTGTACGAATTTTATGCTCGCTTCAACAAGCGGCTGTCGACATAAAGCGATATACTCCATACAGCCGCAGTGATCGGAAAGATAAGGAAAATTTATTTGTACACTCAAAGTAGGCCTAATATCTGTTAAGTATAAAGTATATTTCAGTGTAGCTTTCTTGAAACAGAGTATATGCATCTGTATCTATGTTGGAAGTTTCATGTTATTCCAATAACTTCTTGGAATCTACACTTGTTACTGGGGACCATTTTTTCCTCAAAGTGATGTTTAAACGAATAAAAATGATAATCTGAGCGTGAACAAAATCCTTAACAGATCTATTGAAATGCGAAAGGAAGTAGGTGAGTTTTCAATATTTTTAATCAGCACTAAGCGTCAGCAAACACAGTAGTTTATGAATAATTCCAAAAATATTTGCAAGTGTCATTACCACGTCATTGGTGAACTAATCTCGTTTCACACCCGGAAAGTGATCCAACGTGACCAATAAAAATGTGAACAAATCTTAGGCATAATACAAATTTTTTGAGTTGAATTTTTATCAATTATTATAATTTGTTTCTCAAGGATTTATAAATATATATATATATATATATATATATATATATTGATTGTATATATATATATATTGATTGTATATATATATATATTGATTGTATATATATATATTGATTGTATATATATATTGAGATGGGAAAAGACAAAGAGACTATACTTTCATCTCTACAAACCTGTTTCATGGTTGCTCACTCATCAGGGGATTTTATTGTCAAGAATATTCATAACCATCGTTTCTACACTTAACAAATTTGCATAATAGGTGTGGCAGTAAATTTAAATGTATCATTCAGTTGTGCAGTTGGGCGTTGTTTCTGTGGCGGCATGAGGACACAACTTCATTTCTAAAGGGGTTAAGTTTCTAAAGAAAATATGGTGCTACATCAGTGGGAGTATAGCAGGTAATTTAGTGTTAACAACCAAGTTGAAAATCTTATCTGGCCACTGTAAAGAGTACAAAAGCTGACGTTTCAAGCATTAGCCCCTCATCAGAGCAATTGGCAGAGGGCTAACGCTCAAAAGGTCAGCTTTTTTACTCTTTACACTGGCCAATTTACGTTTTCAACTCAGTTGTTAACACTAAATTACCTACAAGTTCATTACGTTTATTGAATGATGATAGGTAATTTTTCTTTGAGTCAGAGGTTGCATCTTTTGCTAGCGCTGTTGAAGGGTGATCTTGATGAAAGGATGCACCATGAAATAAAGTGGTCAATGTTATTTTCTTTAAGGGTCCAGATATGTTTGCTGGGATTGGTAGAGTTTCTGTGCTATGTTTCAGTGGTGCTGCTGTCATGTGATGGTGGCTTGGTAGATTAGTGAATGTTCTTCTGTTAGCAGTTGCAAGTTTTGCTGTCTTTTGTGTTGGTGTTATATGCAGTGTCATTGATGTGTTTGGTTGAATTTAAAATGCGTTTGTTGTGGTTGTCGACAATCTGTTCCAGTAGATTGTTGTATGTTAACAGTTCTAGTTTGTAAAAGTTCATTCTTTTATCATTGCTGCTGACAGGGTGGAAACCACAGCAAAACGTTTGATCCCAGTGCACTCTACATTACACACCACCTACAACTAACAAATGGAAAAACAGACAATGGAACAACATACTCTGGTACAACCCCCCATTCAGCAAAAGCATCAGCACCAATATCAGACACAGATTCCTTGCCCTAGTAGACAAGCACTCCCCTAAAGACCACAAACTTAGAAAAATCTTTAATTGTAATACGATCAAGATCAGTTACAGCTGCATGAATAATAGTAAACAGACTATCAACAACCACAACAAATGTATTTTAAATTCATCCAAACACATTGACAACACCACATATAACACCAACATAAAAGACAGCAAAACTTGCAACCACGGACAGAAGAACCCATGCCCACTTAACAGAAACTGTCTCCAATCATCACTAATCTAGCAAGCCACTGTCACACATAAGGACAACAGCACCACCAAAACATACATTGGACTTACAGAAAACAACTTCAAGACTAGATACAGAAACCAAATCGCATCATTCTGACATGCAAAACACAGAAACTCTACCAATCCTAGCAAACATATCTGGACCCTTAAAGAAAATAACAATAACCACTTAATTTTTATGACGCATCCTTTCATCAAGATCACCCTACAACAGCATAAGCAAAAGATGCAACCTCTGCCTCAAAGAAAAATTACTTATCATCTGCCTACCTGAATTATCATCACTCAATAAACATAATGAACTTGTGTCCTCATGCTGCCACAGAAACAAAGCATTACTGCATAACAATTGAACAATGCATTCAAATTTACTACCACGCCACAAATTTGTAAAGTATATAAATGATGGCTACAAACATTCTGGGCAATAAAATCCCCACATGAGTGAGCAGTCATGAAACAGGCTTGTTGGGAGGAAAGTATAGTCTCTTTATTTTTCCCCTATCTCAATATATATCGCACTCTACTTCTACCTATTGAGCACTGTACTACAGAAAAATCCAAACACAGACCTCCTATATTTAATTTTTGTCAACTCAAAGGTTACCAGAATTTAGTTTGCCTAACTTCTTAAGGGATTTTCCACAATATGTCTTAACTCTATCCAGTTCTTGTTAAATTTGTTTAATTCTGGCTTTTGCAATTTTTTCTATGATGTTCATTTAACCATAATTTTTAATGGTTGTCACAAGTTGCCTACACTAACATGTGTTTGTGAAGTTTAATCTACTGCTGTCTTTCAAAAAAAATTTGACAAATTTATTTCAGTTGGAAGTGAATTTTGTGTGGTATTGCCCTTTCCAAAGGTTAAAAAAATGTATTTTTCTTTCTTATTGGTGGAACAGATTTCCACACCTGTTAACATAACTTGTAAAAAGCAAGATGTGATATACCTACACATATTCACTCTGATAGGTGGCATAATAATGATTACGACTTACAAATTGGACTTGTTTGTGTAAGATGAATGTGAAATTTCCTTTTCTTTTTTTTTTCAAGAGATAATTCCTGTGACCCTGTAAGGAATGAAGCAATTGAATTCAAATTATTTTGATCTCTTGAATATCACTGAGTCACGAGAAAATTTAGTGGCTAGCTGTAACTTGAAAGGCAGTCTGTACTAGACATATTTTTATTTCTAAATGAAAATAATGATCAATGCAAACTTTTTTCTTCTCAGCTATATCAGGTCAAACTACCACAGCAGAATCTATAAGCAATTCAAGTACTACTTCCACACCTAGTACAACTACAAGGATACTACCATCCACAACGACAACGCCCATCCCAAGTTCCACTTCAACTAAACCAACCCCAACAACAACATCAGCTCCTGTCACTACTGAGCCTGGCACAAAGGAAAGCAGTAGAAAGTTTGATGGTGCCTCATTTGTTGGAGGAATAATTTTGGGCACTTTTTTGACTGTGATTTTTATTTTAGTGTGCAAGTGGTGGCAGGGTAGGAATAAGAGCTATCACAGTTTGTGAGTCAAGCTGATGAGCTATGGAAGGCTCTGCTCATGCTGACAGTGAACTATGATATTTTATTGGCTGGTTTGCCATTTTGTATTTTTTGAGGAAATTTTATGGAGGAGGAAATGTGGGAGAGCATTTTATGGCTAGCTAATGGTAGAAGTGAATTATTCTGTTTCTTTTGGTTTGTATTGACTTACATGATGGATTACTCTGGGAAAGCAGGTCTACTTGAAGTTACATTAAAGAGTAGATGAAAAAAAGCCTTAGTGACTTCTGATTGACTACATTCTCCTTCCAAATTGTTTTGTAGTCTCTTGTGAAACAGATGGGAGAAGTAGATGTTACCTCAAAATCACTAAAGCCTTTTTTCCACACTTCGTTTCAGTCAAAAATTATTTCTGTCCATCTCTGTGCCCATCAAGTGGCTTTAGATTTCATGATGCCTAAGATCTTCTTATAATTTAAATAGTTTCATTGTCATATATTCTTGACAATTTTTGTTTTTCTTTTCCCCTTAAATTACATAAGTATGGTTCATATTATTTCCTTTATTCAAACTTTTAGATGGAGTTTTTTTTTGTTCAAAGTGTTGGCCAAAATTTTGTTTTTTTGTGAAGAAAAACCAAATTTGTCAGAAGATTTCAAGTTTCAAAATTGCACCATGGTAAAATTAATGGTGTTTCCTAAGAGGGATCCCTTAAGAAATAACTAACCAGGAATTAATACAACTTAGAGATAAGAATAATAATAAACACTGTTTTCTAGGATTTTCTTCAACAAAGCACACTGTACATCATCAAGGAATTGTGTAAACATGTTGTTTAAGTTGAAGGCTACACTATTAAATTACTCTATTATAATTGTAAAAGGTAATTGAAAAGTTTTCAAGTTAAAATAAATAAACTAACATATTTTCTTGCATAGGTTGTGCTGAATACACTTTATCTTTCTGTCAATATTGGTTGTAGATTGTTTTCCTCTCCCATGGCTCTAACAAATTGTTTCAAATGTGAATCACATATTTGTTCCTACAAGAAATGTGTGCTGGATCAATCGATAAATTTCAACTCTAAAAAATCCTGGAACACTCTGTCTTTTAACATATGGGATAGTGATTTGTGTTGCACTGATCACTTCCCTTTTTCCCTGAAATAGTCTGCTGCAGAGTAAAAAAGAGACAAAAAAAACATTAGTATAGTGGCAATCTTGATAACCAGAGGCAAGTATGGGACTCTATTTCTTCAAAGTACTCCAAACAAAATTAAATTGTCATTTTTCATGCAAACAGGTAGTAAAACTAACCTAGTTTTTCAACTGCCTCAACACAAATACTTGGACTCATTTCTGGTGTATATGTGCCCACCAACAGCAAAGTAGCTGTACGCACCAAGATTATTCCATTGTTTTCCTTTCAAAGAAAAAAAGCTTTTACTCATGCAATCTTTGTTCTAAATAACTTTTATTAAAAGCAAATGATTCAAATAAATTAAGTAGTACTTGTCATAAATAAGGTACAAAATATGGCATGTATGGTGATGTTATCAAGTGACTACTCTTCCAGACTTGCCAGCTTTACTTCCATATTCATAGTTATAGGTATACAAAGCCATAATTCAACATGAATAACTTTGGGACAAGCTTGGCATTTGGAACAAACTTCAAAAACAAGTTTGGCAGGTGCCTGTTGAGAATTATGTAACAAGGAAATTTAATATATTAAAGTTCACACGGCAACCAGGTGGACAATCAGACATAGTTTGATGCTACACTGGTTTGCAGATTTAATGAATGTAACCGAAGAAGTTACAATTCATGAATTGTAACTTCTTCGGTTACATTCATTAAATCTGCAAACCAGTGTAGCATCAAACTATGTCTGAAGGAAATTTAAATTTATAAGCATGTTTCTAAAACTGCTGCCTTCACAAGTCAAGTGGGAATATACTGACATATCGAAGCTTACGTGGGGTTCTAATAATAATAATAATAATAAAAAAGATTGGTATTTATGAACCTGAGATCTATTTTGCAACTAGAAATGGTTGCTACTCTACATGTACAGCTAGAGGATTTGCATATAACTTGAAGCTTTAGGCATGTTAGTACCCAGTAGCCATTTGTTTTTCATTATTTTATTTTTAGATATGAACTTACATTTCTTGCATAAACAGAGAATCTATCAGCCCTAACACATTCATAAATTGTGTCCCATTAGTACCCAGTAGCCATTTGTTTTTATTTATTTTATTTTTAGAAATGAACTCACGTGTTTTGCATAAACAGAGAATCTATCAGCCCTGACACATTCATAAATTGTGTCCTGGAATTTAAGGCCCTCCTTTCTGGCGTGAGCACTGTTTGTAAAGGAATGAACCAATGCATGTATATTGTCCAAAGATGGCTGAAAATCAAAATATTTACACCATACACACAAATATTTAGAATCAAAACAGCAAAAGTGTAAGAAACATATGTATAGCATTAGCCAAACTCCAAATCAAATGACCCAGGTTCAACTTCCATCTAAGTCGCTGACCTGAAATCCTCACAACGGATAATAAAAAGGCAGTGCCAAACTGTTGGGGGAAATTGACAGAATTCTTACCTCCCCCTATAGAGAAATTCGCCCCCGTCAAATCGACTGCCAATTTCTTTTCAATTTTCCTCCTTCTGAGGGCAGAAAGGTGTCTGACAATGATAATGAAGAAAAATAATATGCCAATTCCGCGTTTTGATAAAGGAATTTCAGTGTTTGCAAGAAAGAGCCTTACACTTGCACACAACAAACGCCAAAGAGTTTGACTTTCTTGCAAACAGAATATGGCGGCAATTCTTAAACATCGTTTTCCACTAATATAGGGCTATTACAGCCTTACATCGCATCTAAAAACAGTTATAATAACACATTTAAAAGTAATTTGTCTTTCTCTTAGTCTACAATCTTTGCAAAAAGTACGCTATTCTTACCGAAAAGCCGACAGTGCTGGCTCGGAGAGAAGTGTCCTTTCGTCGAATTATAGCACAATGTTCAACGTGACCCGTTGCTATCAAAGAATCATGAAGAAGGCTTTGAAGCTGATTCATTCTGGAAATGAAGTCAGTTCTACAACATGGTGACTAAAATGACTAGAAAAGCTTGGTTCTTCTCACATCTTTACGAGGAAAAGGCGAAGTTGGACACTGACTACCAACTGGTCGACGATTTCCATAAATGATACTAACAGGGGTAGGGTAGAGATAACCTGCTGCTGATTCTAAACATTCTTTCCAAAGGAAAATAAAGAAATGAAACTGAATAGATGTGGCTTTTGCGTATCGTTCTCCAAAAATTTTGAATATATGCATACTAGGATAAAGTGATTTTGCAAAAAGATTGAATTCATGAAAATAAGTATCCAAAGTCACCTACCCTCCCAAGGGAGAAGAACGTTTGCAAAACACAGCTGATTCGTTGCCAAGGGAACAGTTCATAATTTACACGTGAAGTCCTCAAGCAAGTCAAGCTGTGATATTTGTGACTTTGTTGGTAACTTTTTAGTGATTGATCTCTAGTCTGCTTATGAAAGAATTGTCCTCGTGAGGCCTAAAATCCAACTGGACGAGGCAGCAAACGAACAGAATGATGTCTCGACCAAAACGACCCGTTAACGGCCGTATTTCTGTTCACACTCACGATATTGTGGACGAGCTATTGGACGACAATGGCAAACATGAACTCTCCAAGGTGATGACGAAGTAATTTTTCAATATTTAAGTACATTATCTACGTATATCTGATAAAAGTTAAAGCAACGCTTTTTCAATCTGTTAAACCTCAATACTGTGTGACTTCTTATGGTTAACTTCATTGCAGGATAATCACAGACGAGCAGTATCGGCGTCGTCAGTCGAGAGACCAAAACCTTTTGGAACGTACTCGGAAGTAAGAGCTTCCAGTGCCAAGTCAGCCTGTCCTTCGGACCATTCTTTCAGAATTCAGACCTGGTTGAATGAAAAATCCGTTCGAAATATTCAGGTAGTCTTATCATTGAGTCCAGCCCATGTAATCGTTATCAGTTAAGTTATAAATACACCGGAATTAAAAGTAACTTGTGTCCCTATAACCCTCATTGAAACACTCGATCCAAAAGAAAACCTTAAGTTTAGCTCTAAAATATTGCCCCGTTTCATTTCAAATTGAAGGGCTTTTAAAAAAATAATAAAAAAAAGGGGATGGAGAAGTTTGTTCAGAGAATAATTAACTTCGAAAGAATTTCTCGTATTTGAATTATTGACTCAGACAAAATCTCATCTCAGCATGAGTGCCGAAATACACAGAGGCCTTCAAACCGCGCAAATCAACAAAGCGGATACTAAAGGAACTCTCTAGTATTTTAAATTTTAATCTTGATGAATCGGTTATCCTCCCTCTGTAGGAAAGGACCGACTTTGAGTCACGAGCCACTAAAAATATGTACACGACGCTCCTTGATAACGAGAATACTTTTGTAAAGGTAAGTCTGTAAGTGAGTAAGTAGCAATTTCTGTCCCGTTAGATAATCCTGGTATTAAGTTAGGGCTTTAGTCGTTGTGCAGAGAGTGACAACTAAGAACGGTAATTATTTATTTTTAAGGTGTTAATTAGCATACCTTAATTAAAAGGCGGTGTTGGTTGACATTAGGAACGTTATTATGCTCAACTAACGGTCACGGGAAGAGTGATTTTTTTTGCCGCAAAACGCTAGAGATATACCAGCATAAAATATGGATGCACATTTAGGAAGTGTCGAGAAACTTAGTGACCTGATCAAAATGATTATATTTTTCTTGATTGCTCAAACTAAGTTCTTTATCAACAACATATTGACAAACTTAACTACTGCAAATAGATGCTTGCCTCTACAATTTTGTTCTCTTTGAGTTGCCCTACTGAAGCAAAGAACTCACACAGGTGAAGTCTGTTTGCAAATTGTCACAACTTAACCTATAGTGTAACCACCACCCTTAAAGAAGTAGTGAAACCATGATTGTTTTAACTCATATCTAAACAAATTACTTGATCCTGATTGGCTCGTACTCAATTATGCAAAACTTGCGAGTAATTAAAATCATCAACCACTCTGGCTGCTTTCAATCTTATCCTTTGTTCAATCCTTTCCCTCTCCCCCTGTTTCCATTCCTACACATTGGGGTCGTGGCTGTCAACAAACAACTCTTTGGGCCATCTTAAAATTGACTCATGCATTAGCTCATTTACTTTTTGCTTTCAACAGAATGTTGACAGTTTTATTGACCAGAAAGAAGCCCTTGACAGAAGAAAGAAACAAATGCTTTTCAAGAAATGGAGTGAGCGAGTGTACAGTCCTGTCAAGGTAAGTAAAATACATATTATTTAAAAGCTGATGCTCAAGCTTTATTATTTGCAGCCCATTGTAAATATTGCATTTGAATGGTTAAGAAAGCAAGTACAAGATGCATTTAAGCACAAAACTAATAACTGGTGATGATAGCATAACCATGAAACAACCTGTGGAGGTGTGTATGAGGTCAAACTCAAAGCCTTGTTGAGCTGATTTACACAGTTTGACTTTTGCCCAAGAACACTGGGTGTTAAATAGATGAGAAACCACAGAATTCTCTGGCAACTGTGCAATTCTCTGGTGATGGTGCAAGGTTCTCCAGCTACATTTTGATGGACTGAGCTACATTATTTCTAACTCAGTTGTTAAGTGAAAACAAACAGTGTAACTGCCTGGAAAACCAACATCAGATCATAACTACAGAAAATACCATCTCACAAAAGTTGTATTGCCCCATTAAAGTTTTGATTTTGATTTTGATTTTGATTTTGACTGTTATGTCACAATTAAATAATCAATTAAAATATTTTGTTAGGAAAAAATAGATGAAGAAATGAATGGCCCAAACTACAGACACTTGGATAGAAGAAAAAGGAATATTTACAAGAAATATCTCGATTATAGTAACAAAAAGGTGAGAATATACATATATATATGTGTGTGTGTGTCCCTATATATATATATATATATATATATATATATATATATATATATTTATATATATATATCACTGTTTATTTTCAATGATTTTTTTTAAAGGAATATTAGACTTTGTAGAGCTAAGAAAGAATAGCTAAAATAGTGTAAGACAGGATTGCTATCTGCAGTCTCTCCAAACTTAAGATAAATAAAACACATTAATTCCAAAAATTGGTATCATGAAAAAAATGAGCTTGGTTTTTCTATTGTAATTATGTTATTGAAGGGTCAATCAAATAGAAACATATGAATATGTTTTGAGCAATGTGTATCAGATGTATAGGGTAACAAAAGAGAGTGATTTTATTAAGAATATACTACACAAAACTAATCTCCTGCAGCTCTGACAATTATAGAAACACTCAGATCTCTATGTGTCGGTAAATTATGAAATACACTAGAATTGAGTAAATTTCCTGAGCACACATGTAAATGTCATTACCATCACTAACAGTTTGATATTAATTCCTTTTTACTCAGGGTGTAGTATTCCTAGATGTGATGTCTCCTGAGGAATACAATCCACTAGTTCTTAATGCCAACCGGCCTGCACCACTTAAGGTGAGAACCTTTCTGACAACAGAGAAAACAATGATGCCCGATTGGCCTTTGTAGACAAGCCAAGCTCTTTCAGAGAGTCTGACCACTCACATTTGAAACATTTCCTATTGTTTGATGGTTCAAAGTGAGACACTCTACCACCCAGTACCTGTTCTTGCATTTCATTTTGAGCACTCATCTTTTCATACCTAAAAGGAAAAGATTCAGAAATTATAAAAAATTAATGCACCTTGTTGTCTTGGGTTAAACACACAAGTAACTGGTAACCCAGTAATTAACACAGTAGCTTTAAAATTTCATCAAATTGTTGAGAAGTATACACATTGTTTCATGAAGTGATGCAGAGTAACACAAACAGACCTCAATTTAGACATTAATACTGCAATGTACAATTTGTATTACCTACAATAAACACAGGTCTAATCAACTAACAGTCTGTACTATTTTGTAAATCCAAATCATTTCGATAAGTTACTGTTGGCAACAGTTAAAGTATCTTAAGTGGTTAATGAAGGCTCTTATAATAACTGATATTTGATGGATGTTTTCAGGCAATAACACAGAAACTAGATGATCCTCTATTATCTCAAGGAACAACAAGATTGGAGGAAGATCGCACAATGGTGAGGTGCATCACAGGAGATACAATGAGTGACAAACAACTAGAAGAGATCCACCTCCCTTCAGCCCCACTGGTGCCTCTGGGTCGGCATGGCACTGAGTGTAACACTTGGCTAAGAATGCAATTACATGATATCGACAGTGGTGTTAGGAGAAGAAGCGGGTCAGTCTTTACTACTGCACTAATTCACAAGATGACATGATCTCCCCAAAATTGATATACAATAAATTTTAGCCAGTTTGATAACACCATTCAGAGGGCAGAATTGAAAAAAAAGGTTCTGAAAATTTCACTTCCATATGAAAAATTGAAATAACTTGTTCCTTCACCGATGGTGTTAACATAACTATGGTGTTGTTTTAAAAGTCAAATTCAAACCATTTGTGTTTTAGTAGTTTCACATCATAGCTGGTGGGTTGTGGGAGTGCAACTATGAATTGGGAAAACTGTATGCTTCTTTCAGTTGCATTTACTGGTGGACTGTTGGTTAATAAAGAATATAAAACACTGTGACAGCAAAGCTGAGTAAAAGAGTGTCACTCTTTTTACTCAGTGTTTCCTCATACTCAAAAAATTTTTAAGTGACAAAATTTTACAAAAAAAGAGGCTTTGAATGGTCTGTTTGTTTTCATTAAATGCATGGCCTTGGTTTAAATGTAATGTAGAATAGGTCATCTCTGAACTTAAAATTAGCATCTTGTAGATTGTTTGAAAAGCCAAATTTTTAAACCTTAAAATTGTTTCTGCTTCTCATTCTCACCTAGGCTTCGTATGAAAGGAATCTACAATGACTCAGACATTGACCATGAAGAGTGGAGTAAGCTAGAAAGGAATCCTGAAACTATTGATGTTGAATTAAGATCCCAGAAGAGACGGCTGTTTAGAGAAAAACACGCCACAACACTTCAGTTTGACTGGCCTGAGCTGCCTTCCATCAGTAAAAATACCACATACCATCCACGCATACCCAATGTCTTGCCGCTGGGCACTAGTTTTGAATATTATCCAGAGCTTAGTGCATCATATTAACAACACTATAGAAGCAAATTTAGTGAAAGGGGAGGGGGTCAATGTTTCTCAAAAATGTCTACGTAAAATCATAAATATTTGAAAACAATTTTTCAACTCCACAATGTTTTCATGGAAACATATTTTTTGATTTTTTAACAGTAAAAACATTTTGTAATGGAGTACAGTCAAGTCTGGTATTAAAAGATTTTTTCCATGCTATGGACACTGTAAATCACATTTCTGATTTCTGAAATATCACGCCTAAAGTATTTACAATGTAAATAAATAAATAAACATATTCTGATTGTAATCTTTTGCAGCTGCCTACTTAATATGAAAGTTTTAGAAATAAAAACCAAAGGAGAGCAGATTTAATTAAGTTAACTTGTTTCGGGCTGCCCCCCCCCCAAACACCTTTTACTCTCGAGGTAATTAAATTCAACCATTTTACACTGCGCGATATATACATTGACAAGATTTTTGACACAATAAAAAATTAACGACCCGTTAAGTTTTACTGATACAACAATAAAAAAAGGGGTATGGCAAAATGAAATAAAGAAAAACTTCACAAGTCAAGATCAACCACTGACTACACTTTACAATTTCTTCTTTGCAATTGATCTCAAGCTTACTTGTAATATTTCTCTACAACTGGTCTCTTTGGCCACGTGAAGTTACCTTCACGTTTTTCCTCTCGCCTTTTTCATTCTTCTGGGGGGAGGTTTCCTCGTCCTTCCTATTTTGGCCAACTGTTCTTCGATGGCTTTCCTCATATCGATGTAATCAGGTATCTGAACATATCGAATCTGTCTTCCATGAATAAACATAGTCGGAAAGTCCACTACATCACCACCGTTTCCTTTAGTAAACTTGACATCTGACATTCTGACATTCATAAAACCATCAACATTTTCAATCAGTCCTTCAGCCGATGACTCGTTTCGTAATTCCACAATGGTCCTATGACCTTCCACAGCTTGTAACAAACAAACGAGGCTTCTTTCTGCCACAGCTCTCTCTCGACCACCCGCCATTGTAAGAAGAAAGAGGGAAAAGATAACTTTTCAACCCTACTAGAATGTAAATGCAGACACTCTATTTATTTTCCTCAAGGCTCGTAAAATTTAGATCTGTTACAAGCCGAATTCGAGGAAAATTCGAAGTTCAAAAACAAGCAGGCAGAAAAGTGATTTGCTTCCCACCAATGAATCAAATGGCGGGCTTTTTTTTCTCGGGGAGGGGAGTGAGGGTAGGAATGAAAGGGTTTCGTATAAGTCACACAAAGGGTATCGTAGAGGTCAACAAATGACGGGAGGTTTTGGCTTGAAAGACTGTGAGCGTGAAAGTTTTAAATATTCGGCGAGCTATCATGATCAAAGGAGAATTTGCTTTGAAAGAAGAGCTCAGAGGATTAGAGGAGAAGATGTTCGAAAAAATGGACGCTGAGCATCGGGTATTCTATGGTATTTGATATTTACGATCGGTGGCTGCATGCCATCTCCTCTTATTCATTAATTAAGCTGCAAATTGTAACATTTGCAGCTCATTGAATGGAGGAGAGATTTCGGTTACTCCCATATTATTCTAAAACAGAGCTTTAGTCCCTAAGGAAATCTTTTGTTTTCTTTATTCAAGAACTGTATTCAAGGGGTTGTGAACAATGAAATTAAGTTGCGATTACGAAGATATATACCTTTTTACTATCAACCGACAGTCTCACCTTTGCCTATCCTCTTTGAAGACTTTCACCCCTTCCCCCTCATTTTTGTGGAGTTTCTGCACTGTTATACATGCATTCAGAGTAATTGTTGAAGGGGTTTTTGCCGACATGGTGCTGATTGTTTTCATGAAATCTACTTATTATGCGTCAGAATTATTAGGAAAAATCTGATTGGTTTAGAGCATTCAATCAATATACAATGGCATGTGAAGTTGACATTATTTAACAATTATTCCATGAACCCTCATTGGGTATGAGGCAATAGATAGTTAACAAGGCCTATAGAGCCCAGTTGGCTATAATCATCTCATATCCAACAAGTGCAAGTGGAATAATTGTTTTACTAAAAATGCCCTAAAATATAGATAAATCTTCACAACATTATTTTTTAATAACAAATAGAATGCTACAATATACAAAATCACTTTTGGTTTAACTTGTCTAATGAAGGTGCACAGTATAATGGCTCATAACCTATGATAGTTAAGCCAATGAAAGCTCTTGAATTGCATTATCCAATGATCCAGCTTTTTATAAAACCCAATATCTGCAGCAGATATTGCATTTATCATGTAGAGTTTAAAGTCTGCATGGTTTTCAAGTCCCTTGTCCATGTAGTGTTCTCAAACTTTTGGAAACTCAGAGAAACCTTAAATGGCTGAATTTCATGCATAATGAAACAAATATTGAGATCTGTTTTGGCATGATATCATGACTTATCAAACAACATGTCTGTTTTACCTCAGACCTCAGTTTTGATAAGTCATGATATCATGCCCAACCTCACTCAATAATATTACTTAATATAAACTTGAGAATAAAATATGATATTTAATGAACTTAAAACCTAATTATAAAATCAAGTTATCTTCTGATAGAGCTTAAAACAGTCACATAGAGGTAGCCTTTCTCTCGAAGCTTCACATCACCATCTCATAGAGTATGTGGAACTTTTAAAACAAGGTAATGAAAAACACTACTGTATATGGTTTAAGCCTTAGAGTTACAGGTGATCATGTTATTTGATGTCTGTGTGTGAGTAGTCTGGAAATGGACCATTGTTGGTTGGAGTGAATGATGTTCAACAACCTTATATCATTCATGATCAGACTCAGGTGAGGAGTTGTTTGCCAGTTGAATTAAAGTTTTGGTCGGCTTTGAAGTGATGTTATTGGCTTTAACATTCAAGTAGTGTAAGTCAGCTGAGATAAGTCAGTTTATCTGAATTCTTCTTAACTCAATTTTACCAGCAAATTTCTGGGAGATTCAACAGATGTCAAAGCCCAGAAGTTACTACTTAATATCACCTTACACAGGAAAATCCTTATTTTTGTTTACTTTCAACACACTTAACTAAAACTGGGATCTTAAAACTAGTTTCATCTATGAGAACCTCCTCAGGTGATACCAAAAAATTGAAGTAGACCCAAGCATGAAGAATATGTGTGCTGCTTGAATATTTAAGCCAATAATATCATAGCAAAACTAATGAATCAGTTTTCAGAGTTCTTGATAACACTTGAATGACAAATAACTCCTCACTTGACTATAATGATGACATCCACCAAGGTTCTTGTAACACCAGCCACCACTACTGACAATAATAGTCTGATTAGGACTTAAATCTTGTCCAAACAAGCAGAATGCACAATACAAAAGCTGAAGAAATTTTCCATACATGTGTTAACATGTTCAATGATTATGCAGCCTGAATTGGAAAGAGTGCTTTAACCCTTTAACTCCCAAGATCTCATTGTTAATTCTCCCCTCTAGCTGCTATGCATTTCCTTGTAAGTTAGTTATGAGAATTTGGTGTCAAATCATGAAAACTTATTCCTGATAAGGTTGAGTATTCTCATTACCTGTTAATCACTTCAGGGAGTTAGAGGATCAAGATGAGGCCTCAGCTAGATTATCACACTTGCTATGGCTTGTAAGAGTTAATGATGGAATAATCATGGTCTAAACTTTTTTGCTATGTTTTATTTTTTACCAGTGTTTTACTTTATTTCAGCAACTTTTATGAACCTTGACATAAAGGAGTGGGTAATTGAAAATGACCTTCTTGTGAATCGTTTAAAAGTGAGTATTTCTTATTGTGGTATATATTATCATTTAACAAAATTCACTCAGCTCACTTTGCAGGGAGGTCCCAATTTTGTAAAAAGTGCTAGAGAATTGGTCTCTTGTGTATGCAACTTTCAGGAAGGTTTGTAACACTATGTAATGGTTCAAACTTTGTTGGATAAAAGCTGTGTTTAATTAAACATTTGATTGGTCAGTGTTGCTTTTCATCTCATTGAATCAAAAAGGAGGATGGCAGTAAAGCATCAGTTCAGAATGTTCTGGAGAGTTTCACCTCTCTGTTGGAAAGAGTCCAAGGTGAGTATTTTCCAACTAGTCTATGTTTGTATTAGCTAAGATATGAGAGGTTTAAATTTATCAAGATCTGATTTATTACTGCAACAAAACATCACTTTTTTATTTTGTTGAAAGATATTCCCATTTCATAAGATTTCCCAAGTTATTTCCCAATTATGGGCTTGGTGGGTTCATTTTTCCAAACACAGATTTATTCTTCACCTGTTACTGAGTCCTGGAGGATGCTATGGTCAAATGGTGAGGTGGACTCTGGAGCCATAGTGTAGATTGAAGCCCCAATTCACCTGCCTTGTGTTGTAAAAGACATTATTTTGAAGTACTGAAAATATCAGTGTCTCTCCACCCAAGAATGGATTGCCCTATTATTGAGCCATGGTGAACATTTTGTGACTGAATTTCCCCTTGTTGTATTAATTTGTACTACAACTGCATTTAATTACTAAAATCTGAAAGATGTCAATGGGCTATGCAACAATTTCCTTCTTACTGTAATCAATCATTCCCCATTCCTTCATACAGAAAAAAAGGGCAAACCAGTCCAAATGCTGGCTGTTAATCACAGACTTATCCTACAACAAGTAAAACTATTTTTACCTTTTTATAGGCCTTCCACCAGATACGGCATTCATTTGCTATGAACAAGCAGTTGTGTATAATTTGTGCCACTTGCTGTTACAAGGCCAGATGAATGTGAGCATTGGAGGTATTCACAAAAGTGCTGCCATACTCCACCAAAGCATCTGTAGAGGTATGTACGCATACCAGAATTTACAGTGTTTTACAAACTCAAAAATATATATTTGTTATTCTACACCTGCAGAATTAACACCTTGTGAGATCAATTGAATTTCTGTCTCTTTTCAGGGGTTAAACAAGTTTGAATTTTATATGCTTATAACTTCAAAGCTAATTTTTTTCTTGATCCCATCCTTCCTCCATAATCTCTTCCCTCACTTTTGGTTGTACCAACCAGATTTGGTTCATATTTGTTTCTTCAACATGTGCAGCACTTGCAGCATTCAGAATAGAACCTTGTCACCAAGGGGAAGAGGACTTCAGCAACATACATCTTTTTGGTCCAGCAAACATTGAGTGTACTATAGACTCACTTCTACCAGCATTGTTTAAGGAATTGATCAAGAGATCTATTGGGTGTGGCCCCTTTGTGTTGAGTTGCTGCCTTTTAGCATTTCAGTGGCTAATTGATGAGAAAGGTGAGTATTCTTTGATAATCAGTTGGTCCATCTGTGCTTAGCTGTGCCTGTGTTATCTGTTTGTTTGCCTCTTTAACTTTGAGACTCAGTCAGTCAGTGTCTCTAACTATATATGTATGTCTACCTGTAGGTCTTTTTGCCTAATAGTTTGTTTGTCTGTCAGTCTGAAAACCTCTGCAACCATAACTTAAAAATTTTATCATTCAATGTTTTTTTTTTAAATAAGATTAGGAAAATCATTGTGAAAATTTTATGATACACCAAACAAATGCAGTGACAGTTTTAAGAGAAAGCTAATGGGTAAAAGAATTTCAAACTAGCATGAATCATTTCTCTGTCAGTGAGGGAAATTCAAGGCCTATTTGATACCTTTTTCCTTTAGTGAACCAGGCTGTAAAACTTCTTTACCTGATGCAAAGTCAGTTGAAACTTGTGGATTCAAACATGAATTTTACTGATGAGGTTTGTAACAGCATTCAATTTGGCAAACATTTTATAAAAGCTCATGTTGATCACTTAGATCTACTCTGTTATGAACTTAAATAAATTAATCATCATTTTATGTTGTATCTAAGGTATCTGAGATTCCTCCACATTGTTTACAGAATGAAATGACCAAAAGTAATAATGCCTATAACCTTTACTTAATATGCAGTGGAGAATTAAAACTTCCTTTTTCCATTTTCTGTCAAAAGGGGAACCAAAATTTATACATAGGTACTGTTAAAGTATATAAGCATGAAAGAGGCAAAAACATTTTGCAGCATTTTAATAAAGTTACTATATACATATTTTGTCTAACAATTTTGAATCAAATCTTGTTTTGAAGCATATCTGGCCTATCTATGAATTGAAGTTGCTAAGAAACTAATTAAAAGTTATAAAAATTGTTTTTAAGTTTACCACTTTTTTTCTGCACACTTGGGATGATAACTTCACTATTGCCTTTCCCTTGAACACCATAATCTCCTCTAATGCCACCAAATAAACTGAGATGATTTAAATGTTACAGAAGAAAAAATTGGGTAGAACAGACACTGTCTAGTTTTTACTTATTTTAAATTTGTTATCCGTTTGATTGATCATTAGGTACCTGCTGATCGGCTTCCTGTATGCCTCTTCAGTTTAGAATACAGCTCATCAATTTCTAATAGTATAATCACTTCCTCCACCCTCTCAGCCAAAGACTTGACAGGCAAGATAGCATATTCAGATTCCTATAGTTGTTATTTTAGTTACTGTTTTGGCTAGTAATAATTATAGTAATAATAATGATAATTTAGGGCTTGTATTGCACAAATGAACATGTGAGTAAGAGACGCGTTACATAATAATCCCAGTGGCCATAAACGAAAACATGTCAAAAGTTGAGGTAGTGCTTTCTGGTTGTATTCCTCAACAGATATACAGAGTCTGTTGTCGGTGGTGACAAGTCTGTTGGCATTTGCCCTCTTTGCAAATAAGGAATACGAAAAGGCACTGGAAATACTGAGGGGCAAAGAAAATACTCATGATGTTGGTTTTCATGATCTCTATCTCAAAGGTTTGGAGTCTTGGTGTATTGATTTAAAGTCAAAATGCAATTAATTAAAAAAAAGGAAGATGTGTATTAGGCAGTTGAAAGACTCTTCCTTGTCTATAACCGTCATATGATTGGAGAGTACAGCACAGGGGCTTAAGTACTAGTGATTTTGTTGTTATGTATGGTTGCAGGATACATTCTCTATGAACAAAATCAAGTGGACAGTGCACTGACATGCTTTCAGGAGTGTTTATCCATCTCACAAGAACAGAACAGAGCTGCGACTTTGAATATGCTAGGGTGCTGCTGTGCAGTCAAGGTAGATGTTTTAAGTAAAAGATCGAATTGACATGAAATATGCGCTCTTTAGTCTGGTGGTTTAGGGGCTGGACTCCATAAGGAGTGCTCCCGGGGCCAAGGCCTGGTTATGTCATTCTTAGGAAAAACAAATTCTCAAACTAACATCATTAGAATCACATGGCAGACAGTCAGGAGAATTATACTAATCAGATATTAGGAGTGAAAGAGTTAAAATACCTCCAGATTTTCATGTGTCACCTTTGAGCTAAGATGTGACGGCGTCTAGCCAATGTGAGATTTTGATTCCTCTTACCCTGATGTTGTCGTTTAACAATTCATTGTTATCTTTATATCTTTCCAAGGGTAAACATCACACTGCGGTAGCGAAGTTCAAGGATGCCCTGGAACATGATTTCCAGCAGCTGGAGGCTCTTTTTAACATTTCTCTTCAATATCAAAAGATGGACAAGTTTGAAGCGCAAATAAAAGCTCTTGAACTTTTAAAAGAGGTATGTTTAAAATTTAAAAACAGTTTTACTAGTTGTGTTTCCTTATGCCAGAGCAGACATAACTGCACTGGAGAGTGAAGTGTTAAAACAGCTAGCTTGCGAGCTGCCCTCGCTCTTAGCGCTGCAGGACGTGTGTTTCTCCGCCTTACGGAAAGATCTGTGAAAAGCCGGGGAGAACTCGCTTTGCCGGAGATCTGCAAACCTCTCGCCGCCTGGCTGGCTTTGCTTCTTAAGGTTTTACTAGTTGTGTTTCCTTATGCCAGAGCAGACATAACTGCACTGGAGGGTGAAGTGTTAAAACAGCTAGCTTGCGAGCTGCCCCCGCTCTTAGCGCTGCAAGACGTGTGTTTCTCCGCCTTACGGAGAGACCTGTGAAAAGAGATCTGAGAACTCGCTTTGCCGGAGATCTGCAAACCTCTCGCCGCCTGGCTGGCTTTGCTTCTTAAGGCCTCAAACTTTTCGACGAAGAAATGCTTGTTTAAATATAAAATCTTAACGGTAGTAAAATGACATTTTCAACTCAGTCAATGGAACCAAATTATATCTCAGCAAATCAGATGCAAAACTAAAAATAATCGCGACTTGGTCACTGGCGTTTCCTTGTGCCTTAAGAAGTTTTCTTGTTTACACATGGAGTTCTCAATGGCCAGTGACAAAGTTAACCTTTGTTTTGATTTGGTTTGGTTTTCGACACTTAATTGAAAACTGCTCCATCGTGGAAGGGAAATTTATAAGCGTATTCTCTATCTATATTTGTTTGTATTTTTAGGTCATCAAGGCTAGAGGGAGTGAGCCACAGACTTGCCAACACCTTGTAGTAAGTCCTCGAGATCACAGCAGAGAACACAGTAAAGGTAACCTAGGTAAGGGCTTTAGCACTTTCACTCCAAACATCTCAATGTCTATTCTTCTTACTGTCTTCTATGAGCCAACTAACTAAGCCTACTACTCTTAGGTTCATTAAATACACAATTCTTTTGAAATTTTGTTCCTCTAGATGTGGAATTATCCGTTCCTCCAAGATTTTCCTTGGGCAGTTCGAAGTCAAGTGCTCGCATGTCAAAAGAATTGGTTACTTACATACTAGCGAAAAGATATTCAGAATTAGGAAGGTTTGAGGGATTTTCTAAATAATCTGATTTTCCAAGAAGTCTGAAATTCATTTTTCGTTTATAGACGGCATTTATTGTCACAATATATCATTATCGTTATTAGATATAATTTTCCGTAGCTGGACGTCATTTATCGTCACTAAATATTATTTACCTTCTCTACACGTTATTTGCCTTCGCTTGACATTATTAATAGTCATTACATGTTATTTCCCGTCAGTATACGTTGTTTATCATCGTTTGCGATCCTGTACCGCCACTAGACATTATTAATCGTCGGTACCCATCATTTTTCGTTTGTAGACATCATTTGCCGTCTCTAGACATTATTTACCCACACTACACGTTATTTGCCTTCGCTAAACATCATTTACTGTTACTTCATGTTATTGATCGCCGCTCAACGTCATTTTCCGTCTTTACATGTTACTTACCGTCGTTATACGTCTTCACCTTTACTAGGAATCATTTATCGACAGCACACATTTTCTGTCACTTGACATAATTCACAGTCATCAGACAACTTCTCGTCACTCGGCAAAATTTACCTTTACCTCAATCTGTCGGTTTTACTTGGTTAATCAACACCAACGTACCCACAGTCCTCGTATGAAAGCAACTTCCTCGTGCGTTTTTATGGTCAACAGTATCTAAATACATACATATCTTTTGCTAGGTTCGAGGAAGCAGCGACGAACTTTCTGGAGTTGCTGGTCAATATTGTAGAAGTGCGCACCTCCAACTTTGTAAGAATGTCATAAATTTCTCGTTCTCACTGATATTTTTGTTTGAAATGCGTCAGTTTTAAACCAGCTTATTTATTCCGGTACATTTTCAGCCGCAAGCTCATAAAAATGGTATAATCTCGGTTCTCATCTCCTTATTTCGCAAATGTTTTCAGATTTAGGCTTTTTTTTCATCTCGATGTAAGGCATGCCCAGTTTTAGTTAAAAATACGATCAACAATCATTGTAACACTTCTTCATTCTTAGCGGCCGAACGTCCAAAATCTCCCCAGTCCTACCGAGTTGTATAAAAAATGTGCATTTGCGCTGTCTAAAGCTGGGAGACATGAAGACGCGGTGACAATTTGTGATAAAGTTCTTACTTCTATCGAGCATGGAGAACCTACTGAACAAGGTATGTAATTGGTGAATTGGGCTTGTGATAGGTTTTCTCTGCAAAAGAGGTTTACTGAGACAGACAAATATGACAAGTGTTACCTTTACAATTTTCATTTCCAACTGCACCCATGTCAGTATTTGGAGATCTTTCGCCTACATAATTTCATCTTCGTCACTGCACTTTGAAAATAGCGAACTGGTCTTCCGCCGACCAGTTGTGGCTAGAGAAAATGTTTTGTTTATTTGAATTGACTCATATTTTCGATTTATGATAGCTAGCAGCTTTAAGCCCAAACTGTGTACTTTGTAAAAACTTTCTTTGTCTACTCCCCTCTAATTCCAGTGTCTGCTGCTAGGAGCTATCAGAGGCACTGCCAGCCTGTACTCCACCCCAACCCCACCCCTGAATGAAAGTTTGTCCGTCACAGGTTACTCCAGGAATTGACTCGACTTTGTTTTTGCCTTCAAAGGTCACAACGATGAAATAAGAGCCAACGATAAAGCTCCAAAGAAAAGGCTGCGATCAGATGACGGGGAAGATTATTTGAGCACCTTCAATAGCGAAACGGTGTCTGACAACATACAAATGCTTATGTTGAAATCAGAGTCATTGGTTCATCTTCAAAAACCACTAGAGGCCTTGCAGTCTCTCAACAGGTATTGTGAATTCTTCTTTAAACGTATGCGACGTAATTATATTTCGTCTTGCTTCGATGCAGCGTACTTGGAGAAAACAGTCAAGTTTTAGTGACCGTGAACTACATTAGGTAGAAGAACTGAAGGGAGACATCTACCGTGAGTGAAAGTGATCCTCGCAGTAATGTGCACTACTTGGGCAGTAGTGAAAATAAGGCCTGAAAAAAATTCAGGCCCGTACGGGATTTGAACCCATGACCTCTGCGATACCGGTGCAGCGCTCTACCAACTGAGCTAACAAGCCAACTGGGAGCTGGTCATTATGTTGGTTCCAAATAAACCCGTGAAGTGATGAATAAACAGTTAAGAATATATGAAAGTCACTATTTTCACTACTGCCCAAGTAGTGCACATTACTGCGAGGATCACTTTCACTCACGTCTTTATCCGCAGTTCAAATATACGACTTTCATATATTCTTAACTGTTGAGACATCTACCGTTAAATCGTTGTATAGGCCTCCAGGCCCATTCTTTAGGCATTCTTGTAATCAAAACCACATACGGTATGACAGATTATCATGATAATGCGCCGAAGAACGTCATGAACCAATTAGAAGAACCTTTGGTAACAAGCGTTGGATGTTTGCGAATAGTTTCTGATGTTATTAATTGCTGATAAAACAAAAATTATCCTGACGGGTTAGACAGGGTCCACAAGCATTGTATTCTCAGGAGCAATCACAGAACTCTGCCATAGAAAGAAAAGCTTCTCATCTAACTTGTGCAATACACTTGCCAAAATCATCTTAGGGTACTGGTCGCACTGGAAGATGTCCAGTTAGTAAAAAATCAAGAAAGAATCCAAGGCCACAAGGATAATGATGGACAACAGAGGAAAAGGAGAAAGCTCGACTGCGGTAAGTTGATAAGACTTGTTGCAAAAATACGGGACGCGGTAAGTGCCAACTGAACTGAAGTCGTTCATGTACCTCACGTTTGACGCGCAGTTGAATGTGAAGTAATCTAAGAACCTCTGTTGGTCGACAGAGTGATAGTTGTTGAGTCTGTTGAATGTATATGGTCCTAGTTAAGTTTTCAGCGAAACCTTTTCTGTTAATCCTTTGAATTTTTTTTCTTTTATCTCTTAAAAGGAGACAATGTTTCGTGTGAGGAGCAAAGCGAAACTGACAACTCAAGAAGGCCTGCTAGAGTAAAGGTGAGTATACAATATTTGTTTAGCAAGGTGGGTCAAACTTTATTCGTAGAAGGTAACTATTTGGCGTCATTTAGGTTAACATTGACTTTGCCTCCCTGGACAACTGCAAACGGCAAATAATGGTTTGTTAAAGGTGCCTTTCAGAAATTCGAATACACATGCTTGACACGCGCATGAAAAACTCGCGGAAAGCAAAGTTAATTAGAATGTTTGAGTTGGCTTATTGCCCATCTCTTCTAGTTTTTTCTCGTTACTTTTTATTGTTTTTGTTTGCACCATTTCTCATGAAATATATTGTGCGACTCTGTCGTGGTAATACGCCAGATCATGAAAGAATTTAAATGTTTGTGTCAGATATGTAGTGCCACTATTTGGACCGTGCGATCGACCTACTGCTTGCCTGGCTGTCTTTATCTTACTGTGTGTGTTTTCTTTCCTTTCAGGTCCAAGCGTACAATCAGAAGGCTTCTATTCTAGATGAACTGGGTCAGACCCATGATGCCTTGCATCAGTTGCATCTCAGTTTAGAGTGTTTAGCAGGTATTTTGTCTAACCAGCATCAGGTGTGACGTTAAGTGTTTACTTTTGGCCTTTGCTCGAACGGTAATGAGAATATGTGGCTGGCCCATCAACACTCTTTGGTAAACAGAGGCATTGATGGAGTGAATAATAATGGCTTCACAAATGGCGCCAGCTCTGATCAGAGTCTCACGAGCACCGTACTTCCCCATATTGAACCGCTATAAACGTTCAGTATTTTAAAAGAGAAGTTAAGTGCATATTGCAGAGGTGGAGAGGGAAAGTCTGCTATACTGATGAGGCCTGGTAAAGCTAAAACGGTTCTCAGTGGACGTTAAAATCATGATGATTTTGATTTTGATCTCGTTCTTGGGCTAGAGACGGCCCTGAGTCTCGAACATGAACGCCTCATTGCGTGTTTTGTGGTTGCAGCTAACCAACCCCAATAAGAGCGCTATTCGATTGAGTGTCGGCATGGAACAGAGAGCATAGTAACTTCCTTTCCTTTGAAAGGAAAGGAAAATTTGAACGTAGACTAAACACGTTTAAACGGCCGCGGGAAATTGCAAGAAACCAAGTCGCGACTTTTCCTTATTAGTCACAGAGCGCAGTAAAGGAAAAGCAATACAATCACGGATTTCTTTCAAAACTCAATTGGAAAATGCTCTAACTTTCCCACACTACAACTTTCCTTATTATTTCAATTCGTTAGAACATCCTGAGACAGTTTATAAGCATACGCGGTTGCTCCTGAAGCTTGGTTCAAACAAAGAAGCAGCACACAACTGGCTTCAATTCCGAGGTGTCCTTCTTCACTCGCACAAAGGGGACCTGGATTCCCTTTGGAAAGTACTCCGGTAAGCTTTTCACTCCTGGATCCTCTGATTATTTTATCCGACAAGGGTACGGAATTGAAAAGTGAGTCCGTTGCGTAGTGTACTGATTGTTTAAGAGGAAGAGATGGGACAGAGGTTTTTCCTTTAAACGAATTGTCGATAATGCTGGTTTTCACTTGTCGGACAAATCGTAGACGATTGAGGATTTCATTGGTTCACGACCGTCCCAGATTTGTCCGACAAATGAAAACTCCGAAATCGTAGAGATCCCCGATTTTCTGGGATGGTCGGCGACAAATCGGGAATGTTGTTGTTTTCCCGACACGTCCCAGATTTCTGTGATGATCGGCGATCATTTACGACATAGGTAAACTTCAATTTTTTTTCCGTCGGGGACGTTGTAGCTCGCTACCAGTCCTCTAGTTGCCTAGCTCTAGTACCCCCATGTGACAAATAAAATTTAATATCCGAAGAATCTTGGACAAACATCTGACCATCTCTTGAAATATCAGCAAAATCTGGGTCGGTCGAGAAACAATGATAAATGAATGCCAAAATTTTTTTTTTCAACAGCTCATCAACAACAAAGTTTCTGGAAAGTGACGTTAGCAACGAGCAAGTCCGAGAACTAGACGAGTTGACCTTGAATTGGTTGAGCGAGAATAAAGAGCAAAATGCGTTTTATCCACATGCCAGGGTTTAAAACTCTATTCGAGCGAATGTTTTCATAGATTTAAGAAACGTTCAGTTACGTCGTCAACAAAGATGCCATCTTCTAGCGTTGAAGATTATACCAAATTTGATGGATTGCTGTCAGGGCTACAGTGCATTTTTAACCAAAGATAAACTTTAAGCCCGTTCTACAAGTCCTTTTGTAGGATTTGCACGTCTCAGTGGTGCATAAAGAATGAGAGACAGTGTTTCCGTTTACCATGAAGAGTAGTTATGCTGTTGAGTGTTTGTTATCGTTTCTGTTGTGATAACTCAAATTATTTTATTAGTACAAAGGCGATACAAGACCCAATAAAAATCATAACTTCAAACTTGTGTTCTACCGAGGGTTTTAACAATCATCATATAAGAAACATTATCAAAGTCTATCTTTGTATAGGAATTTTGATTACTTGGTAAATTTTACGTATCATAAACAGCCCAATCAGAATTCATGAAACATCGCCTCTTTCTCGGAATCCTAAATTCCGAGAATGTGATTGAGTTTCCTAGAAACGTGAGTAACGCAGGAGCCCGTTACTTTGGTAATGGGCTCCTGACTGACGTCAATGTTTAATATACCTTGATAACCAATCAGCTTGCAGATTCATCGCTTCACTGAAAGGTCATTCTGTCATGTAACTTGTTTTCCGCTCTAGAGTGAAAACTTTCTCAGAAATCTGTCGTCTGTTTCACGTAGTTAGTAGTTAACATTTGGTTTGGTTGAAAGTCAACAACTAAAGGATTAGGCAGGCTGCCGCATTAAGCTCTAATTTCGTCACTGCAAGGTTTACGATATTAGCAGGTTGAACGTTCATGGCTAGTTTCAACTTCAGCTCGAGAGATGATCATTATCATCAACTAAGCGCACAAATTCAGCAAAAGTTTCAGGATAATCGTCAAACGAGTGAAGTATTTGATCGGAAGAATCGATGGAGAAAGGAAATTGAAGACTTAGTGAAGACCCTTTACCCGTCATGTCGACTCGTTCTTTCCGGCTCGTCCGCAAACGGGTTTGGCAGCATTCATAGTGATATCGACCTGGTTTTGTGCTTTGAAGGGGCAGCAATGACTGGACCTTCCATGTTGAGGAGAATAGAGTCGCTTTTTGCGAGTAACCGTCGTCGTTTTCAAACAGAGGTAGTACCACACCTTATGTGAGTTGCATAATTTTTATAAATAATACGAGCAATCAGGAAAATATCCGCTCGTATAATGCGTAAAACCATGAGATAAGGGACTTGTTATTCCCCTGCCATTTCATTTTATAATATTTTGACTTTCAGTTTTTTTTAAATACATACGGTCTAATCTTGTGCACTGTATGGATCACATAACGCGTGTGCGAAAGACGAAGGCAACACAAACGAAACCATTAAGAGTTCTTGATGACTTATAAAAGAAACTGTTGCCCCTAATAGTTCCATGCACAAAATTTCGAGCCTAAAACACGGAAACAAATAAAAGATTGAATCGTTTAGCCGGGGGCCATTTTGTTACTCCGCTTTCAGTCCGCATTTTTTCCCCGTGCCATCGCATATTTTGCGGGTTCTATGGTCCTTATTTGGTGAAATGGTGTAACTGTCGAAGAGTATGTAATAGTATTTGAGCCCAGCTTGAATGTCTGCGACTACGACAATCAGATTCCTACGTAAGATATGCATGACAAACTAGTATGTCGTGTCTTTTCCCGCGTTTTGAAACACTTTAGATTATGATTTAATTTTTTGTTTGTGGGTTTCCTCTATAAAGCATCAAAAATGACTCGGGGGGAGATCAAAGAAAAAACTGGTTCTTCCCTTTCGTCATATTGATCAGAATTTTTAATTCGAAGCTTCCTCAAAGTGTCTTTCACTTCGATTTCTACCGATCCCGAGGTTAGATTGTGCTTTAACCTTCAACCTAATTGGCATATGCAAGAGAATATCAAAAGTTGATGTTCTCTCGGCAAACGATATAATTTTTATTAAAGCCAATTTCAAGATGGTGTCAGCGCCGAGTGAGAGATATTTTTGATTGAAAAAAAAAAACTAGACAAGTAAACATTTGATATGCAGCAGTAAATTTTTTTAAAGTCAACTTTGAATTTTGAACAATCCCCAGGTGATTCCAAACGCACGAGTTCCTATCATCAAGCTCAAAGATAGGGAGAAATCATTTGAAACTGATATCAGTGTGGAAAATTGGACCAGCGTGAGAAACGCCTTCGTTCTAAAATGTTACTCCGAGTGTGACACAAGGGTGAGACCGCTGGTCATGGTCATCAAACTGTGGGCTCAACGGGCAGGAATCACCGATGCAAAACTCAAAAGACTTGCAGGTACGAAATCTGCCGATTGTTAAAAAAGTGGCGGATTTGAGGTTCAATAAAGGGGGTTAATTTCTAGAGAAAATTTTGGTGCTGCGTGGGGGGGATCTTTCAAGACAATTTGGTGTCATCAACCGAGTTGACATTATAAACTGGCCACCGTAAAGAGTTTCTTTTTTTTTTAACGCTTGCAACGTCAGCTATTAAACTCTTAACGGTGGTCAATTTACATTATCAACGCAGTTGATAAAACCACATGATCTGATGAAAGGTTGACTGGTTTGACTCGTTTACAAGCTCAATAATACAAATAAAAAAAAAGTCCCTTCATTTTAGTTTAGTTCTATGTAGCTTTTCACATATCACGATGCGAGTAACATATGACTGACTCTTACAAGACAGGCAGACATGTAAAGCTTGTAACTTAGACCAAAACGCGTAAGAGAGAGAAAAATGAAAATTTACAGAAACTAAACGGGAAAAAAGTATAAACTGGTCTACCTTTGAGCTGCTAGGATCTCCTTTTATATGTCGATTCTTCTTAATATTTAGGTTTCGCCGTGGTTCTTTTGGTAATCCATTATCTTCAAGCAGGATGCTCCCCTGCTGTTGTGCCTGCCTTGCAACAAATGTTCCCTGCGGTCTTCCAAGCTTCTAACAGTGTGATCATCGACAAGCTTACCTCAGATATTCCTGCTGAAATTCAAGCCTTCAGTTCCGATAACAAGCAGAGTCTTGGCGAGCTTCTGGTTGGCTTCTTCCAGTACTTCTCCACCTTTAACTGGAGTAGAACCATGTCGATTCGTTCTGGAAATACCCGACCGACTTCGACGTACGACAAGATATGGCGGGGACCTTACATTCGCCTGGAAGATCCCTCAGATGGGGGTAACGTCACCAGATCCGTGTATGATTCCTACGAGTTCTCACGCATAAAGAGTGCGTTCAGTAGCGCTCTCTCGAAGTTAAGAAGCAATCCGTCTTTGGAAGAAATCTTGTAGGAATCCGAAGAAGAAACTGACGTAGATCCCTAAATTGTTCCAACTAATTTCAATTTTTGCCTTACACAGTAAAAACTCGCTAAAAAACCCTAATTTTGCTTTTAGAAACTAAATAAGTTCTTCACTAGAGCCATTTTCGTGTTCAGAAAGCTAGAGAAAAATAAGGTTACTGAAACTGCTTAGAGTTACAATGTGAAAACTTTAGATGTCATTTACAGGAATAATATGGGAGAATGACATTGTGAATTGAATGGAAGAATGGAAAAAGAAAAGAAAAGAGAAGAAAAAACGATAGAGAAATAGTTGAAGCTGCTGGGGCTCGAACTATAGATCTTCGGAATTAACAGGAGTACGCACTCACTATCTATTGTGCTAGGTACGCAAAGCGTACATAAGTATTGTATCAAAATACATTTGATACACATTTTATACATGGATCTTTTCTATGAATTTCCCGCCCTGTCCCCAGCCCGTGAATTGACCAGTATACAAACTCTGTTCTAACCAAGTCCTCCTTTTGACAAATTTTGGCATCGACGAAAGCTGTTTCAATAACCTGTTCATTAACCTGTTCATTAACCTGTTCATTAACCTGTTCATTAACCTGTTCATTAACCTGTTCATTAACCTGTTCATTAACCTGTTCATTAACCTTTCATTAAACATGTACCTCATTAAAAATGAGGTGCATGTTACACCTCATTTCTTTCTTACCACAATACTCTACAACCATACAACAATAGGCACATGCAGTCATAGATTGCCTTTTATTTTAGGAGCAGCACTTCTACCACTTAAAGGGCCTTCGAGACACTGTTTCTGAGTAAACTGAGTTAAGCTCATTCTTTTTCTTGACTTGATTTTACTGTTCTGAGTTCAAGTTCGTAATTGACTTTATATAAAGCTAGAAGCTGTTTCGTCGTTAACAGAAGTCTGGAGACCTTCAAAATGTAAACTTTGATTCCAATTTTTGCATCAACAAATAAATTATCTTTGTTTTCATCCATATCCATATTGTTGATATCGTTAATGGATTAATAAATTTTCATCAGTGTGTGGTAATCATTCTAAGTTGCAATCAACGTAGTCAGTTGAAATAAACGGAGCAGTTCATGTATTATGTAAGCTATCACAGACAGACCCTTGCCGTTAAGCCACAGCGTATTCCCTGACAGGGAAACAGTACTAACAAATCATGAAAAAATTTAGGTGTAATCATAAAGTTCTGGAAGAACTTAACAAAAGAAAAAACGAACTAAGTTTTTGTTTCAGTCGGTCGTTCTTTTGAAAATCTCATCGATCATTCAGTTTGAATATAAAAAAGAATAAAGTAAACTCGGCATTAATGTTGGAGGAATGTGAGGACTCCATTTGAAAATTTACGTAAAGAAAATACGTAGTATTTGGTATATTGGTTTAATTAAATAAACTATCTGAATAACATTTTAAACAAAACACCCTCAAGAAAGGTTAGATAGGTCTGCAATGCATACTTGTGTTTTATACAGCTGTCACTCCCTTGGTTATTCGTACAAAGACTTGAATTATCGGCTATTTTTTTTTTTATTACGCGTATCAAAAGCTTTTACTGGCATACAAGTAACGTTTGAACTACTAAGTTTTGAAAGATAACTTTAAATACTTAAACCATTCATCCCCTTCACTTTAGGATGCGATCGTTTTAGCTTAAAAAATGTCTTGTAGAGATGCATTCTGTTCCAGCTGAGTTGAGGCAGATTGAAAGGCATTCTTTATGCGTGTGAATTCGCTCGAGTTATACACGCCCCTTGTGACATTTCCTTCGTCTGTCGGATCTTCCAGCTTAATATAGGGCCCACTCCAAACTCTTCCATACCGTGAAGTTGGCTGAGTATTTCCCATTCGAACAGATATGGTTTTTTTCCAATCAAAAGAGGAGTAGTACTTGAAAAACCCGATCAGCAACTCACCAACGTTTTGCGTGTTCTTGGATTTGTGTGACTTTACTTGGGGAGGAGCGCTGCCGGTGAGTTTGGATATGACATCATTTTCTGTTGATCGGAAGAGCTCTGGGAAATCTTTTTGGAGCGAGGGGAGAACAGGGGGAGAACACCCGGCTTGTAGGTAATTAATGACAAGTAGCACAACTGCGAAACCTGTGGACCAAAAAATTGAGCTATAGTGAGATATTAAACCTTTACCATGGAATAATTAAATCAAGTACAAGTTTTAATGAAAAAATATTGCAAAATACCAGGGATTTAATAGTCTTCATCCTGACTTCCACAGTAAAAGGTACATTTCCTACCAAATGAGGATGCAGCCTCACCCTCCCCCCTGCCCCCTTCTTGGTACTAGAAGGGCACTTACGAAATTGGTAAGAAACGTAGTCGGTGGAGAAAGAAATAAACTTATTACGAGGAAAATTATAAAGCCGTCCGTGGTTTCTTAGAGGTAATTCGATAAATTGTCCAACAAGGAATACAAGTTCATCTATATCGGTGTAAAAAGCATAACGAATAGAAAAATATCTTTATTAGGCATTACCAGCAAGTCGGTGTAATCTTGCGTTGGTAATCTCAGCCTTCTGAGCCCACAGTCTGATAATGACAACCAGAGGTTTCACTCTTGGATCGCACTCGGAGTAACATTTCAAAAGGAAAGCGTTGCGAACATTTGCCCAGTTGTTGACGGAGATGTCAGATTCAAAAGACTTTTCCTTGTCTTTGAGTTTTATGATTGGAATTCTAGCGTCGGTGATCACCTGCAAAAGTTATGTTAGCCTTCGTAAATGTTAAAACACTTCGTTACACATAGCTTCACTTTAATTAATATTTCATTAAAGTTTGCATAATTAATCGTTTTTCAAAAAGGCTTTCTCAGGGAGACAGTGATATTGACTCAATAGATTGAAAAGACCTTACCCTTGTTTCAAAGCGTCTGGGTGTCCTGGTGAAAAGCGATTCTATTCTTCTTAACATCTAGCGACAGCAAAATGAGATCGATGTCGCTAAAGCAGAAGACCCGCACAACACAAGGCGACAGCTAGGATAAAGCTCTTGGATAATAAGCTCCATTTCCCGCCGCCATGAGTCCTTTTGATCATAAATTTTTGGCGTTTGTTGGTTTGCTGAAAATTTCTCTTGAATCTGACAGCTCAACTGAGCGTCTCTATCAGTGTTTTCATTAGCCATAATTATCGACCCAAATCTGAGTGAAAATGAATGAAAAATAAGCCCTCGGGTGACAACAAAGTTGTTGCTTACTAGAGAATTTGTGTTTACTTCGACGAAGTTTCAAACGTTTTCTAAGAAAACGCAATATCATCCGTAAACAATAAAATTCCCAGAAATGCCGCGCATTGTTAATTGTGATTGGTCCATTACAATGTAAATTCTGACATCCTGTTTACAGAGTGTTCTAGAGTTTAATTCATTACTCAAACTCACCCGCTGAAAATGCTTAATAAATTCAGGTTTTTGTTCTTTACCCGCTCTGACATTAGCAAAATAATTAAAATAATTTAGGTAACGATTAGGAATATCAATTTTAAAAGTATTCAGTCAATGAGTCTGAAACAGTACGAGGAAATATGACATCCTTTTTGGTGGTTTTAACGTGCTATGGCTTTCACCATATCCTCAATTGCGAACAGTTTTAAATGGAAGAATAACACTAGACATTCTAAACAACTCCATCCGTCATCAGAGATACAGTGGAATCTGTATTAAGCGGTCGCTTGTTAAAGTCCCGAAATTTTTTACCCTCTAAATACGTCAATTTTCACTTTAATCTCTCGAGTCAAATCAGTATTCCATGTTTATCTCCCGAAATCGATGCTAGCACTGTGAATTCAAGTATCCTCAATACTTTGTAGGTCATCTTTCTACTATGGACTGTTAGGACAAATGTCACACACGAACATCACACAAGCTATTTGCGGATCAACTTGTATTGAGTCCGTAAACCTGTAATAAACGGTCACCCTGGCCATTCCCTTTGGGAAACCGCTTAGTACAGGTTCGACTGTAACTTTCATCGAATATTTAAATCTTACTTGGATAAAATGTTTATTACTGAGAATTAGAAAATCAGTTTCGAACTCTTCATTCTTAATGAGCGCTGCGAAATTTGAAAGAACGAAAGTTGAATCAAGACCTTCACTTTGATTATCGTTTGGTTTGCTGTCTGGTGTTTGATAAACGACTTTTTTTAATGTTTACAAACCTATTAACTATGATATTTAAGATTAACAAAAGTAAAATTGTGCGCTGCACCACAATGAATTGCCCAGACTTTATTCGTCTCCCTTATGTAATCATAGGAACTTACTCAAGTTACTTCAGTGAGGTCAGACATACCAAATACAAGTGAAGAGGCACTGGCCCGCGTCAACTAAACACGTTTACTCAGCATTTACAAAAAGATACTAAAGTAAGACGGAAAAATTAATTATAGAGATACAACGAGACAAAACTTACCAAATGATGAGGGAAATACAGGAAGGACGACACAATCGGGGTTTAGAGAGAAGGAAAAAAACACAAACTGCTAGAAGGGGCGTGAAACATGAAGTATATAGGGCGGCAGGATTTACATAAGGCAAAACATTAATGAAAAAACGAAAAGACTAAGCGTAGATTAATGGGTGCTAGATGAATAACATATGTGAATATATTATATAATATAAAGCAACAAGACTGTTGCTATATATTACAAAATTTCAATTGAATTAATCATAATAATATGAATAGCAATTATGTTTCGAGTCTAAATTGATTTCGTTGTGATTGAGTGGTTTATCTCAAAGTATACTTATTTATCTGATGAGATGTAAATCAAAGAATACTTTCCAAAGACGAATTCCTATTCAAATTGTTTGACGCAGTCTTGAAAGACTGTTTAATGCGCCTGGCTTCATACTCGTCAAACACGGCTCTGGTTACATTTCCTCCGTCCGTGGGATCCTCAATTCTGATTTTAGGTCCCCGCCAAACCTTAGAATGCATTTTGGTGGGTTCCGTGTTTCCCGTACGAACAGAAATGGTTTCTGCCCACTGGAAAGCAGAATAATACCGGAAAAACGCGATTAACAATTCTCCAAGACTTTCCTCGTTTTTTGACTTGTACGTCTGGATTTGAAGTGGAATTTCATCGGTTAGTTGGTGAATTACTTCGTTTTTTGACGTGTCTTTGATAAGTTCTGGGAAGTCTTTATGCAGTACAGGCAGGACTGGGGGAGAACAACCGGCTTGTAGGAAGTGGATGACCATGAGAACGATAGCAAAACCTAGACATGATGGAAAGTGGCGAGCAGCTAAATTTATTAAAGCATCACAGTTACATACAGTAAGCATAACTACACATTCGAAGCGGGGGAATCCCAGAAGCGGCACAGGTTTATACGAGTGATCTTAATAGTCCACATGTCTCCTCACACATAGGCCCCCAATGCTAATAAACTTGTATCAATCAAGTTATAAGTTCCAACTACTGTCTTTATAAACAAAACAAACAACAATTAAAAAAGTCTCCAAGTTTTCGCGATAAAGGTTAATTCAAGTTCTTGTCAGGAGTCGCGGGTAGTGTTAGAGTATAGTTTGAATTACTCCAAGATACAACACAATACCCCCTTCGCTTACAGTCTTCTCATCCTTCTCTTCCGACCTTCAACAATGTTAAATGCTTCTAGATACATTACCTGGAAGCCTCTTAAACTTGGCTCCGATAATTTGAGCCTCTTTCGCCCATAGTTTGATCACAATTGTCAACGGCTTCACTCTTAAGTCACACTCAGAGTAGCATTTTAATAGGAAGGCGTTCGTCAAGCTGCTCGAATTCTCCAAAGTGATGTCCGTTTCAAACGAGTTCTCTTTATCCTTGAGAATAATTATGGGGACTTTGGCATTTGAAACAACCTGAAAGTAGTTACAATTACTCTCTGTTAACTACGCCTTAGTTCTGTGGCCGTTTTATAGATGTGCCATGTTCAATTATGCAGAATTACACTTTCTCGTTCTTTCAACGCACTTTTACCTTCTCTTCCCCCCCTACCAAGGCAAAAATTGTAGATTGCATTTTGTTTACTATATACTAACAGGGGCAGCTGGTTCAGACTGCTTCTTTTTTCTAATTGGATCACCAGGAGATCTTTCAATCTTCCGCCCAAATATCGTTCGATCCAAACAGCCTCCATGAACGAGTATTTCTGGATTATACCAGAACGTGATATATAAAAAACAAACAGGGGATGCTGATATTTATGCGTGGTAATTATCTCAAACTAAAAGAGATACCAAATTAAATTATCAATTGGAATAACAAACACTGATACCTCTGTTTCAAAGCGGCGAGGCTTGCGACTGAAAAGCGATTCGATTCTCCTAAGCGTATACGTGTCTCTGGTGACGGCAGTTCTGCCTTCGATGCCCAGCATTAGAGTCAAATCAATGTCGCTATCGATGCTTCCAAATCCGTTCGCAGACGAACCACACATCACAAGGCAACAGCTGGGGTACAGCTCTTGGATGATAAGTTCCATTTCCTGCCGCCATGTATCTTTCTGGTCGTAAATTTTCTGTGTTTGTTGATTCGCCGAAAATTTTTCTTCAATCTGAGAGCTGAGTAGGGCATGATGTGATAAACCCGTTTTCCCACTGGCACTCGCCATTATGGACGTAAATTGGATGTAAAAATCTACTAGGAGATACTATGCGCCATCTTCAACTTTCCCAAAATGAAAGGCAATTTCCGTACTTTTTCCGTCATCGCGTTAAGTGTAGGTCCTAACGTGTTTTATTTTTTCTTCCACGAAATTTGGTATTTTCTAAGAAAACGCGGACCAAATCAATATCTGAGCAACTGCCCACCTACCCCTCCCCTAACCCAACATTAACCCTGACTTGTTATCAATTGACTGTTGTTGTTTTAGGGGAGGAGTAGGTGGGCAGTTTCCCAGATACTGATATCCGTTGTTTATGGTCAAGTTTCCTAGAAAATCATGTTGTGCGGTGATTGGTCAGTTTTCCGTGTCACTGCTTCTCTTGTGGATGCTAAAATGAATTATTGCTTGCATACACTACTAACCAAAATATATCAGTCACCAGAAATCTACAAAATTTCTGGCTGATAAAATAGTCCTCTCTATGAAAGAGGAAAGAGGAAAGAGGACTTGGTTTTCCGGGATTAATTTAAGAGAAATGAGATTGGCTGTGACTTTTCAATACTGATAATGGAAGCTACACTTTAGCAGCTTTATTATGGAATGAAGAATAATAAGAAAATAAAAATGTAAACATTCTTTGTCAGCTTACCTCTTTTCACAAATATACTTCCTTGCTGTAGGCGGAGAGGACTGGGTAGAAAGTGCGTGACATTTTACCGAGTGTTTGGTCATGTATGTGACAGATAGTGTACCGACTAGTTTTAAACGCCTTTCACTGGGAACAAAACATAAATTCTAATCACAGTTTGGTTTTAGCAATGACCGAAGAAACACCATCGTCTCTTCAGCAAGATGATCCTGTGGATATGGAAGGCACAGGATCAGATGTAGAACTCGAAAGAGGAGGGAAACAAGCAAAACTTGACGAAGAAGACAGCGACAATGATTCCACCGTCAGCAGTTCCAATTCGAATTCAACACAAGCCACAATTGGAAAGAGAGGATTCCGTGGAAAAGGCAGAAAGAAGAAAAGTTTAGCGTTCAAATGCGCGAATTTTCTTAGGGTACAGTGGATTTTTCACATCTTTTCCAGTTATTCAAAGTTCTTATGATGACATTTGAAGTTTTGGTTATTGACGTTTCCCGCGCACTTAAAATATCTTTGTTGGAGCTGGGAACCACGTGCATCGCTTTTCAACTTGGAAAGCTTTAAGTTTACAGAACGCATGTTTTTGTTCTAAGAAATACAAGGAAAAGAAATGAAGCAGATATGATGGAATCTTGCGAGTAATTACTGCTAAGATTCTGACTTTGTTTCTACCCTTCGCCTGCCATCTTAATCAACTTAAATTCGCTAGTGATCATTAGCTAAACTCTCCCCACAGTAGTACTATTCTGTCAAGTAGACAATGTGTGAAAATTGAGAAAATTTTCAGTACGAATTTGCTGGTTTCATCAGAGAAATGTTCTGGTTATTTGCAAGGAGAAATACCCTTAGTATCATGAGAGTAAAAAGGTACATACATCAAGTAGTGAGTATTATTCCAATCAGTGAACCTGGTGAAAAAGTGTTATCAGATTAGGATTAAGTGATGTGTTGCTGTTTTCTGACTGTGAATGAACAATAAGTTAAGATATGACATGGTATGGCCACAAATATGTCGACTAGGACAAGTCACGTCTTGAAAAGACAGGTATATTTCAGAGAGTCTTGTGTGCCTGTAAACAAGTTTATTTCATGTCGTCACTTTAGTCATTGTTGGGTGTAATTTAAATTGATCAAATTTAAATTATATTTGAATTTAGGGCATCAGGAAATACTAGTTGCTTCCATGATTTCTTGCACAATTTGCTTTGTTGCAATAGTAAGGCTTGTTACATTGTTATATTTTATTACATGTAGATTTAGGATTCATGGATTTTGTCAACTATATTTTTTTCTTGTGTGAATATAACAGGAGGATCACAAACAGCCTATATTTGCTGTGCAGTTTAATCACAATGTACCAGAAGGAACAGATGATCTCAACATGTTTGCAACAGTTGGAAGTAACAGGGTAATATAAAGGTTTTAAAGAAAAATTTTGTGCATCAGGAAAAATCTAACTCTCCCATGATGATTTAAACCAGGAGTAGTCCACTTTCCCTGTCAGATACTTTACCAAATGAACCTTAGAGCCCTTTTTGGTGAGCTAGTCTTCATACTAGGATGAGAAATGTTAGAGGTGTCTGGGAAGGTTTAGAGTGGGACTGGTGATGAATGTTGACCCTGGTTGCTTTGTTAAGGAAGATGTACTGTATTTGTCAAAAGTGGAATTTTATTTTGAACCTCAAGAAAACCATTTTATGCAAAGGGGTTTACCAAGTTCGTAAAGTGGAAATAAGATACAGAATGTGAATTCTGAACAATGTGATTTGTCCTCAGGTGACAATCTACCAGTGTGAAGCAAAAGGTGTGATCAAGCTACTTCAAGCATATATGGATGCCGATGTATCTTTTTCATCTAAATTTGAGAACTCTTACTTGCCCTCTGCCCTACAAAGTATACAAGATAAGCTTTATTTTCAGTTCTGTCAGAGGAGGTTAGCCAGTCTAATATGACTGATTACTATATATTGAATGAAGAGTGTAAGTTTCTAAAGAAACTGTGGTGCTGTGTCAGTGGGAGAGTATAACATGATAATTTGGTTTTATCAACTGAGTTTATAACTGTAAATTGGCCACTCTTAAGAGTTTCAAGAGCTTTGAAACTCTTCATGGTGGACAATTTACATTTATTTATCAACTCATTTAATTAAACCAAATTATCTGATTACCAGATATTGTTCTCAGCTGGTAACCAGTCTGTTTGTTAAGACACTTATGAGTTCAAAAAGTGCTCCATCTACATTAGTCATTATAAACCTTTAACAACTCATAGCCAGAGGAGAGTTTCTACACATGTGCATGGTCCTACCATCCTGATACAGGGGAGCCTTTGCTTGCTATTGCTGGTACAAGAGGAATCATCAGATTCATCAGGTTATTACCATGATGATGATTAATGAGTGTTATGAATCTTTCTGTTGTCTATTTCAGTGGTGCATGTTTTTTATTTAAACTTGTCATTCTCTTCCCTAAATCTGATGTCCTATTACTTGTTTGTGAATATGGTAGATCATCAAACTTTTACTGTAAGTTCCCAATGGAAAAAGTTTGTCTCATTAACTAAAGGTATTTTACTTAAACGTGTTTTATTCTGTTTCAGTCCAATAAGCATGAATTGTATCAAGGTTAGTAATCATTTTTTGAGTTTGTATAGTTTTTTCTAGTTATTTGCAAGGACCAAATTTATTGTGCACTTCTTGATGTATTTACTGGTGATGTAGTGATTTTCTGTATGAAAACACTAACCCAATAGTAATTTTATAAACTTGATTTTGGTTTCCCATTGATCTCTTTAATGCGCTGCAGCCCTTATCTGTGTGGAAATTTTTGGATGAAAGTGTGTGGCTTATAAGCAGGCGTTTATGGTATGTTTAGTTAGAAATGTATGATTATTTCACTGATATCTTTGTCACTTGTGTGTGCTGTTTGTTACTCATAGCATTATATTGGTCATGGAGGAGCCATTAATGAACTCAAGTTTCATCCAGTGGATCCTTATTTACTTCTATCAGCAAGCAAAGGTAACACAATTACATGCTTTTCAATCAAGTACGGCAAGTTATCTGGGATCACATTGCTTTTGGTCTGCTTTGCTCTGTGCCTAAAAATCACATAGCTTTTTACGCAAGCTACTTTGTATTTCAGTTTTTTTTTTGTTTGGCAGATCACAGTCTAAGACTTTGGAATATCAAAACAGATGTGTTAGTTGCAATATTTGGTGGAGTGGATGGACATAGAGATGAAGTCCTCAGTACAGTATGTATCTCAGAACAGTATCTCATAGTTTTTCTTCTTTCTCTTGTTTCCTCTGTTTTCCTTTTCTCTCCTTTCATTTCCCTCATCATCTCATGGAGCCAATTAACATACTCTTTGGGTTTTTAAAGAATATAAAAATTGAAATGCAGAGTACTGCTTCTCTGGGGCTTGGCCAATTTCACCACATTCTGTTTCCTTTTTCTATTAATGTTCAGTTCACTTTGCTTTCTTTGATAGTTATTGAATGCTGTGATCCTTTAAATATTTTATCCAAGTTCAGTTTATAGACTGAAGCAGTACCCCTCTCAATATGATAAAAACAAACCAAGTGGAAATTTTAGAAAGGCTTTTTTTTAAACTGTGAAATTATTCTGAAATTAACTTACAATTTAGTTAAACATTAACTTTTAAGCTTCATTTTGTTTGTGACACAGATTGTTTGTGAACTTTTCACAGGAAAAGTGTGAGGTGTCATGTTGTTCTTGTTGACGTGTCTTTTGATTTGTTCAAGGACTTTGATATTCTGGGTGAAAAGATGGTGTCCTGTGGTATGGATCACTCACTGAAGATATGGTCTCTTCAAACTGATGCTGTCAAGAAGGTAAAATCAAACTGAAGATTTTTCAGGCTTGTGAATTCCTAAAATTTATCTCAGGATGCAATCAAAAGCCCTGGTGTAATGTTCTACATACAGCAATTATTTTTAATGTCAGCACTTAGTTTTGTCATAATTGTTAAGGTATCTTTGAGGGAGACATGATACCAAAAGCTGGATGAGCTATAGTGTGTGTTTAATCTAAGTTACAATTTATCTTTTAGCATTTGATTGCTTTCTCCTCATTTTTTCCTCTTTCTTGTCTTAGGCTATTGCGGAGTCCCATTCTTACGATCAAAGCAAAACTGAGAAGTGAGTATTTCCCAGGCAGAATTTACTGTCTTTGAAATGCATTGTTCAAGAAATACCTGTCATGAAATAACTCTCCTCTCCACCCACATTTTGGTCTCAAACCAGACAGCAGCTGCAAAGAAGGATAGTTAGGGGTTTATCAGACTCTATCCAATAGTGACACATGTTATTGTGTTATAATTTATGTGACAGCTGTTGGAAGTTAAACAACAGAGGTTGACAAAGAGACATGTTATGTTAATGCTTAATGTCCTTGCCATGTATTCAAGCAGCTGGATTCAAGCCTAGGCCTCATCATTGGGATTTGTTCTTTTTCAAGACACTTTACTTTCTCAGTGTCACTCTCTTGTATCCAGTAATAGCAGTCACATCCATTTGATAATTTGTTGGCAAGCACACAAACCTTTATGTGGTGCTATTTTTAGGTTTTAATTTGATTAGTTTCAGGATTTTACTAAAGTATAAAATAAATGCAGTTTCTTGTCTTTAAATGCTAAGCAGTTGGCCCCTTAGCATCACTCAGGAGAGAGGAGCATTGGCCAAAACCAGTCAGCTTTACTTTAGCAAAAGGCTGCCTTACATGCCTGTGTTTTTCTTCTCCACCTGTCCTGTTTGTTTGGTCTTTGTGTTCATATGTTTATAACAACTTTTTTTCTAGCACTGGTCGTGTTATGGATAAACTAATCCCATACTCTTTGGTGGTGACTTCTAAGTGATTTGTTGTCTTTTTATTGCAGAGCTTTTCACACTGTCAAGCTCCACTACCCTGACTTCACCACCCGCGACATTCATAGAAACTATGTGGATAGTGTTCGCTTCTTTGGTGACCTCATCTTGTCTAAGGTCAGTTACTTTTATCACTGCAGAATAGTCAAGCTCTGTTATGAAAAAGGAGGAAACTCATAAAAACATCTATCTGAAATTTTGATCAAGCACTCAAAGAGAGCAATCGGGGTGTGGCTGGCACTTTATTTGACTCCCTGATAAATACCACATTAACACCACCTAATATTGTACCCCTTTCTGAAGCTTTCCTTAGTGATTTCCACAGATACCTGGCACAAGACCTTACTTTGATAATATATTTATAATAAAATATGGATGAAGGGACAACTAAACATCCTGGTGAACTGACTTTATCTAAACCTGATTTTCTACCTTTGGATTTTGAGTGTAGATGAAGAAAAAGCAAAAAAAATTGATACGTGCAAGAGAGAGACCTGGGAAGGGTAGATTTGTTTGAAAATCATAGCAGTTGTAACAACAGTTTTGTTCATGATTGGAGGATCTTTGAATTCACCCTCTTTAAACGCAACTGAACCTTTACATTTATGAATCCACACGTTGGTTAATAACTCAATGAATGTCTTGTTTTCAGTCATGTGAAAACTGCATTGTATGCTGGAAACCACAAGAGCGATTTGAGGACATTTTTAATGGGGTAAGAAAAAGAGAATGTATTTATTTCATTACAGAGGGCATGTACCTCGTAGTTATCATTTTCCCTTTTGGTCCCCAGAGTGGTTAGGTCATCAACTTATTTATTTAGTTGATTTTTATAAGGACCTCCCATTAATCCTTGTTGGTGAAGTTTGCGTCCATAATGGAGCGAGTCAAAACAATTACAAAAGTGATAATTAATTCCTTACCCTCTCTCTTTTGCAGCCTTTCAATTCTGATCGGGTTGTAACAGTGCTTCACCGGTGAGGAAATGCGGATTGTTTCCATGAGGAAAATTTTTGTTTACCGTACTCAAGTGTTCATTTATGCTGGGACATTTTACATTCTTCAATGTTAGTATCTTTTTCTTTTTTTTTTTGTACAGGTTCGAGTTTTCCCAGTGTGATATCTGGTACATGAGATTCTCGTTAGATTACGAACAAAGGGTAAGCATTTATTTTCAGAATCTTTTACTGACATTGTCAACTCAACGGTGAGCACATGGTAGTCTGGATCGAGAGAGCTTGGTATTTGAGCTCTGGCCAGAGTAACATTGAGGTTTGTTTGCAGAAGACATGTCTCTCACACAATGCCCGACCTTCTCTGGTACATTAGTCGTTTTAAGTCACATAGAGTCGCCATTGGTTCTTGGACCCAACAACTTCTAATTCGGAAATGTGTCAAAACACTATTCAGTATGTTAACCAAGAAAACGCAGATGAAGTGAAGAGGGCTTTTTCTTTACTTGCTTGCCTTTTGGATGGCTGAGACCAAGAAAGAAAAACGGAAACAGTCGTTTGTCTTAGCCTTTTATACTCCAACATCAGTATGCGTATTCTCTCTGCTGTGGTCTTTACATTTCTTATGGTACTGACAGGGAGAATTTGTGGAAAAATCAAGAGCCTCTTCAATAGGTGATCATTTCCAATATTCTTACGACCTTAATGGTTGATTCAGAAGTAATACTGTCCCGAGAAATTAGAGGCTGGGTACTGTTAGGTATTAAAGTATTAAGACGCGGTTAACTCCTTTCTTTTAAGTCTTTAAAAAAGAATTACACTCTTTGCAGCTAAGACGCTTTGCAACTGTAACTGAGAGCGCAAAATTGACCACATCATAACTTTTATTACAATTTCTGTTGCATTCCAGCTAATGGCGGTTGGGAATCAAACAGGGAAGACATTCGTTTGGGATATTGGCGTTGACGATCCAACAAAAGCTAGGTAATGCAAATTATTACGATACATTTCTATTCAAGTTCAAATGTTTTTTTTAATTTCGTGTCCTTGGTTGGTATTAAAATTTGTGTGGAAGAGATATTTAGACATTGGTGAGAAGGTCACAATCGTGGTTAGTTATCATTCAGTGTGGTTGCCTAATACTGAAAATAAGGCCATGTAGAAGACACGTGACCATTGCAAAGCCCGGCAATTTTGCTACGAAATTTACATACATGCATGACAAGCAACCACGTGATCTCTAAAAAGGAGATGATGAAACTAACTTCAAGTAAAGTATACAAATCTTAACCTGCTGTGCTGGTTTTTTTGGGCGTTAACGTTAGAAGATCGCGGTCGTTTATCCGACCAGCCATGTTTGATTTAGAGTTGAAGTGAAGGGTGGGGAAGGGGGCAGGGAAAGGCCCCACTCCCTCCCCTCCTTCCTTTTGACCACCGCTCATCGACTTTCCGAGTTTTCCGCTGCTGTAAAAATCAAAGATGGCAACTATAATTTTCACCAAGAGTACTTGGCGTTAGCCCGCCAAAATTATGACTGCTATGTAGTTTATAAAATCTCGGTTAACCATTTCTTCAACCTCTCAGATACGCTTATTTCTTTTCTCAATAACATCCTAGGGGTAGACTTATTTGCATAAACTGCATGTTGTTATCTTAGATCGACAACGCTTGGGCACAACAAGTGTGTATCGGCCATCAGACAGACGGGATTTAGTAAGGACGGCAAGTAAGTCTGCACTGAAATGTCTACAGAGTTTAGATTTACATATCGTTAACTTTGGAAATTGTTACATATCGAATCTACTTCTGATTTCTTTCTTTTCAGGATTCTAATATCTGTTTGTGATGACGGAACGTTATGGAGGTGGGACAGAGTCAGATAAAAATCTGTTCTGTCGTGTCACTGGTTTGATGTATAATAACTCGGACAACACATTTTTTTTACTGTATATTTTTCGTCCTATAACAAACTTTTGTTTAATTAAAGAGACTGGTTTTCAAAGAGCGTGCTGTCGTACTTGTGCTAATTACCGACAAATATGGATATCAAACAATCTGAGGCCTCCCTTGATTCGCCGAGCTTTTACAATTTGATGAAGTTTTGATATAATCCACGTTTAAAGTTTCCCCACTCCATCATGAGCCTTACCAAACCAAGCATAAGTGAGAGAAGTCATTATGGTTTCATTGACACGAAATTGCCAGATCTTGCCATTTTCCCTTGGGCTGCGCTGTAATGGAGAAAGGATTATTAAAATTCTGACCTCAATGAAAGAATTCACAGTTAGCCTACGAGCAGGTCATGTTAGTAGCACTTCGGCGCGAGCGTTTTCCCGCCCGCGAGAAAATAAGAAGCCTTGACCGACGGGAGCCGGCAAGATGGCTGTGAAAGGTCAAGCTCTGCTAGAGCCCCGGCAAACTTCTCCCCGACGTGTCCCAAATCTTCCCGCCGGAGGAGAAACGCGCGTCCCCTCGGCTTTCGCTTCCTCAGCGCGCGCGCTTCACGTGTTTGTTCACTTATGACGCACATTTTGGTTTAAGAAAGTAACTTATTCGTTGATGGGAAAAGAAGCAAACCATGGCAGATTCCGTTTGTGTCGATGTTAAGGACCAAACTGTCGCTTACAACAGCACAACAGGAAGTGAACCTGTAGACCCTACAGATACAAGCTACGTCGTAGAGATTCGCTCTCAAAGAAATCAAAGTGCTACATGCAGGAATTGCGTTAAAATATTAAAGAAAACGCAAAGGCAAACTCTCTACTCCAGGATTCGGGAGTATTTAGTAGCAGAACGAAATATTGACGTGAAGTTGAAGCGTTTCAAAGTAAAATCCAATAGCGCGATCAGTCCGTTTGCCTTTCTGTGCAAACTCTTCGCGGCTTTGTTCCAGCATGAAACGGAAGCGAAATTCACAAGCGACGAACTGGAAAAACTCACAGAATATCAGTTGGGTGCGCTAAAAGAATCCTTGAGGAACTTAATATCTGAGAAAACGAAAGAGCTACAACAGGAAAAGTTGAAACGCATTAAAGAGAGACAGGCCTTACTTGGGTCTAAACAGAAGGCGAAGGATTTAGAGACAGAGGCTTGGGTCACATTACGGCCATTCTTAAATAAACACCCTTCCTTAGACGATCTTACGAGAGTTCTAATGTTTTAGGAGTGTTGTAAACTGACTCGGTTTGGAGAATAAGACATTTCGTAATTGAAAAGAATAAGAAGGGAGTGATGGATAAAGTTGTGTGTGAATAACGTGGGAAAGTCTATACAGATTTTAATAAACTTTGTTCGCTGTAATCAAAGGAATTCGGATCTGCATTCCGTGCCAGTTAGCTATGTACATTTACCACCGGAAAAAGGGGCATGTTCCAGCATTAGAATAATCCAATCTTGAGCTTTGAAGCTTTTGCTAAAGGAAAAATAAAATCCTTCAACAACGAAATGAGTTCTCCTCTCACCTAAAAAATGAAATCAGGAAAGAGAACATCAGAAAGGCCACTGATTAGTCGCTTATAGTAATGTTATTTCAGGGATTAATAAATTAATGCCTATTTAAGTAACACGTAATAAAAAAATCAGACTTTTTGGAGCTGGCCGTTTGTGGGCCTTTGTCTTACCAACAGACTGGCGTTTACCAATCCCAGGCAAAAGCAAACCCATAGTTTAGGAGAAACGCATGGACAAGAAGGGTCTGGAGAGTTCTCTTGTACTCCCAGTTTAGAAATAATATATAACAAGCAGTACAATAGTGTTCTTCCAAAATCCCGACTGAGGTATTGTAAAGGGAAACCAATAAAAAGTGCGGTTTATTGCTTAAATAAACATCTGTTATACAAGAACCCTTTCAGTCTGTCTGGCTTTGTAAACAGAGGTTTATTACCACGGACATGATTAACTACGTACTTCTGGTATATCTATCATTCTCCGCAGCTTTTGATCTCTCCATGTCCAGTCAAGAATTACATACTTCAATCTTTTAGTTTTTAATGAATCTGAAAGTGTGAAAAAAGAATCTTTAATCAACAAAATGATCCTCGCAGGTGAACTGCAATGGAAGAAATTTCAGAAAAGGAAGTCTGAAAACAATTTAGGTTTCGAAGGGGTACGAACCAGTACCCCCCAGATTCTCGTGGGTCGTTACCTCATAATGAGCTAAAGGGCACTTGTTGAGAGAGATGCAAAACTGGGTTGAGGTAAAACTACTCTAAGCATGTTCAGTTACTGAGACGAATCAGCACTCTTGCTTAGCAATAGCTGCCCAGTAGGCTCTTATTATTAGCGCTGCAGGACGCGCGTTTCTCCGCCCGCGGGGAGATTTGAGACAAGTCATGCAGGGATAGGTTTTCCGGGGTTCGTGTTGCTCAAGGCCTCGTCCTTTCCCAACGAAACGAAGAAACGCTCGTGCCGTGGTCGTGCCGAAGCACTAATATCGAGGGGCTGCTCCGAGGCTTGCTCAGCAATCGAGCGTCATGGATAAAAGCATGCAAAGAGGCAATTTGGAGTCGACTGATTACAAACAGAGCCCGCTCACCATTCTGTATTAGCTTTAAAATTCGACTTGGTGTTCCAATACCGAAATGAACCACCTGGGACTCTAGAAACCGCTCCTGCTCTGAAACCTGCAGAAATAAATTCCACCTGGAATGAGCGATGAAGATCTGAAAGCGGTAAAATTCACACACGTCACGCGCGCCACAACAGTTTCAAGGACAAAAAAGGCGATTTTATCGCCTGGTTTTCAGGAAATATGACATTTTTCCTGGTTCACTGAGCGCGAACTAAAGGAGATGGGCGTCAAACGGTCACACCACCATGATGTCAAATTGCGCGATGGTTCTTTTAAAAAGCGTTGGAAAAGCGGATACCTCTCCCAAAAATATTTTCCCAAACTCATTTCTTATCGTCGAAACGGCTTCATAGCCCAAATAATTTAATTTCTCAACCTAGAAACCCACAGAGCTTGCCTTAAACATGTAAACTCTTCTACCTTCATGTGCTTGGCGAATAATTTAACCGTTTTGCATTTTCCTTTGAATTCTGTCGCTGCCCTGTAGAAAGTAAGAGGAATTTCATGTCTTCAGGTAATTCACCAAGTAGATTAATCTCTTGAGATCTCTAGACCTCTCATTCCCCTTACCCCTGGGATAATGGTCTAATGACCCATCCCATCTTTTCAATTACCCCTTGGATTATAACCTACTGCCCCCCAACCCATCTTTTCCGTTTACCCCATTGTTGTTCCTTGCACATTATTTACAGGACTTGCCTTCAGCTTAAACTGTAATCAGTTTAGGATACATCATAAATGCCTTACTAACCTGTTAAGTTCCACAACTCTTGTAGCTGCTGATGAAACAAACAGGAGCAAGGGAGAGCCATGATCACCTTTATTGTTTAGTTTATCCACATCTCTTGTCCACTGAGGAACAACTGCAACAGATGCAATCAGATGAAAGACAATCAGTGATGGATTCGAAGAACTAACTGAAAGGTCACACCTTCAACTTGAGTCAGAGCATGTGGATTTTTTTTCTTAATACACTGGGCCATAAACATCATCTTTTGTGGTAATTTTCCTCCCATTTTGACACTTAACCCTTTACACCCAAACATTAGAGTTCATATTCTCCCCTATGTTCTCTTGACATTATGGTACTGTTTGTAATTTTCATGGGAAGAAAACCAATCCTTTCAAGAAAGGTTTGCACCTACATTGTAGCCTCATTTCAAACTGAGTGTTCTCAGGCTCAGAAATTGCCTGTTCAAGTCAGGTAACTGATTATGTCCCACAAAGTGTTCTTTGTTATCAAAATGTGTTGGGTTATCACATGTGTGCAGTTCAATAGAGCAGTACACTCTACAGGCATAGCATAAATGGTTGTGACACTCACCATTATTCAGGTAAGAAAGGAGTTCATTTAGAGATCCGCTGTGAATAGAATCATCCACCAAACAACAGGAATCTAAAAAAATATAAAAATTGAAAACAACTGCTTCTAAAATCTTCTGTAGTAAATTTACCATACAAATTATTGCATACCACAGCAATTAACAAAGCTGAGAGACTTTAAACTTCAGAAATTCCAAACTCACTGTCTCATTTAGAATTAAGGCTACAAGCTCTTAGCCCTTCCAAGAATGTGCTTAGGCAAGCCTGCATCCAAAAATAACTTGCATAGTTTGACCAACTCAGGTTTGCACATTGTAAAGCAACTAGAAACATTTGCTACTTCTATTGGATGGGACACTATTAGTCTATACCAGGTTACCCTTCTCAAGTTCTGTCAAATTTCGTGAACAGTTCCCCTGTGCCCGTCAACTGGGAGTCAGAGAACTAACAGACCATGATCAGAAATTCTTATACTCCTGGTTGGAGACAAGCAGAGTGAAAATTAACTTTCTTTGCAAATAACACATAACAAAGATGCTTGCCAAGGTGTTAATCTGGATCTTGATGTCCAATTACAACAGAATTCACCACAATAGGCAGCTATGTCTCTCACAAAGAGTATAGCCATTACTGTTCAATATTTTTGGCTAAGTTTCCAAGGTTTCCAAGTTTCCAAGTTTTATTATTTCACACTGTTTACAGAAAAAAATAACTTAAAAATAACTTTAAAAACTTTCTTTATCATAATTTCTGGTTAATCTACCCTTCAAATGACATGGACAGTGATTCTCAACAGACTCTTAACTACTTGTGTTTAAGTGCACAGAAAAAAAGGGGTCAGTAGAGATCTTCATTGGATATCTCATTTCTTTAAATGGGTGAGCTTTGAGTGAGGGAAGGGGGGTAGGTATGAAAAAGAAAGTCAATTTTTGGCTTCAAGCTGTTTAGACTGATGCTTAATAGGATGCAAAATCATCATGCAATTTGGTCAACAAAAAGCACAAGCTTTAAAGCTACATCTTGTCTTCCTTGGTGCTGTAAATAATCCCTTCTTACCATCAATGCTCACATCCTCAAGTTCTAATGTTGTCAGTGATCCTGCAGTACTGTCACAGAAAGTTGACCACAATACATTTGGTGCTTCTGAGCCATGAAGTTTTGTTGATATACTTTCAATCTGTAAAATGTTACAGCATTCACATATTACAATCATTAAAATTTTTGATGACAATAGCATGGAAATTCTCCAAACAAATATATTAGTACTTCCTCAGTGTATTGCCTTCCAGATTTGCAAAGGGCATTCATGATTATATCTAGCTGTAAGGGTTGTCAAATGTAATCACAAGTTTTGTGAATACACCACTAAAAGCCAATTAAATCAACCGTTAAAAAAGTTAAAAAACATGTGTCGGGAGGCTTTGAAGATCGAGGCATAACACAATAGATGCTATTCTTATTCAATGACATGTAAATGAGTTGCGGGGTATTCTGAAGTTGCTCCAAGGGGGGGGCTGGAAGAAGACACACGAATAAGTGACACTCCAATTATGGCACACCTATTTCAACCTGTCTCAATCATAATTCCAAGAAGATACTAACAGAGAATATCCTGGCTAGTTACAACAGTATCTTTCAGTTACAAAGAAGTAATACCTTAGACTTTTTCCTCCTTTTCTTTGCTTTTGATTCATTTGGACCATCATCACTGAGCTTTATCTACAAGAAATAACACAGGATTTCAGTGAAAGATACACAGCGTACAACAAAAATTATCAACGAGACCTATTCTCTGCCGGTTGGTGGGCAAGATAGACAAAATAACTTTCTGGAGACGCGTCCCATCCGGTAATTCTATCATGCGCCTTGTTTTAAGCAGAGGATGACTACAAAGACTAAAGAAATAACCAAATACAAGGCTACAAAGACAGTTTGGCAAACTCTTTACTCACTTGTTTACTGCTGTTGTTCTCCGAATGACCTTCGACATCTTCACCTTTTCGCCGCTTATTTTTCCGTTCTGTTTCAATCTCTTATGGTAAAATTCAAGTAAAGATAATTAATAATCATTATTTTCTCAAAAAAGGAAGAAAATTCACAAAGCAGGCAATTTACCTGTATCCTCGACGTCTTTTTCACTCAACCACCATTCGTCCCCCAAAGCGTCCGCCATATTTGATAAAATCGGTCAAAGACTGGTTACGACTATTTCCAGTTCCCATGGACGTGCCACTAACTTTCGTGCGCTGATTGGCTAGCTCGGTTCACTTTGAGATATGCTTCTTTTCACTGGTTTGGAAACTATTTAAAATACTCATTCAATCCAATGACGTTCTGTCATAAAGCGGAAGAGTTTCAGCTCGTTTCTCAACAAACAACTGTTCATTAAATCCTTTGGGTGTTTTCCCCTCAAGCTTTAGAAGAAATTTCAATTAGTTCCCAAAAACTTCAAAGCTAGTGTTCAAAGTTTTTTTTTCCAGACATTAGAAGTTACTGCGCCTAAAAATGCGGTTTTTGGACCCTGAAGTCTGACCAAGGCGTTTCTGATCTATATCAAAAGGTTCCGTCTGATCAGACATCACAGTCCGAGATCAGAAGGAACCTTCCGAGTTTTCATAATAAGGAATTTACGATATTCTTAAATACAATGTTTGTTGCTGCTGTTTCTTTCATTGCCATGAGCAGAACCAGAGTACATTGGGCGTTTGTTCAAATTTCAAAAAAATTGATTTTTTTAACTCGGAGAAATTTTTCACCGCTAAATCGGAAAATTCTCAACTGAGAAGTTAAATGAAAGGTAACATAACTAATTTTTTTGCCTGATAGATAGGGTGATTTATGCCACTACTATCTACAGTTGTATAAAAAAAGTTCGATGACTTTTAAGTTAACTTCTGTACAAAATGTATAACAACATAATACTTCTTTGTAACAATGTAACACCCTTACAGAGCGTATCGAATAACTAGCATTTACAATTTATGAAAAAATATAACATTCTTTAATCTCACTGTATTTTTTAAAACTGTGCCTAAGTGCCCAGCAGCCAGGCACGGTCTTAAATGGACTAAATGCCCGGCAGTCAGAAATTTCCAAAGAATTTTCCCTGCGAGGTTCTTTCAAGCTTTTCAAGATTATCAGATGTTTGTTTAGAAATGTCAAGCGATTTCAAAACTTGCTTCTTTTTTCGAAAGACGAACTTTCCGAGCTTGTAATACCGAAAAATCGCTAGACTCACATAATATTTCTGACCTAACAATTTCATGGCATGCAGAAGCTCAGAAAATTCGTCAAATAAAAACCGTCAAAATTTTTGGAATTTCTTGGCATTTCTAAACAAACATCAAACACTCATTAGGTTTGCATGAGGTTTTCTGTGGGAATTCGGTGAATATTTCTGACTGTAGGGCACGGTCTCAAATAGACAAAATGGCCAGCAGCCACTTAATTGTTTGCCTAACCCTGACCTCTGTCGGAAAGGGAAATAATTCAGAAGTCAAAATTTGATTAAACGTCATCTGCCAAGCAAATGAATGACCGTGTAAAACAACAGATACACAAGGTGAGTGTTAGACACCAAACCGATATTTTACAAGAGTACGTGTGAATATATAACAATAAGATGTCTTACGCGGGAAACATTTCTTATACTGTGATGTGTTACATGGCGTTACGTCGTACCGCCGCGCAACACTTTCCATTGTGTTGCATTGCATATTGCGTTAGCTTGGTGAAACTCTCAGATTAAGCCAGTTCTTAACCTTCGAAAAAGGCAATTCTATTCCACTTTATGTTTTATTCTATAGCTATCTACAAAACAGGTAAATACACCATTTTAAAAGTCCTAAATCCGTGATAATTCGTCCAAATCTACGATACCAGTTTTATCATCAATGCTGTCCACAGGCACGGCCACAGGGTCCCCACTTGGAGATTCAACATATCGGTAAAATTTAGCCATTACTGCAAACCCTACCATCACCACAAACAGCATGCCGGCGAAAAAGAAAAATTCGGTTGTCTGGTTTGTAATGAGACGAGATTCTGCTTCAATGACAACAATCAAATTACCAAATGCTACTGTCATCAGCCAAGCGGCCTGAAGACATGACTTCATAGAAGCAGGAGCCTGGGAATACGCAAACTCTAAACCTGTAAAAGAAACCAAACAGTGATTCTTAACAAAAATTGTCTCATGAGAAAGAAGGTTTTGACCTTTCATGATTGTCTGTTCTTATCTCATTTTCACAGGAGAATGTGATGAAATTGTAAGAAATTCATATCCCTTAGATAACCCTGCACAGGACACAACCTGGTAAAGGTGAACGTGGTTGGCCAAAAACCATCGAGCTGTTCGGGCTGATCTCGGTGAGGTAAAAATAACAATGAGTGGGGCATAACACGCTGCGCAAAACAGGGCTAAATGGAGAGAGTGATTTAGTATTATCACTTGAGTTGGTACCGTAAATTGGCCACCGTAAAGAGTTACAAAGCTGACGTTTCGAGCGTTAGCCCTTCGTCAGAACGAATGGAATGCTTTGTAACTCTTTACGGTGGCCAATTTACGTTATCAACTCAGTTGGTAATACTAAACTACCCTGTTACACTCTCCCACCGACGCAGCAACACAATTTCTTTAGAAACTGACCCCCTAAATGGAGAGAGATTGATGGTGTCTTGTGTTCCATGGGAGATGAGAGAGAGAGAAAGTGTGTGATATATTCAATAACCTCTCTGAGTTCAAATGATGTCAAGACTCACCTGTTATAGAGAACATTATCTCTCCACTCGTGATCACAAAGTACTGTGGGATCTGATACAACATTGAGACATTTCTTGCCTCCAGATCCTTGTACAAGGTGACATTACCTCCTTTCCCTGGTTTGTTCGGCTCTATTACGGCGGTGTAAATGCCACCGTTCTTAAGAGATATTTCACTGGACACATACGTTGTCTTTGTTTTCTCTCCTTTTACAGTTAACTTATATTGATCTGAATTTTTTACAACACAATTTGTTGCTCCCCAAGCATCCACCTTTTCTTGAATCTTAGTCTCGTCCAGAAATATATCAAACATTTCGCTGTCTACTGATGATGGCAAAAGAACTGTGCACAACTTGGCTTTCCCCGGAGGAGGAGATGAAACGTTTTGTTTGACCAGATGTGTAAAAAGTTGATTTTCGTATTCACTGATAATCAGGTTATACCACTCCTTATCTTCCAGACTAAGACTATCTTCAACTGGTCTTGACATATTGTAACATTTTGAAGATGTTTGAATCCTGGTCGACACGTTCTTAGTTACTGGCAAGTTCAACTCACTGGAGTGTCCATAAGGTGTCACTGTGATATTCTTGTTGCCGATGGACAGTGACACTGGGCAGTCCAATGAGTTAATAACTTGTAAATTTGCCTGTCCCTCCGAGGGTGCATTCTTGATGACTTCTTCACTCTGCAAAAATGTAAAATGAACCACTGAATATTTATTGACAATTCAATTCTGAGTGTGCATGACAACAATTGTCTACCATTATAAGTGTAAAAATTACAATATCACTATTACCTGTATTTTCATCTGGAGAAATCCTGCAAAAATAAATGCCACTGTAGCTAGAAACATTCCTGCGCACATCCGCTTGAGTGGTTTTGGCCTCCGTAGTAATGGGTATATCACAGTCTCAAACAGTGGAATAAGGATAATGATGAAAAGAGGATTGAATGCTTGCATCTGGTCTGGTTTCATGGTTCCCAAGAAACCTGTTTCAAGATCAAAATCGTTATGGTCTTTACTCTTGTCATTGAAAAATTATCAGGTTTAAGTATCACAGCCTAAAAAGAAAAACAATCAAACAAATTTTGTTGTAAATCATTGTTCATGGTGGAAATGGGCTAAGCTTTCCAGGCACCTATGATCTTAGACAAAGTCCTAAGGCTCTTTTACAAGGCTGTCAATAACATCAAAAGTAGATGGTTATTAAACAGATTAGTGGGTAGCCAGGAAATAATAGAGGTCATGTTGTTTGGTCAGATTATACGCAAGACTGAGAACTATTCAGTTAAAATGTCTGAGGTGTCTAAACCTGCTACTGGTAAATAATGCATTCAATTCCAATAAAAACTGGGAGAGGTTGGTGTGCAAATTTCTTTGATGGCATTTCAATAATTGTACATTTCCATCTGTACTTTCAGTACAATGACGTGAAAGTAGCTGGTTATAGATGGGAGACTAGCTGCTGGTTTTGGTAGGCTTTCAGCTTTTACTGACAGCTCTGTTTTACACCTGCATAAGCAAAAACTGCATTTTTTTCACAATGCATGTATCTACTGTCCTTCCAACACCACCATACATTACATTATTTACCTTCTGTCTTGTTAATTGTTTAAGAAACTACCCACTTACCAGCATCACCATCCATTTGCCCAGCCTGCAAAACCCACCGTGAGCCCTGTTGATCAAACAATGTCCAGAAAACGGGCAGTGGAAGAAACATGAACAACACTTTGAACAGAGCTTTGATGTCTTCTATTAACTGAGCATCGTATCTATCACTGGCCCAGTCCATCCAGTGAGCTTTTCTCTCTCCCTTGAGGAGAAAATCATGAAAAAAGAACATAAAATATCTGGAATAACAATGAGGAAGATATGTAATGCACCACAGGCAGAACATTATGCATTAATAAGAGTGACTTTGCTTGAGAAATGAGTGTATGCCAAAATAACTGAAACAGTTAAATGTTGAATGTTGGTGGCTTCAGAGGAATGTTGCAAGGGGTATAATCATGATACTATTCTGGGTAGATTAGGAAAGACCAGGGCTTGTTTTTCAGAATTAATGAAATACACTATTTCTTAGAATAAGCACCCATGCACATCCCCCAAGTATGAGCCACCCCTATGGCCATATTGTCAAACAAGCACCCCCTTTAAATAAATGCCCATGGTCAAATAAGAGCCTCCCCCTGATAAGCACCCACCCCTTGGGCAATATATCAAACAAGTGCCCCCCTTGAGTAAGTGTCCCAACTCTCCTTCCTCTCTTTCTTGAATAGTAAGGGTACAAAGTAAACTTGTTTATATCTTTTATAGTCTGATAGTTTCTTAATAAGTGCCCTCCTTCCAACTAGTGCCCCTCCCTTTGGCCCAAATTTTGAATAGGCACACAGGCACTTATTCCAGGAAATAGAGTGAGTATCTTTTTTCGGTCATGTATCACAAAAGGTCAGGAGTTAGAACAGACCAAAGTAGTTGAAGAGGACATCATTACCTCATGGCGCAAAATTGAGTCACTCAATGCTGTGCCATGGTGGACATATTCAGACAAGTGTATGATACCTTTGAGGTTATTTTTTTCTTGAGTGCATAGCTGACAGCCTTTGTCACCCGCAACAAAATGTTATCAGTTTGTGGAACCCTCTTGTACTTATTTCGGCCAAACCAAAATAATGTTATAGCCATTAACATCAAGGCTGCAGGAACACCGAAGGCCAGAGGATAACAGTCATCACCATAGCACTTTACATCTCCTGTTAATAAACAGACCATTTAGTGATACACACAAAAAAACAAGATGGCTTTCTGTATTCTCCCTCAAAGGACCAGATGCACAAGGGGCATTGCTAATTAAAGGGTAAAAAGAGGCAAGGGATTGAATTTGTCTTCAAATCATATGCAAAACTTTGCTTTTTCTTTATTTTTGTATCTTGAGGCAATTTAAAAACTTTGAGCCAAAATAGAAATTCAGCCCTAATGAGAGCATATCACCAATGATATTTTCCAATAACTTCCAGACAGCCATTTTTTTATTGAGATACACACAGGTCACAATGAAGTCTGCGAGCATTCTGGGGCAAGAGTTATGTTTAGGTATGTTCAAATTTTCATCGTACAATATGTAACCAACACTGGTGCACATACCTCTCAGTACAGGTGTAATTAGCATAGACAACAAGCTTCCAGCATTAATCGCAAAATAAAACACAGAGAAAAAACTTTGAAGCAGTTTTGACTGATCAGATGTGAACTGATCTCCACCAAATGCTGACACACATGGCTTGATACCTCCTGTACCCAGAGCAATGAGGAACAAACCAATCATAGGACCAGGAATCTCACCAGCACCAAGGGAAGGAAGAGATGTCATTGACACAATCAGGTTCCCAATGCAGTAGATAACAGAAACATACAAAATTGTTCTGTGGAAAATGAAGATTCAAGAAATGAGTGGAAGACAATAAACTTTAAAATTGGGTGATGAACAGGTTGAATATACATCTTCATAATGATTATGTCATGCCAGACAAACAGTGTTTTTGGTAACTTATTAACTCATTCTTCTATATCAATAGAGGCATAAAATATGTGGCTTGTAACCCTTAGAGCCTAAGGGTAACTAGCATCTAACTTCTCCTTATAGTATCACCCCTGAAACAAATCTTAAGGTTGAAAGAATAAGGAAAATGATCATTGACTAAAAGGCTCTTCTATTGTTAAATAAATTCTCCTTGTCAGCATTTTAGGAAATGAATAAAGCACTGTATGGAGAATATACACACTGATGCTGGGGTGTACAGGGTAAATAGCTCTAAAAAATATCATTTACAATATTGAGTTGGAGTTAATATTGAGCATATTTTGAACCAAATTAGATATTACCAGTAAGTTTCACTACTTGTGAGAATCCTCTGATTGTCTGATGTTAAATTTTTGATTCCAAGATTGTGCAGTAAATTTGTTAACAAATTATCTACTTTGCATATTTTACCACAATTGGCAGTTATATCGCAATCTGATTAGCCAATTTGCCAATAAGAGCACACAGTGGTAATGCAATGAAAGAATGAGTTATTTGACGTTGATATTGTGGTAAAAAACTACTCTTATCAGCAAAGATATTGGTCATCATAGTGGTCAAAATTTGAGCACTTTGATGACAAATATCACTGTTGATAAGAGTACATACAGACCATCCTAAGCCACCGTCAATTTGTTAACTTCATTGAGCAGTCACAGTTTAGAGCCTTGAAAGAAGTCAAAAGGGTGGAATTCCTTTGAGACCTCTACTAGGGAAACAAAACATGTATGCTAAAGAAGTTGTTAATTTTGACAAAAAAGACATTTTAATTTTGCAAACCATGCCCAGTCTACCTCTACCACAACATGAATTAAACTTACTCAAAAAAGAAAATCATTCATCCAGTTTTTTATTGAGGGGGGAATGGGGGTGTGGCTAGGTGGAGTGTGGAAGAGGGTTAATAAATTTTTGAAAGTTTATTATGCAAAACATGAATTTAACTCTCTTTTGCTCCAAGGAGACTACAGTGATGGTATTAGTGAGAAAAACTTTTGAGTGGTAAAGTTCTCTTATTCTCACCGGTATTTTCCAAGCCAACCATCGGCTAACATTGCCCCAAATAGAGGGGTAAAGTAGCATAACATAGAGAAACTATGAAAGACCGCAGTCGCAGTATCATCCCCAAGCATAAGAACCCTTGTGAGGTACAGGATTAGGATAGCTTTCATTCCATAGTAAGAAAACCTCTCGCAGAATTCATTTCCTACGATGTAGTAGATACTCGACGGAAAGTCAGTTTTGCAAAGAAGAAACTTTTTGATTCTTCCCCACGCTTTCCCGCTCAGTTTCACCTGTGAGTTGTTTTGGACGACGACATCGTTCGGTGATTGAGATCGGAAAATTTCCGAGCCAGTCCAACTCTGCTGGCTATCTCGTCGGCGATTAGGAGAAGCAACGGAATTGTGAGTTGACATGGCAAGGAAAATACGAGGAGATGGTGCACACAATAACTCTTGGGTCACAGTAAGCAAGAGTATATCGACATAGCAATCCAAACGATGTCCCCGATGGGTACATCCACATGGAGCGTTACACGACCAGATTGTCATTGTCTCTCAACCGCTGGCTTTTTGCGCAGTGACCGTGTGAGCCAGAAATCGGAGCATTGGCTGTTTCGAACAATCGCTTGTTAAGTTGTTCACGCTCGTATCACGTTGAAAATGGCTGCCAGATTGTTTAGGAAGGGGCTCGACCATCTTAAAAGTAAAGAATTTAGGGATTATTTACTCAGGTAAGATTACCCAGTCTCTAAGTTTTCATCACGTCTTCTTTGTCGTACTAAATTAATGTTTTCGTTCTTTTTCAGCACGGTAAGTTCCACCTTGTTTCAGACGTTTATATTGTACGAAATTTTGACCCTCCGGCTGAAGTGGCTTCGCAATTAAATTTGATCTTATCTGTTTATTTTCATGCATATGTTACAGCATTTCTGGGGACCAGGTGAGTGTTGATTGTTTTACATCATGGAAGTTAAACTTATTTGTTTAATTTGCCACGAGTGTTACTTTTTGATCAGGCTCGTGGAATCGAATGTTCGACCCCCTCTCAAAGGTCGTTTCTCCTGTTTGAGCATGCAAATGAAATCCGGCTTTTTTGATGGATCAAACTATTCGACATTTGTTTTTTCATTTCATCCAGTCCTCGGGTGTATACATCAATTACATCACTGCTTGATTTATTTATTTACAACGCATCAGCTTAGAGGCGGAGACGGAGAAAAATAACTGTTCTTGCCGGCTGCGTATGTTCCCGGATGAATCGCACAAATGTAAATAATGTCTGGATTGTAATTAAAATCGTAGTGTGATTTCTGAAAGAATCGTATTTTAAGTGAGTAAAAATGGCTCTTCTCTGCAATTGGTTCCACGAAATACGAACTCCACCTGCAAACCATTCGATTTCGACTGATCTTGGCCTGTGCATGTTGCAGCCTCGGCGAGATTTCCGCACAGCCCCATACTTCATTATGCATACAATTCTTAGATGAAGAAAACGATGGCGAAAACAATAAGTTGCATTTGGGATGAGGACCTGCTTTTGAATAGTATGGGGTTATACGGAAATGTATCCTTCTGGTGGCTCTCAGTTCAAAACATCAAATTGCCTTTTGTTAACTCACTAAACCAGTGGTTAACCTTGTCGTCAACTTATCTAGATATTTGGTCAACCTACCGAACACCATTAACTTGGCTGTTTTTCTGGCTTCATTTACATGAGGGGAACTTAATTTTGGACCTGTAATGAAAAGGAAAACATTTTATCAAGGCCTCTACAACCTTCTATCATCCTGTGAAGTACAGGGAAAGGCAATATTTTTTTATCAAATGTGTGCAGGAGAAAACTATCAATTAAGTATGAATTGCAATTGGAGAAAAAAGGATGAACTATATGGATGACAACATCATTTAAACAATGAACTAGGTGCTTAACCAACATGACTATCACCTCTTTGAAGACACTCTGATCTCTCAACCACCAATACTTCTATTGGTTCTTGTGGACTAATTCCAGTCTCAAACTTTGTAGCAGAAGTCCACCCTATCAGTCAGTTTGAATAAGTATCTCTCTGCTGCAGTCTTTTGCAACAAAGTGAAAAGTCAATGAATGAGGTTTGGAGAGCTTGGCTTCTGTGGTTATTGAATCTTCAACCAACTGATTCACAGAGACAGGCCATATACAGAGTTAATATGTGACTAGTGTCTTGCACATTGTTGAGATCTGCAGTTGATAAAGCGTCCTTTAACGAGATGATGTAGGAAACTTGAGCTTAGTCAATATCCAACTTTAAAGAGATGTTTATAGAAGTATCTTGATGGCATTTTAAGAAAATTGTTCTTGATATAAAAATGTATTTATTGATTTTATTTTAGTTGCCAACTGGGGTCTGCCTTTGGCTGCCATGTCTGACATGAAGAGAGACCCAGAATTTATAAGTGGAAAAATGACAACAGGTATGGCAGATTTTGTTGATGTTGTACTGGTTTCTGGCAGTGCTTAATTGTTATCGAGAAATAATTTCTCCCAACAATATCAATACAATATCAAGCTGATAAGTCATGAGAATAAAGAAAAATATCAATTAGGGGATTATTAGCTGATCTGATACCAAATTCTCAGAACTTACATGAAAAGAATTGTATGACAGATGGTAAGGAGAACTACTAATGAGATCTTAGAGTGAAAGGGTTGGATACATTCTAGTTTGGTTTCCTGTTTGTAAAGCTGACACTACAGAGTATGGCAACTGTTTCTTCTTTAAAAAAAACTTTTCTATGACTTAAGATCTTGTTGAAAAATCCATGAAAAGTCATTACCTTTTATAGTAAATTGTGCTTAAAGAAAAAGTCAACTTGGAGATAATCAGTGGTGATTACTGGCTTAACATAATTTAACAAAACTTGCAACTCTTTGATCTGCTTCTTTTGAATTATTGAAAATTGTTCTTGGTATCTCATGAGGCTGAGAGGAAACAAACAAAGGGTATGGAGCATTTCCTTAGTTTGTATTCCCTGTGCCTCGCTGTTCAGTTGTTACATTGAAATTGCCAGCCACAGAGTGTATGACTGTACAACTTTTTGGTAGTTGAAACAAGGGTTACAGTGATAATAATTGGTTGTTATGTTTCTCCTAGCACTCTGCATTTACTCCATGTTATTTATGAGGTTTGCATGGAAGGTTCACCCACGGAATATGCTCTTGTTTGCTTGCCACTTTTCAAATGAAGTCTGTCAGCTTATTCAGCTTGGAAGATTTACCAAATATAGGTAAAGCTTGTTTATCAGATGGCTTCTTCCCATCAGCTCTACAAACTTAACTACCTTAATATCTTAGATCTTGCTGTACTGATCTAAGGTGTTCAATTGAGTAGAGGGACTTAGCCTTGCTATGGAGATCTCAGGTTTTGTTTTTGGTAACTTGGATAGGACTTTATTTTTATACCAATAACACTTCAGCTACAGATATGAAGCTGAAACTTCCTACATGAACAGAACACAAAAACTGTCCATCAAACTTGTGCAGGGTAGTTACTGAGCTCACTAGAGAGGTGGCAATTATTTTTAACTTTATGTGAAGGATATTGGTGTATCTACTAATACAAGTAGGGCGTGAAATTGCGCCTAAATTTTTCACTTGGGCGACCAAATCCTGAAAGTTAGTTGCCAAATTGGCGACTAGAACGTTTCATCATAACCTTACCAAGAGATATAGTGAATTAAAAAGATTTGCAAAGATAAATCCGCGGCAAACTTCCTCTTTAAGTTTGTTTCCAAAACGTAGCACATGCATCTCGATCGATAACTAGACGCCATCTTGGATTTAGATGAGCCTGAACGTTGTATATCATCCATCCTAGTGTCCACTTTGTAGCACGTTACTGATCTTTTCCCTAACTTAATTTTGGAGGGTCTATCTAGAACGCTGACAGCGTAAAGAAAGATTTTGTTTGTCTTTGAAAATGGCGACCAACTTTTTTTGAATTGGCTACCACTTTGAAGAGTTTAGGAGCCAAGTGGCTATCAGAAAAAAAAGTTAATTTCACGCCCTGACAAGGGAGTCAAAGGTCTTGTAGAACCAGTTATGGTAGTTTGTTACTTCCCTGAGGCTGACTAGCATGTAATTTCTCCTCACAGAATTACCACTGAATCAAACTTAAAATCATGAAAATAAAGAAAATGGCAGCCAAGTATAAAAGAACTTGATTTTTGAACAAATTCTCCTTGTAAGTTTTATAGGAAGTGTCTAATGAACAGTGTGGAGAATATGAATACTGATGTTGGAGTGTAAAGGGTTAACCTAAATATCAATCATTCTTTACTTGTAGGCTGGAAGGTGGGCCACAAAAGCACCACAGTGTTGAAGTCATTCCTTCAAGCTAAACAAAGTCAATCGTTTCTTAAAGTATTTTTTCAGGGAGTTTGGTGTATCAATATTTAATTTCTTTTTAAAACATGGTGTAAATATTAATACAATAATAATACCAAGTTTTTTTAGCTTTTAATAATTTGCTTCTGCGTCAATTGCACAGAATACATTGTAGTTATTAGGCATGAAAAATGTAATCATGAAGGGTTTCAGATGTGATGTGCAACTGAGTTGCAGCAACTTAAAATAAGTTTATTTTGATTGGTCAGGGGACATTAAATTATTGTGAAATAACAAGTAAGGACCATCTACTCAGTGGGGGAAAAGAATATGGCTCTTGGTTATTACTTCAGACCAGATTATCAGTGAAACTTTGGCACTATTTTAAATTTAAACTCTTTTTGTTTCTTATTTTAGTGGAAAAGTATCTGTAATTCCTAATAAATTTTGGTGTGAATGTCTCTCAAAGGCTTAGGAGTTAGTCCAGGGAAGTGTTAAAGAGATGTTGTGTTTTATGATAAAGAGAGGGATACAATGAACTAGGTTTTAGTGTGTGACTTTTCGTGAGAATAGAACCGTCTACAAAATGGCAGGTAACTGTTAGGCAAGTTGAATAAGGAAATTCACACCATCCAAATGAGCAGTATCCTTTAGGTATTGACGGAATCTCATTTTGCATGGCTATGTTTTGCATCAATAAAATGAAACATTTTTCGTGGAATACTTTTCTGATTGATGGCCATTTTTGAGAGGGGTCTGTGGGAATTTGTGCTACACTATGCAAAGGAAGACCTGATTTTTTCAGGCCCTCACCAGTGATGCCTTTGGTGGCGAGTTGTGATACACAAAATGTTGTGTTGCTGATTGATCTAATAAAATCACAGTTCTTTTCACATGCAAGCATGAAATTAATACATTAATACCTTATGATATTGTGGAGTTATGGTGGAGGGGGAAATGCCTCATAAAGTAACAGTGGTTGGGGTTTAATTTTTTTGATGCAGTGTTGCCAATATTGCAATATTTGACAGATTTCTCCCTTCCGAGGAATGTTAGTAAAACTCTTAAAAAGAATAACACAGAGCGTTCTCAAACTGGCGGTTGACAAACTAATGTATAGGGACGTTAACAATCTTGATCGGAGTATGGAGTTATTAGGAAACTGAGTTTCCTTTGCAAATTGGTCTGGAAATCTCATGTCATTACTCTTTCGGCCAATCAAATTTAAAACTTCCATGAATTGGTAGGTGGTCATTCACGCTGACATTCACGCTTTCTCGCTCTCGAAGCCTTTGTCCTTTATTATTGTCATGACTACTTTTTCGAATGGTGCTCTGGAAATGGTCATTAAGATCTTCAAATCAAGACCATACTCGTTTCAGTTTCAAAGCGCCGATCAAAACGAAAACTTTGACAAGAATAAAAAGGACATTGGAATCACGAGTAAGATTAAAAAGAACTTGAATTTGAACGGCATGATCTTAAAAAATGTTAAGTAAACGACTTGCATTTGCCTACCCCCCATCGTTTTTCTTGAGTGAAAATTTAACTTTGCGTTTAGTCTCTGCCCCATTCATCCCACAATTGCAACACCCCAGATTTCCTCAGTCCGATGTTCTACCACAACCTATGAGAACTCGATAGCGAGGTAGGCCATGTAATTGGTTTACATATGAAAAGTGCTCTGCGAACCGCTGGGATCAGCAATGTCAAAAATGTTCTTAATTCGCCACGTTATATTTTCATACCTGAAGCAGGACTAGACTCGATTCTTGGTAGGAGACAAAACGAAAAACTTTGGTGAAGAGACTGTAAGTCTTTCTTGAGGTATAAGTGTCACTTTCTGTAACTGATCTTAAGTTTAGACAGGATATTAATCGAATGAGTTTGTTAAATTAAAACACATCACTCATCTTTCAATTTATTCAATCCTGTTACTAAATCTCGTTTATAATGTTCGATGGAAATAGACCGAAAAAGCTGGTTTTGCCAACGTAGATAGAGGGTTTTTCTGACATCCAGACACAAAATCTAGGGGGTAATCAAGTCATTTAAGGCACGAATAGCAATGTCATTCTTGACCCACTTCATTTTCCCGTTGTTTCTATTTCATCCTCTAAGTTTTCCAAGATCAATGAGTCTCAAGGCCCAGAGAAGAAACGCGGTCTGCATGCTGGGACACCATGATGTCCTCAACAGCTTGTACGAAAGTCATCAACTTTGCGCCCATTTGGAACATTTAAGTAGTTTCATTTTCTCCCTCACTTACATTTTCCTCACTTCCAATTCTCCACAGATAGGCCCGCGGCAAGCGGGGCAGCGGGAATCACCTTTGCTCTTATGTTCATTCACACATTTCCCACAGTAGAGCAGATGTGTGCAAGGCATAATAACACAGTCTCGTTGTCGTTCAAAGCAGATCTGGCACAATTCCGATCCTTTAAATTGTTCTAGCTCTCTTTCTAGCTGGATTATTATTTCATTGTTTTTCATGTTGCTCTCTTCTGCGTCCTTAAACTTCTGCTCGAACTCTATTCTCAGTTCATCAGAAACCTGCTTGCGTTGAATTTCAAAACTTTGGCGCATTTCAGAAAGACCAGGTTCAAGTTGGCAGTTTCTGTCCAACACTGCCTGAGCAGCTCTCAAAGAGCCCAGTTCACTTTTAAGGTTCAAGTTATCGTCTTTTAACTTCGTCACGCTTTCAACCAAAGAAAAGAGCTGGGATCTTATGTAACTCATCTGTGCAAGCTTTAAAACAGTTTCTCTGTCAATTTGACCGGTAGACAGCTGACCTACAAACAAAAAAAACACACAAAACCATAAATTGAGCCATGAACTTTCTTAACTGTCATCGACCAGCGTAAAATTTTTAAAACTTTAATATTAATTTTGGCGTATTAATCAGGTGATATCAAGCACAGGGAGGGGATACCAACATGGGTTCCTTATGACAACTTTCAAGTGCATGGCACTTCTCTTCTACAGATTGCTTGTTTAGTGCATGTCGTCACACATGCTAGAGCGTCAATGACTTGCCACTTTTAATGAAACCGTCTCCTTATCCAATGATTTAGGTACTAACCTTGGCCTTGTTTGTATTCGCGGTACTCAGTGACACCGTGGGGCCAAGTGAAAAGAGTTACGCCGTTCAGTGATCCATCCTTCCACATCCCTTCCTGAATGGTCCCATTCGGTAACTTCAAGATCCCATATCCTGTCATTTTATCATACTGCCACAAACCTTCATATATAGCACCAGATACAAACGTCATCTTTCCATGACCATGCCTGGCAAACAGAAGAGTGGGCATAAAGCAACAATCTTTCTATTTTTTCATTAATCTTTGGCAGTTTGCTTTTAAGGCTAAAAATAGAAATTTTCATTGTGTTGTCGTGAGTAGCTGTTCTTAGTTCATAGAGTTTTCACCAAATAGTCACTTCTCTCTCGGCGAACACCTACCTACACGGACCGTGGGGCTTAGGTGGGATTTTCAGAAAGGGGAGTAGGTCTACACGCGTTTTACTAGTATTGGCTAGCATGCCAAGTTGGTTTGCTATGATTAATTGACTCGAAATACAAAGAAAAGGTTACATGCCAACTCCTTTCCACCAGCTTCGCCTTTAGTAAGCTCGGACTCCGTTCTTACTGTTCCAGTTCTAGGTCTTGCTCAAGACAGTTTACAGTTCTGCCGCTTTTACAACTTAATCATACAACTCTGCTTTCTCGACACACCTCATGTTATTCTTCCATCCACCAATGTAAAACCCATGTTCATTGACTTCTGGGCTGTCACTTTTTAGTGGTACTGTCAGAATAAAGCCTTCCCCTTTACCGTCTCTCATACCTACAACACAAGTATCAATAACAGAGAGTTACCCCAACAAATTAGATGTATGGCGTAAGTTTCACTCAAACTTGTTCCAGTGTTCCTTACACCTTCCTCCGGCTCTTACTGTGCTGTCGTTTCAATAAACAATGATATTGCTTTGACCTCTGAACATTTTTATGTCATCAACACCAGAAATGAATGAACGATTTCGTCTTCGCTTTCGAAGTGATCCTCAGATCATGAAACAAAAACCCTTCTCAAAAATGACAGAGTTAGTGGGGGAGCTCTAATTTAAGGAGTCTGGGAAGCCTTTAATAAAGGAATCAAAGGTCTTTTTAGATATATTCGGTTGTAACGTCGAGGCGTCATATGACTGCAGAACCTTACAATACAATTTTAATTGCCTATGGAAGCTACGTAGAAACTGCGAGCCCAAGGCGGTTACTTAATAAGAGTGTGTTGGAAAAAGTTGAGAAATTCAACCGAGTCCATTGCGGCATAACATCTGTGGCAAACTCCAAGGACTACACCAAATTTTTCCCACATTTCTCCTTATCCTTATATCACTCTACCTCAATCTAACAGTTGTCCCAAATATTTACCTCTGCACCAGTCTCCTCTGTATAAAAATCTCCCTGTCACAGTTTTGAGGCTTCCATGTCCATGAGGAAGTTTCCGCTGACCTCTCGCCCTATTACTGACTACCTGGGAGGTTACAGGTCCATTAACCTGACATACACATCGCAGCGCATCCCTACTAGTCATTGCTTTGACTTGGAAGCTGGTAAAAGGGTTTCTTGCGTAGTGACAAAGCATTCTAGTTTTAAGCGCAATCTCCTCAAGATTGGCAGAAATGGTCTGTATGTCAAATTGTAATGATTCTGAGGAGGAAGAAACCAACACAATTAAGCATCAAATCAATGGTTATCAATCTCAAAGGTACTTGGTGATATAGCTAACATAACAGAATAGTTTTCGGACGTTCAGTCCCGAAGGTTGCCATTTCTTCCAAATAACTTGATAACCTGCCCATCAGCTGAGTCTCTGCACGAAAGGGAATACGCGAGTATGTTTTTGAGGAACATGTAACACCGACTAAATATTTCCACTCAAACTGATACCTTCTACTAGACACGTGCATTTAAACATCATTTTCCGTCTTGCACTACAATTGTTTCCCTGAAAAAACGGAGTTTTAAAATACTAGTGTGCATTAAAATATTCTAAGAGAAAACACGGTATCCGGACAACTCGCCCCCTGGACAATTAGCACCAGACAACTAGTCCCCAGTCTCTGGACGATTAGCCCCCAGTATTTGGACGATTAGCCCCCAGTCTCTGGATTATTAGCCCCCAACCCACCAACCTTGAAATAAATTATGTTCTTGCCCTTTACTTTTTACGAACGTTTCCCTATCATATATTATGAAATAAACAATGTTCTTGTTATTTGCTTTTTACGAACATTTCTCTGCCATGCGTGTTAAATTATAAAGTAAACTACGTTCTTGCTGTCTTGTTGTTTGCTTGTTATGAACGTTTCTCTGCAGTGCGTATCGAATTATAAAGTGAACTATGTTCTTTCTGTTTATATATTCTACAAAAATGAACTGTGTTCTTTCTGTTTACATACTTTACGAATGTTTCTCCGTCATGTTGTTTAAATAGGAAAGGAAAGAAACCAGGGACGAAACTTCGAAACTTTAACTTATTGGCGACTACTTGTTAATGTCAATCGGTGTTTATTTAAATGTTAATAAAGATAGACATTCACAAAAAAAAGGGCTCCTTTAGGAGCCACAAACTCATAAAAGTCAATGACCAACAGATGAACGTAACTTCTCCTTTACATAAACTAAGCCTGGGGCTAATCGTCCAGGGACTGGGGGCTAATTGTCCAAAGACTGGGGGCTAATCGTCCAGAGACTGGGGGCTAATCGTCTGGGGCTAATTGTCCAGGGGGCGAGTTGTCTGACATTCGAAAACACAGATATCAGTATTAGTAAAATAAAACTACCTGGAGACGAACTATTATTTGATAAATCAGCTGATGCATCAGTAATCATTGAGTTCAAGGTGATTAATCTTTGAAAAAAAGTTCTTTGAATTTGTGCACTGCCCATCAGCCCCATTAAAGGATCCTTAAGCTCACACAATAGGTCCCTTGGATCATCATCTGGATTCTCATCAGAGCTTTCTGCATGGCTGGTCTCTGGTGTATAAGAACCAGTGTCTCTGTGGTCTTCAGATCTGAGAGCTTTCCGTCCCAGTTTGAGCAACACTAACTTATGGAGAGAGTTTTGGATTTGCATGCACTTGATACACATACATACATACATACATTCTTTATTTGATAAGTAGGTTGTGTGAAAGGCAGCCAAAGGGCTGATGTGGACCTACTATACTAAATATTAAGAATTACATATATATAAAAATTGCAATAATAACTTAGAACTACTATATACAAATAAAATGGTGTTCACTAAGACTAACATATAAATCTAAAAGTAAATGAAATGGTCCTTTCTGTTGGCAACTACTGTTGCCTCTTTCTCAAATGAAAAATTGTCAATAGTCTTAACATGCTCCAATGCAGAGAGGGCATGAGGTCTTTTCCCATTGAAACAGCTTGCTCTGATTCTTCAGCTGATTGGTGAGACACTTCTCTGGGAACAGCTGTTAGTTGTGTGGTGAAATAATGAGGGCTCTGTGACGGTTGCTCTTGAGCATTGTTTGTGATAGAATCTGTAGTCACTGGAAACAAATGCAAAATATCCTTAGGACAGAGCTCACAAAATATTCCCTGTGACAGATTGTTAGCAATTTAAACTTTTTGAAATTCTTGTGCTTTTTGCTGTCACTCGCATACAATAAGTCATTTTAAAGGGCATGCAAAAAAGGAAACTAGTTTAATATATCATGATTTTATCTTGTTTACTTTACCATAAATTGTGTGAAAAAACTGAAGAAGTTACTTATTAAAAAGGTTAAAGTATAAAATAAATAACTCTCTTTCTTACTTGGGATTGGATTCTCCATTTCAGCACTTGAATTTGACCAAGAAGGTGAGTTATGGTCTCTTGAATAATTCAAAACTAAACTTCTTGTGATAAATTTTTTTAACCTTTCAGGTTTTGGTCTCTTCATATGGTTATAATCCTCCAAACGCAGCTCCTAAACAGTTTACAAAGATAGATGCATAATCACCAGACAAGTTAACCATGTTATTTCAATTAACATATTAGAGTCAAACGGTTACCAAAAAATTGTCATACAGCCACTTTCTTCAGCTTTAAATCCAACAGAAACTGGGTTAATGGTAGCCATAGAAATTAACTGAAGAACAGTTGATTTTTTAACTGACTTTTGTTAATTTTAAATCATCTTTCTGCATAGTTAAACCCATGCTAGTAGTATCCTATCAGTGCCCTGCATTGGTTTTTTGTGTGAAATGAATCAATGTGTGGGACATGTTGTTCTATATGGCACAGACAAGTGCATAAGCTTCTGAACAACAAAGATAACTTTCTATTAAAAGCAAAATCACCCCAACAAAGGTTTCTACTTTTTACCTCCACACTTTTTCCAGAGTAAAGTTCCATCATGGTTATGGTTTGAAACCTTTCCTCAAATCCTTGAAGATCAGGTGATGACAATGAAGAGGCCTAGTGTAACCATGAGTCATTTCTTAATTAAAAATGTTTGTAAACAGTACACTGTGAATAACAGCCATAACAATAGGTCAACCATAGATTCAATATATAAATATTATATCAATAACATTCTTAAAAGATGTATAATTTATTGATTACAGAGGAAAGCTGCTTCACAACTACCCAATCACTAAAGCCACCACATCATTAGACCTCAATTTGTCAAAAAGGTTTGGGGTGTGCTTAAAACTTTTTGAGTCTACTACTTACACAAAATTGTATGGGTGTTCCACAGACTGTCCATGTATTTGGATGAATTACTGAAAGGTAAAAATTCATTAACACATAAATTGTTGAAAATATAAATCCTAAAAGTTGGGTGCCACTTACAGGACTAGTGGAACTATATATAGGCTACATGCAAAGCCAGTTTTCAAGTCTTGGAGAAACCTCAATATTTTTGTCAGGCTTCATTTTTCTGATGTTTACCTTTGAGATCAAATTTATGACTCTTTTGGCTTAAAGCCACATTTCAACTGATATCCCTGAAATCAATATAATTTGGTCAAGCATGTTCATTATTTTCATATGAAATTCCCCCTTCCACCCATCCAAAATAGAAGAAAGACAGAGTTATGTTACACTTCTTAACCAAAGTGAATACTCAAATTAAAAATTGTTTATCTTATGTAACTACTAGCTGATGCTCCTGATATATTTCTAACCTGACTATTTGTAACATAGAATTTGTGGGTTAAAGTTAGAGGTGCAAATGGAGCAAAAAATATCAGCGAGAGGGAAGCTATTCAAAGAGGAGGATGCCAAAAAAAGCTAAGCCAAAACAAGATTCTGGCACATTAATTAATTTGGCCTTACATGGAGGTAGAGTAATACTTTGTCCTGAATACAAAAGATATTCCTGATGATCATCTTCTTCAAATACAACATTCCAACAAATAGCCAACTCTGCAGTCATTATTCAAAACAGTTGAATTATCTTTGATTTTCTGCAAAAGGAAAAAATACAACAACACAGATTTCAAATACCTCAGGGGTGTGTCATTCAGTTTGTCACTCAATAGACCTGTTCCAGAGAATAAGTCACTAAATAGGCACACTGAAGTCTGTGCAATAACCAATCTGTAGAAATTCTTCATGCTCGTTGGTTTGAGAGCCATTGTCAATAAGGCTATAGATCATAAAAATGATATAACATGTAACACAACTCTTCAAGAATTTTTTCATTGATACAATACCAACAACAAGTTGTTATTTTGGGTAAGCAGTGTCACATTTGACTAAAATAAATAAATGATATCTTTGCCTGGATGGCAGTTGATTGATGGCATACTTTTTCTTCTTCCGTCAACCAAGTTATATGCACATGATTTTCCAAATACTTTACCTCATTAAGCTTGCATAAAATTTTTAATGTTATTAACCAAATTGACCACAATTTTCCACTGTCTATTTAGCAAAAAGATCCCATCTTGCCATATGATTATTCAGTTATAGGTTACATATGACGTCAAAATGTGTTTATAACAAAAAAGTGGCACAAAGCATTGCTGAGTGACTGTCTCTGATGTTCTTTCCACATTTTGGCATCTTCTGTGGTTTATCAGTACTGAACAGACATGCATCATCAAGGAATATATATATATATAAATATTACGAGAGGAAAAAAAAAGGGACGTAACTACATTTCCCGACAAGCCTGTTTCGTGAATCGCTTCACTCTTCAGGGGTTTAATTAAACCCCGGAAGAGTGAAGTTTTTGTCGGGAAATGTAGTTACGTCCCTTTTTTTCCTCTCGTAATATTTATCCTGCTCTGCTTCAACGTATTGAGCACTGTTCCACGCGAAAATCGACTTGCAGACTTCCTATATATATATATATATATATATATTTTTTTTTTTTTTTAAAGAAGCAAGTTTGTTAATCATTCATGGTGACATCATCTAAGCATCTTTCCTTCAACAGATCATAACAGAGGGTAAGGGTAAAATATGTACTCAAGCCATTAAGTTGCTCCCCCCTAACCCCAGCCAGACCTTATCCCTGTTTCCTTAGCATGAAGCAACAAGAAGTATCACCACTCCCCCCTGTTATCCTGTAGCATTTCCTCATGCTGCCCCAACAATTTGCTGGTACCCATATATACAATCTGCAATGATCCCACTATGTCAGAGGAAAATATACCATTTGATACCAATCGTAAGTTGTAATTGTGGGTAAGCTGTCAAATTTTCCAAAAATAAACCAAATGTCTTTTATTCAATTGGTTGATTGTGTCAATTTTTTTAATGTAATGTTCTGTCGATTATATCAAACACACATGATTTTCCGAAAACTTAGCAAAGTAAGTTGGTATAAAAATTTCAGAGTCATGGTAAAAAACAAATCGACCACGACTCTGCAGTGCATCACTCAGCTCACTGCGATTGGTGGTTTCACTTAAGTTTTCAACATTGTTAATGTCATTTCTATCATCAATTTTACCAAAAGATTCCGTGTTTCCATACTTCTGTTCCGTAATAGATCACATACGACAACAAAAGAACAAAAAGTGGCACTCCACCGCCAGTTTATTAGCCGTCAATTCACTCGTATCAGTCTCTAAACATCTTTATTTAACCTAATGTTGTGGTTAGGGTCTCCTCGACTAAACAGCCTGAAGGAAAATGGAAGCCTCTAAAATACCAAATCAAGAACTTACCTGGATAAGCCCTTGCCAGTTTCACCTGAACGCGAATTCCGTTTCTGTTGAGTTTTTGTTCTGTTGGTCTAACCGAAAACCGAAAGTAACACCCCGTCGATATCCGGAAGTCCCTTTCCGGTTTTAAGAAGAGTAGGAAACAGAAGCTCAATCAATACGACCGAAATGACTTCTGGGGTAGACACATTCGCAGCCAGTCGGTGTTTAGTCCCGTAACGCGCTACGTTCTGCTTTCAACACAAGAGGGTATGTTGTTGTAGCAGAGGCCATGCCAAGTCATCTTCAACACAGTTATATTTCTAGAAATCCCCATTTCTAACTTCATTTATTTTTTTTTCGAAAACTGCACTGTAGACTTCTACCTCCGGGATCAAGCCCCTGTTTGGCGACATGATTGGCAGAACCACAATATTCATTCATGGCCTCAAAGAGATGACAAGTTAAGATGCGCGGAAGTTCCTTTCGTAATCTCTTTACATTCTACCCATGCTCCACTTATAAACCGGAAAGTCCCAAGCTAAACAGGACACTACCGTCTCTTCTTCACAGACACAGCTGAAATAAATTGATAATCTCCTTCCTTCCCGCTTCAAGTTGCCATCTTACCTATCGCACATTGATACAGCTTTAGACGCGCCAACTGTTCATTGACTATCTGTAAATTCTCATTCACCCATCATCACTGGCATAACCTCTTTCGGCTGAAAGAGATGAAAAGTGATACTTAATGTCCTGGAAAGCAAAACGATAATCCCATGATCGTAATTCCTCTTCACCAAGCCGGGCATAAACAATGGCAAATTTTTAAACGTGAAAGTAAACGTTTTTATTTAATGTTTTATTATTTCGAGTTTTACACACACAGTGATCGTAGTCCTTCATCAAGGAAATGTCTTATGAGGTTGTAAAAGAGTTAAAATAGGAACCGACTTTGACCAATTTGAAATAAAAATGAATAAACCACCATCAAAGAAAGTTATTTAGTATTATCAACTGAGTCGATGACGTAAATTGGACACCGTAGAGAGTTTAAAAGCTAACGTTTTGAGCCTCAGCCCTTCGTCAGATTGATTTGAGGAACAGTGGGTTGTGTGTGGGTTTAAATGCAGAAAATGGAGCTATGCTATTAATGGGAATATGGTTACGAGAAAACAAGAAAAATTATAGGAGATCCTCCCAATCATAAACACTACTGAACTAGTAGTTGAAATAAGACCTGAAAAAAATTCATGCCCGTACGGGATTTGAACCCATGACCTCTGCGATACCGGTGCAGCGCTCTACCAACTGAGCTAACAAGCCAACTGGGGGCTGGTCATTAAGTTGGGTCCAAATAAACCATCCAAGTGATGAATAACGATTGTAGATATATGATAATTATATTTGTGCACTGCGGTGAAGAAACAAATATAAGAGATCCTCGCAGCTATAAACACTACTGAACTAGTAGTTGAAATAAGACCAGAAAAAAATTCAAGCCCGTGCGGTCCTGAACTTTTTTCAGTTTTTCTCAGTTGGTAGAGCGCTGCACCGGTATCGCAGAGGTCATGGGTCTAATCCCGTACGGGCCTGAATTTTTTTCAGGTCTTATTTCAACTACTAGTTTAGTAGTGTTTATAGCTGCGAGGATCTCTTATATTCGTTTCTTCACCGCAGTGCACATATGTGATTTTCATATATCTACAATCATTATTCAAGAATAAATTAGTTGAAAGAAAGGCGCTCGCCGATACCGCGGGGATTAAGAGTGCCAATTTAAAAGATAAATTTTTGCTCTGGAGTTTTGCGGCTTTCCGAACTGCCTAGATGTTGGGAAAAGCCGCAAACTGCCATATGCTGCTTAGAATGATTAGGGAGATTAAAGTGTCAAGCGACTGGTTTAGATGCGTCCTAGTCATTTCTTTCTACATCGTTAAGGTGTTCTCGGAATCGGTCACCAAGTTGTCTTCCTGTTTCATTAGCCTTTTAAAAGGCTAATTAATTTTTCCATCGAAAATAGAGCCTTTCCTAAACAGTAGAAGACAGAAACAGACGAATCCCACCCGGAAGATCAGATTACACGATCAACTTTAAAAAATGTCATTCTTATAAAACGAATTTTACGTTTCTTAAATGATTTCAGTTTATTCGTAAAAATATTGAGAAATATTGATTGTCTTTACGTCTTCAATGATACAAATGACCATACATTGAGTTCGATTTGTGTTAACAGTTCGAGTATAAATTGAACGACATAAGTTGTCTCATTTATTGAGAATGTATGGTTTATGGATCAAGATTACAGAAAAGTTGAGCAGTGACAGCTCGCCTGCAAGAAGGGCATAGGTCAGAGGAGCCCTTCATCAATTCCCTTGCACAAGTTCTACAGTACAAAAAATGGCCACAGGGCATAATAAGGCAGTCACGAGGCTGTTTGGTACACTTCTTACATAGCACAGAGCTTCTGGAATTTTGGAGTTTCATTTTGAGATCGAGAACTTTTTGGGCACTTGTCGCCTCGGATTCTTTTACTTTGTCTAAATTCTTCTCAAACACCTCTTGCTTCTCCGTACAGTCACGCTCTAGCTGCTCTCTAAAACTTTCACGAATTTCAAACATAGCAGTGTGGTAATGACTTCTCAGTTCAGCTTGTACCATCTTATGCATGCCCAGTTGCTCGCTGAGACGTAGTTTCTCGGCATTTAGCTGAATTACACTTTCACTCATGTTTGAAATCTTGGACTGAATGGAATGCATTTGAGACAGCTCTTGAGCAGCTTCTTTACCGATTGCACAGGAAGACAGGAGACCTGAGGGTCAAACGACAAAATAAATAAAAAAAGAACAATGTCACTTGTACACCAGGAGTAGTCCCTCTTTCCGAGCTTGGTCAAGGCGGTACTGACTTTATTTTCCGCTGACCTCTATTGATTCGCGCAACGAACAGCTCCTGGAAAGACGAACTACTTGTGGTCACTCTTGTTTGTGACTGTTTTATATTATTTTCATTTGATAAGTCGTTTCATTTAAATCTCTATTTGCATTTGCTGAAACACCCTTATTCCAAGCTAATAAAGCCCCCCTCACTCAGTCTTGTTTATGGAAGAACGTTAGGCGTGGAGGAATTTTTAGGTAAGTACTTAGATACAATATGGCCAGTATTTTAAATCCGAAACAAAGAACAATTTCACAATTGAAAGTAATATTCAATCTAACGTAGCCGGAATCATTTCATCCTCTTAGTAATCATTGCTGCTGCGATTTGGTCGAGGCTTTAGAAAATTAATAATCAATTTATAATTTAACTAAATATCAATTGCCTCTCTATTCTTCATGGATTAAATCCAACATATTTGATAATAGGGAAAAGATTTAGTTATTCATTTATTTATTTATTTTTATTTGTGATATAACCCAGCTCAGCCTTAAAGCTGGTTTAAATGGGAGGCTGTGTAAATAATAACTAAGCTAAACCATAACACTAAGAGCAACGTCACCTACTCTGCGAGAAGCGCATAGGTTCTTTAACGTACCCCGCCAACAGTTCAGGGTAGATGCAGGAGGTGATAGGGACTACTGTTTATCATCCTCATCTGAGAAGAACAGAGTGCCTAACCATTTGCAGCTGCCATAGCAGAGGCAGCACATTCTCCTTAGATACTTTAAGATCTTTATCAAAATGAAATCAAATTGCTACGCCCGTTATGAGATGGAAACACCTATCAAAATTAAATAACTGTTATAGAAATGCGGGCTAAATTTTTAGTGCAACCCATTGATGATGTTTAAATGTGCATCGAATGTCGTAAGGAGAACATCTGTTCTCACTTAAACTAAACAATCGAGCGGTCTAAAGCACAAACCTCGACGCTCATTGTACTCTCGAAACTCAGTGACTCCATGAGGCCAAGTAAACTGCACACATCCATCTAAGCACCCATCTTTCCAACTCCCTTCTTGAACAGTACCATCCGGAAGCGTCAAGGTCCCATAGCCGGTCATTTTATCGTACTGCCACTGACCATCATATACAGCACCAGAGGAAAACATCAGCTTTCCGTGACCATGTCTAAAATAATTCCAAACAATTTTATCAACACGTAAGGCTCGGTTGCCCTAAAAAATATAATATATAGTCTATGTGAAAGTAAATCTGTATGAAAGCGAAGTTAAAAGCAAATTACGCCGTTTTCAGTAAATTAGAACTATCTTATATTTCTCTATTGCCGTGTGTACTCAGTCAGACACGAGTCGCGGTTCTTCTGAGTCTTTCCGAAACAGGAAGCTTGAAGCTCCATCACTTGAAAATTTCTTTGCATTCTTTATATGCGACGATCTTAAAAATGCATTAACGCAGGCATTCTCACAGTAGTGGCCGTTACTGGACTTCTTTTATTCTTGGTTATCTCGGTGATTGTTTCTTTGATTTAAGTTGTCTACCAAACACGTCAATGCATATCTCTTTTCAGCAGATATCTACGTAATGCAGCCCGTACTTTGTTTTTACCTCATGTTTGTTTTCCATCCACCACTGTAAAGTCCATGTTTAGCTGATGCTGGATTGTCGCAAGCGAAAGAAAGGATGAGGCCTTTGCCTATCCCATCTCTCTTGCCTGTGTGTAAAACAGAGATGTTCTATTAATTAAGAGTTACCCTTTCTTGCGCATGACACTGCACGACCAGTTGTTGAATATTCCTCAACATTAGGCATTTTGTCGAGTGTGAAGTCTTACTCATGGGCAATTAACATGCATGGAATGCCTGCCTTGCATTGCCTTTGAGTAGAGATGGAATTACATCTCACGTTTTTACTATTTTTGACCTTTTTACTACTTTTACTACGTTTCACTTTTTAGCATAAGATACGTATTTTTTTTATTGTGAAGAAATTAAGACTTCTGTTACAAAGACTAATGACGTTCAAGCAACGTAGGGCGCGATAATGAAACACTTAAAAATATTTATCAGATATGAAAAATAACACGGGGACGCAAAATAACAGTTAACGATGATTCACAGAGACAGAGGTAATTGTCCTCGCTTTCACTGACAATGATGTAAATACCGATGATCATTTTTCACTTTGTAGCCTTTTTGATGGTGCTGAACAGTTTCTAACAGTAGCCGGACGGTTGACTAGACTGAGCGTTACCTTTACACCAGTCTCCAGTGTACAAAGTTTCACCCGTCACTGTTTTAAGGCTACCATGACCATGTGGAAGTTTCCTTTGACTACTTGCATTGTAGTTGGTAACTGCAAAAAAATATTGATCCAGTAAGTAATAAGCTTCATCTGAAGATGTCTATGTAGTTTTAGTTTTTGTACCTTGCTAACACAATGGAAGTATGAAAAACTACTCAGAAGTGGTTTTTAGTATATATTGGTCATTACTTTTTCCTTCATTCATGCAACGAGATTTAAAAGAAGCGGAAGAGGAGCATTGATGAACTTAAAAAAAATTAAGTTCTAAAGTGCGTCACGAGGTTGTAGCTCACACTGGCAGTGCCAGTGTGAAGCGTTACGTTTTGACTGTATACTAAGTACTAGTCCTCTTCAGGCAACCTATAATGGGAACAGGTGGGGTCATATCAGACTTGAAATGCACATCAACGCCATTTCTTAGCGTTTCTTTGTCTGGTGGATTTCGGAGAGGAAAAAAATAATTATTAACCGTCGATTTCAACTGTCGATTAAATATCCTACATTGGTCTCCATATCTAAAGGAAGCACACAGGACAAAGGAAACAAGTGCACTGTGACAAATTGACGCTCCCTTAACCAGAATTGTACCTGCAGCTCCGCTGAACGGTAGTTTATCGTGATATACATGCTGTAAAACATCCTCCGTTGTGGAGGCTTTGTGTTGTTTATTTGTGAAAGGATTTCGCACATATCCACACTCCATGCTATTTTTAAAGGCAACTTCCTCAAGAAAAGATTGTACCGCCAAAATGCCTGCTCGTGGCTTGCTTTTCATATCTGCAAAAAGGACGCCATGGTCACGGGTCAGGGAACACTAAACGTGCCTAGCAACACACTGAAAAAATTAATGCCGAAAAACTGAGTACCACCCGAAGGTCAACGTTACCTACTGCCGAAAGCCAAATCGCGCCCTTCTCTACATGGAAAGGCCATCATAAGATTTCTATTGTCTCAATTAAGCTTCGTTCCATACATGTGATTGTTGTTAATATTCCTATATTTAATATCAATTCACAGTATAAACACCGTATTGGTCAATATGATATCATTTGGTTTTTTCTTTAAAAGGGCGAGACAACGAATAGTACCCACCGCGTTGGTAAATGTCTATCTTAATTGTTCACATAAACATCGGAGAGAGAAAAAACTTCAATTAGGATACCCAGTTCTAAAAAATGTTTATCAATTAGTTTATCAATCATCTATACTGTGTTACTTTACCTAAACTGCTACTCGACAGCTCAAGAGTTGCCAAGCTGACTGCTGTTAATCTTTGAAAAAGTGTTTTTTGAATGCTTAAACAGCGCATCAAGGCCTCTAAGGGTTGTTTCAGATCACCGAGGAGAACCTTTGAATCTTGCTCATAATTTTCACCCGTACTGCTCACATTGGAAGCCTCGTGTTCATCTGAGGTATGAACATCTTCCAGGACATCGGTGTTAGGCTGGCTTGAAGAGCAGGAAGCACGACCAGCTATTTGGAGAAGAACAAGTCTGTAGAGGGAGTTCTGTATTTGTGTACACTTCATGATGCTCTTCAGCAGGGCTTCTGACAACTGTTTTCCTTCAGAAACTGTTAGAATTTGACCCGTTTCTTTTTCAACTCGTGGATGAGCACTGGCTCTCGAGGTGAGACCAACAATCGATTCGCGGAAAACATCTTGTTCAGATGATCGTGGTCGTTGAGCGTCGACTGATTCCGCGCTGCTCTCTATGATCACTGGCGAGACAAGTGTGACACTACATTGGTTTAAATAATGTTGTGAGGAAAAACCTAAGCTTGATAATTTCAGGCCAAACCTGCTGAGTCTGGTGCGATTTTTAAACTAAATAATGTTCAGAATGCTATGGTCTCTAAAAGACCCTTTCGTGCCCAATTAATCGTAGGCGTGTTCTTTTGAGCTGATACGGATGACCGGGTCACGATCAGTGATTCAAGAACACTCATAAAATGGCGCACATAAGGAGTCCATGATCCACTCCGAGTAATTGATCCGGATTCGAATGGTACCAAATGAACGGCGCACCCTGAGAGAGGATCCGCAGCGCAAGGGTAATGCAGCTCTTGAGCCGCACTTGATACAAGAAATCGTGTCGACCATAGTGTTCACCTAAAGAGCCTTTGTTGGAGGAGTAGAAGAGGATAAGTCACCAAAACAGATTGTAAGACAAGGATGTGTCTAACCAAGAGAATGTAATCTCTTGGTCTAACCAATAAAAGAAAAACCAATAAGTTTTCTTAATATTTTACTGAAATAAAAGTTGACAAAACCAAGTGCTACTGAGCAATAGAAAACACAATCCAATGTTTTCAAGTTTTACTTACTTTCTGTTAAATTTTCCTCTTTCACTGACGAATCAATCAAAGACTTCACGAGTTTATCCTCCCTTCTCTTTACACTTGGGGTTTCATATGAACCAACCTGGCTATTAGCTCTACCTAATTACATACAAAACGGATTAAAATGGAAAAAATTCATAAAAACTATCAACACTTTTGTTAAGATTCTCTTTCGTTTCAGCCGCAGTGCTTTCAATAAGACCTGGCACCCGCCGAAATTCCGGCGGCATTCTGTTGTGAATTGCCGGGTCTACTTTGGAAGCTTTCAAGAAAACTCACGAAGTGTGACCTAAAACACCTCGAGATCTTCGATAGTTCTTTCCGTCGACTTTTACCTTACAAACAAGTTTTGATAAAAATTAGTGACATTGTCTTATCATTTCACCAGCATACATTTCATACATTTTCGAGCAACAAAAGAGTTTCCAAGAACATACTAACTCAAATTTAGGTAACTAGTAACCACATGTCGTTTCAGAGGATTTTTTCTGTGAAACTCAGGGAGCAGGCTCGAAAGTCAGCAAATGGAAGATTTTGATCGGAAATAAACGATCAGTTAAACAATTGTTACAAAGGAGACTTATATATAATGATCATCTACAGAAGTTTAACCCCGAAAATTCTGTTTGAAGCCAGTTTATTCTGAGTGGAAGTAATGGGATAACAAGAGGAAATTTTTTTTTTCATCCTCCGGTGGGTGCTTTACCAAGGTAGCCACTTTCTTCAAATCTTATTGAAAGCATTGAGTTTTAACACTTATCAAATATGACTAATATCCTAAACGCTATAATAAAACGATTCAATTACATAGTAACACTTAGCTTACCGAGTTTAGCAAGGAATTTTAGCGGTAAAATCTTCAGTTGATCAGTATCTTCCATTCTGAATATTCCATCAGGGTCGTCAATATTGATTAATGTCCCTCTTCTTGAACGGTCATCTCCAATTATAACTTTACACTTAAAAGTTAAAGGACATTACGGTTAAGTGAAGAGCCAAATAATATCGAAACTAAGTAAGTTTCAAACTAAGTAAGCAGATCTAGATGTATCACGGAACCATGCAAATATGAATTCTGACAATTGAATGAAATAGGAATGCATTACACATAATATAGAATTGAATATTAGAACATCACCATGAACAAGCTGTCCTGGGAGTTTAGGCACTGTTTAATATGCGAGTAACGGGTCGCTAAAATAATTATTGTTCAGCCAGACTTTCTGTTCGCAATTTTTTTTGTTACACAGCCTTAAAATACCAACAACAACAACTACACCAACAAACAGGATGCTAACTTAAAAGAAAAACAAGGTTTATGCTATTCGGACGGACAAAATACGATGTGCACTGTTGAGAGTAACTTGGCTATACTTACTTTGTCGTATTTAGATAACTTCACCGGATCAATATTTTCAATCGAAACGAGGACCGGGTGGTTTTCATCGTATAGCTTCACTAAACACTGGCGTCCGCTTACTGAGCGCAGCACACCCTTTTTGTTTATCAGCCTCTTACCTGTCTGTAAATAGAGGATCGCGCCAGAATAAAAAAAGTCACGTTAATGTTACACATACCAAAGAAAAAGGAGGAAGTACGAGTCTCGTTAAACGAACATCCCTTTGATAGAAAATACGACCACTTCGTTATCACCATGGTCTACTTTTTCTTATTCACAATTCTATAGTCTACGGACCAACATAGTTATAAGTGACTCCTTCCTTATCTTACAACCTCGTCGATTCAATCACCTCGTTATCTTTGTCACAACCAAATTGTGCTAATAATTTGACGGTATTAGTTTTCACGGAATAAATGCGTCCCACCCTCTCTTCTTTGCGAACTTCAGTCCGTAACATTGTGAGTGAGATTCTTTGGCTGATTCAGCCATTTCTTTCCTTTGGATTTTGAGGTCGCAAAAAGTTTATTTTGAACACCACACCTCTTTTCAAAAAATTTTAGTTGGTAAGTAAGCCTCAGTCATGGATTTAGAAATATTCTTTCTCTTTGAGCACAAGGCTTACAACGCACCCCGTTAACGTCGACTATCCACTGCAGCAGCATACAGGGTGACCGTCACCCTAACCTAGTTTCGTAACCTTCCACACCACATGCCTCTTGCTCACTTTTTCCAAAATTTTATTTGGAAGGTAATAGGATTAATTCCTGACGTGAGAATTCAGATTTTCTTTTTTCTGAGAATGGCTTTGTCAGAGGTAGACCTAAATTGTCTTTAACTTTCATCATGCTGCCATTTCATTAGCTTTCGATGTTTCAGCAGAAGACAAAATAGTTCTGCATTACGATGTACCGCGCGTCCTTGCTTTCCGTCTTTGACAGAAGAACCAGCGAAAACTCAAATTTCCATCTATAACCTAAAAACATACCTTGTACGTTTCATTGATTTTTACTTCAATGTTCGTTAGGTCCCATTTCGCCGTATCGAATCCTGTGAATCGCAAAGGAAGATAATCTAAAAGTGATTTCGTGGATGAAATTAACTTTCTGTCACGTTGAGGAGGGTTGTTACAGCGAAAGCGAGACGTTAGCTTCTAAAAACTGACTGTATATCAAGGAAACGAGCTAACAGGTTGACACCAAAAACGTAAACAAAAGATAAGGAGGTAAGATAAACCAATTGGTAGTACAAACAAAATGACGTTGAAAAAAACTTAAATTGATAACGCCTAAATAATAATGCAACTGCGCTTAGAAGGACTTCTTGAGAAACTGAGTGGAAAAAGTTTTAATGTTTAGGAGAAGCTAGATTAAAAAACAAGAAGACTGTGTAATTACGTGTGGTATGAAAGCGTGCGAAAGTGAAGGTGTAACTGACGAAAAACGATAACAAACTGAACAAAAACATTGACGAGAAGGTATGAGAAAAGAAAAGAAAAAAAATTTCAAATTCGAAAAAAATTGAACAAAGGGGGCCCGAGTGTCTTCATTCTCCAAAATGACTGAAATTTCTGCCTTTTCCGCAAAGCAATTTAAAAAGTACGTTGCTCGAAATCAGGATTTGCAAAGTTCCCTGGTACACAAAAATTCTTTAAGGGTCCCTTAATTCTTAAGACTATTCTTGAGCGCTCCTCACACTTTCTTTAAAATCAAATTATCGAGGCTAAGTTGTAATTTTCCTCGGTATTCGACTAAAAAAACCTTAAAGAAAACACCTTACTCTGATTCTTCATGTGTTTGTAGTTTTATAACTATATTTTTCTTCCTTCTTAGCCTTCACTTAGACTCGACCACAATAGATACGTTGTTATTTTATCATGTATACTCTTTGCAACTCTTTGCAACATGTCATATCAGCATTCTCCCGGAGAACTGAATTCTCGAAAGAATTCTCAAGAAAAACGCCTATTACTACGCTTTGCCCAAAATGTTCCGACATTTTTCTGACAGCAATGGCTCTGACGAAGGGTTAACGCTCGAAACATCAGCCTTTAAACTCTTTACGGTGGCCAATTTACGTTTTCAACTCAGTTGTTAACACTAAATTACGCTGTTATACTCTCCCCACCGAAGCAACACCACAGTTTCTTTAGAAACTTACACCCTTTATTAAGTAACTCTCGGCTCCCACAAGAATGGTGTTACTTAAGTTACGCGTGTAGCTTAGATATCTTGTGAAATTTGAGTAAGATTTGTAAAACGAGACCGTTTATTCCAAGACACTCCTACGTGTTCTTGAATCCAAAGTGTTCTGAAGATAACTGAGACATACGGCCCATAAGGGAATGTCTCTCTCCTTTATCTTCCCTACACATAACGTAATATCTCCGAAAAAGACAAATTGAAAAAGTATCCTAATTCATCTCGGGAGTGTTCGGAATTCGCTGACACCAAACCAAAACATTTTGAATTAATAAACAAAGAGTTAGCCCTCACCTTCCAGAAATGACCAAAATGAATTGCAACGAACTGTAGAAAAGCTAGATGAAACAGTGTAGCTTGGTGACGTAGGACTGTAGGTTGGTGACGTAAGACTGTAGGTTGGTGACGTAGGACTGTAGCTTGGTGACGTAGGACTGTAGCTTGGTGACGTAGGACTGTAGCTTGGTGACAAAGGACTATATTTTGGTGACCTAGGGCTGTATTCATATTCTGATGACGTATATCTGTAGGGTGTCGAGGGGGGAAAACAGCTCGGTTGAGGACCGCGAGGTTTGCTAGAGTCGGAGGACATGGTACGGAAGCCAGACGATGTAGAAAAAGAACTATATCCAGAGCTGGTGTAAAAAGAGTTTTCATTTCTATCAGCAGCAGACGAGGGGAACGTGGTTGAAGAACTCTTCCCAAATGGCTCTTTCTGGGCATCAGTTTCATTCTGGTACTCGTAGTCTTCAAAGCGCAACTCCTAAGCAATTTAAAACAACGGCTATACACTAAATGACAAGTTAGCTATCCTAAAGTCACTATGTTTGATATTTCATGCTCCAGCAGTGATGATGTAAGGGAGCCAAAATGAGTGATTTGCTGGCTCTTTCATCCAAGGACAAACAGTTTCCATGATATATTATAGAATACATGAATTATAAATCATACTCAGCTGCAATTATATATCATTAAGGTATTAGAAAATCCTGATCAAATGCCTGTAGGAATTATCAAAAATTGAGCATTTATTTGGCACATACTCAGAGCCTATTAACTTCTACAATGATAACCTAATTACCCTACTTCAACGCTCTTGCTTGCATATTCATCCATCATAGTTATAGCTTGAAATCTTTCACTATACTGTACATCACTAGAAAGTGACACTGTGGTCTAAAATAAGAACAATCATTCGACAATTAGGAAAATACTTAAACAAGAGAATGGAATATCATCAATTTCAGCAATTGAACACTGATGAAACATTTTCATCAGAATGTTAACCCTTCAACTCCCAAGATCCGATTGTTAATTCTCCCCTCTAGCTGCTTAACATTTAATTCCTTGTGAAATAATTAAGAGAACTTAGTGCTCGACCAAGATGGCAGCTTCTACGTGATAAGTTTGAATATTCCCATTACCTGTCTGCTGATTTATGTATGGATGTTATGAGAAGTTTCATGTTCATCGCTTCTGGGAGTTTAAGGGTTAATAGCAGGAAATATCTAGCTAATTAAAAAAATACTGTCATCAGATCACTATTGAAGTTAATTACAATCTATTTTTAATATTCCAGAGCAAGGCTAAAAGTGTGAAATAAAAAAAACTCAGTCTTAGGAATGTACTGTTACCTTTATCTTGAAAAAAGTAATGGTACATATTAAGTTCTGGTAATAGCTTGGTACATGGAATTTTTTTAAATAATTAGTCAATTAATAAATTCGCCCAAAATAGCTTCGCAACCATTTCCCATCCTTTCAATTACTGTAAAATCATGTTAATTCACATACTTATTCAGGTGAATAATTTTTTTTTCACAAACAAAATTTAATAAAACAAATATTGTGTTATTTTTTAAAAATTCAGGGTTGCAATAATTCAAACATTCTCTTTTCTTGTTTTAATTAATCTTTTCGTGACCATTTTGAATTGCAATTCTAAAAGAACTTTGTTAGAGTGAAAATTTAGTCACTGTTTCTGTGTGACAAATATAAATGCTCAAAGAATGCAAGTTTTTTTTGGAAACAATATTGATTTCAACATTTGCTCTATGAGTACAAAGACTGGTCAAGAGAGCTTAATGCTGATTCACAATTAAAAATTGTTTAAGCAGAAACATTGATTTCCAATTTTTTTGTTTCTGTGTGACAAATATCAATGGTTAACAAGCTCAAGGAAAGCAAGCTTTTTTGGGAAACGATATTGATTTCAACATTTGCTCTATGAGTTAACAAAGACTGACATCAAGAGAGCTTAGTGCTGATTCACTATCAAAAGTAGTTTAAGCCACTGTTCAGTCAAAACACGGAATGGAAAGTTCATTACTGACAATAGGGAAAAAAGAGACTATGTAAGACAGTAAAAAGTTCACAAAAATGGTTGGATTAACAAACAAAAGATTGAATACAATATAAAACAAATTAACAAATTGTTTTGAAAATCGGAATTGGAAAAACCATTAAAGAACCAATCAAATGTTTCGGTTATCTGCAGAAGCATATTACCATTTTCGGTCATCTCACTCTTTTTCAAAAAATTTATCACTGCAGACAAACACCTGGTGGTTCCTTAACCACTAAATAATCTGTCAATATTACTGAAGCCAGTGGTTGTGATGGCATACCCTTACCAAAAAAGATAGCCTTGAAGTATACTTTAAGTATACTACAAGTATACTGCGTCAATAGTGGTTATACTGCAATCATACTTCAATAATACTTCAATAGTACTGCACTTACTTAAGTACATCTGCAGTACCATTTTTGAAGTACACTTTAAGTATACTGCTCAAGTGAAAATCGTTTTCTTTGTTGTTGATGTAGGGTACAAGTATACTTTATGTATACTGCTCGAGTGAAAATCATTTTCTTTGTTGTTGATGTAGGGTACAAGTACACTTTAAGTATACTGCTCAAATGAAAATCATTTTCTTTGATGTTGATGTAGGGTACAAGTATACTTTAAATGTTTGACACAAATGTAAATCAAGTTCAGGTCTGATTAAGTGGGAAATAACTCTACTGAAAAAGTACTGATGCTTCAGTTGATAAAGATCATAATTACTTTAATGTCTCACACAAATGAGAGTAGTAGGAAATAACTATACTAAAAAGGTACTAATTAGGCTTCAGTCGATAAGATCATATACATTTACACAATCAGATTGGCTGGTTTACAGGTATACTGTACTGTTAGATCCAGGTGTAACATTTTTTTTGATTATTCGTTCTTGCCTAATTTGTTTTTCCTTTGCGTACGCAAATTAGTTTATACTTCTTTTCGTCCATTTGTTTAGTCTTCTTTTTTGGCGTTAATTTAGGTGTTTATCTCTTTCTGTCAGTTTTCGTGCCCTCGTTAGCGTTTCCGTGCTGTTTCATCTTCATTAGCGCCTTTCTATAGTTTTATTTTCCGCATGTTCTAGCGTATTTTGATATCGTAGTTTGTCAGTACAGTTTGTGAGAGCAGTTCCCTTGCGAACTGAATTCCCAGTTTTCTGGGAATTCTCAAAAATTCCCAATTATGCAAATGACCCTTGCAAACCGAATTCCCAGTTTTCTGGGAATTTCTGGGAATTACTGGGAATTCCTAGGAATTCCTAGGAATTCTCAAAAATTCCCAACTATGCAAATTAACTCTGATTTAAAAAGCTTGGAATTACTGGGAATTTCTGGGAAAGGAAGACTCCAGTTTTGTGAGGACTTGGAATCCCTAGGAATTCCTAGGAATTCTCAGCTTTACAAACTACCTATAATTTAAGAAGTGTGGAACTCTTGGGAATTCCTGGGAATTGAATTTGAGGCAATTTTAATACCCTGAGGTCCACATAAATTCTAAGAAATTCTCAATACCTTGAATGTGAAGGTTTTAAGAAAAAGAGTAATTTCAGAGGCTTAAAACTTTGGCTCAATAAAAGGTATGCTATACAAAACTTACCAAGAGATATACATACATGTACATGTTTATAACTTAAAGATCATGAAATTTATTACTCAAACTAAGTTTTAGTAAATCTTTAAATTAATATGGATTTTCTCATGAACCAGCTGTCAGTTATGTTAAATGGAAATTGCCAATTTTTACAATAATTAACAATAATTACATTGTTATCTTACTTCCCTAACCTACATTACTGGTTGTCTTTGTTAGAAAACCTTGGAACAGTCAAGCTCAGTTGCCTCAAACGCTGTCAGAGACCTTTTGTTGACAATACTTTTAGTAGAAATTTCATGCCTTAGACAAACAAATTCAACACCTAATTAATCTTTCTTTTTTCATGATTGTTGTTCCTGCTTTTTTTCAGTTTTATGCTCTATTTTCATGACTAATTGCTGTAATTTGTTTTGCTGTTTTTATTCTTACAAAACATTTTTGTAAGAGTTCCAATACTTGTGGATCATCCACACACTTTGCAAACATTTGGCATGCAGACAAGACAGAGGTAGTCAATGTACCCTTTGAGGAAAAACACCTTTTATATGACGTCTTCAATTTACTTTATTTGAAACTCTGATCTGAAAATATTTGTCAACAAGACTTGTTAGTAGTGAGAAGTACCAACCAAGTTTCCTTTCATAACTTAATTTCTTAAATGTCCCAATCACTGGATCTCCCAAAAAAAAATTACATCTTTTTATTTTTGGTGCAAATTACAAGTCCTTCTTTATATAAAAATGAAAAGTGCTAGTCACACTTCAATAATAACAGCTCTTAAGTTTACTTGTTGTTCTTCTGTCTGTCAGCTATCAACAAAATTGTTTTATACTTCGGGCAGCGCATAACTATTTGTGGACCAGAGTTCCAACGCACCTCGGTAATCGCATATAGCTACTCCTGTCTCTTGCACAAATGTTTCTCCTTTGTAAGACGCACTCTACTCTGTTGTCAATACTGCTTTAAGTTCAGTGGAAACGACTGACTGAGGAATCGAGATGGCGGTGTTGGAACGTGTTGCTGAACGCTTGCTACGGTCAAGCTTTGTAGATTTAGGTACTGGTACACTGGGATCATCTATGTATCTCTTACACTTCCGAATGTGGTATCCTTCTTTTATAAATATGAGGGTAAAAGACGATTTGTAGTCGCATTCAAAACTGTGATTGGCTTGTGTTATTTCTCACCTTTGCCATGAATACAACTCAAGTGAGTTTCGAGTCTTTTTTTCCTCGACAACTTTCGGCCACAAATCGTGCATTTGTAATACGATCGATTCTTTTCGATTATTTCTACATAGAGTGAGCTCACTTCTTTATTTATATCACCAAGCTGTCCATCTTCTAGAAGCAGAGGACCGGTCGGAGAAGTCAGAATAAAGTTGGGCGCTTCTCTTAACACTGCAATCGGCAAGCCAGCGGATTCACTTTGCTAGCCAATGACAAGTCCTAAAAGATCCACGTGATCATGCCCGTGATCGGAAACAAAGAAGACTCCATTTGGCGCTCATCTTTGAATGTACTTTTCATCGGTTGATCGCTTTTCTCAACTGTTTTGCTTAATATAACATTTCTAAAGATAGCTTTTATTGTGGTTCAATGGGAAAACGAGAATAGCGTGAGTGTTGTAAAAGAGAAGAAAGTCGTTGGCGCCGTGGAGTTAAAAGAAGGGACAACAGTTGACATATGGACCGGTACAAACAAGGGTCGAGTAGCCATCTGTAAAGCTACGATTTTGAAAGTTTGTGGTGAGTAAAAATTGCGATATTCGTTGTGATCAAAATCTTATAAAAGAACAGATGTAGCGGGTTGAATTAAGCTTACATAACGCTCGGCGCAACTGAAACTAGAATAATTCTGAGAATCGAATCGGTCACTTGCATGCCGCAGTTTCTTAAGCTTATGCTTTACAATGAAATAAACCTATCAGTAAGGTTTCAAGATTTCTCCAGTCACGTTTGGGAACATTCAAGATTCATAACAAACCTTAGTACATAAAGAAGCCCTCCTTGGTAAAAACAAAATAATGTATTCAGCCCTTTTTTAGTAAAATCCATGAGAGAGATGTACTAACTCCAATATAAAAGTCACTCAATATAACAGAGATTTCTCAATTTGAGAATCCAATGAATGCCCTTTTCCTCATAGCCATCTTAAAAGCCTGGTCTGAGCTTTAAACATACATATTTTAATATATTATTTTTTTTCAAATTCAGATGTCAAGGAATCCAGATACAAAATGGTCAAGGTTCTTGTTGACAACCTCATTCAAGGCCAACTCATTGTGAGTCCAGGAAAAAAATACAAACAGTACAAACAGCAGCTAAGTTTGCAGTTTAGGATAACTTCATTCTAATTTATTGTTACAGTTACAACAAGATTTTAATCAAAAAATCAATTTTATTTGTCTGTAATTAGCCCCTTCACTCCCAAGAATATAACTATATAAATATAACTTAAGATATTGTATTTTATGGAAAAGAATCAACAGATTTTATTCACAATTTGTGTCAAACCAAATTTAATGATTGATTAGAACTATTTTATATGAGTAGCTGTAATTGAGGATTAATCCGTATGAAGTTTTCAAGAAAAGAAAAATAAATCAAATTCCATCCTAATATTACCACACATTGATGTTAATAATTAATCAAAAATATTTTACATGTAAGCCTTAATTAAGCTTCTAAATAAATTTCATTGAATACTTGAATTTTAGCTGGGTTTTTTTTAATTTAAAGTATTTATTTTATATCATTAGCCTCACATTTTTGCTTAAAATTCCCAGTAATTCTTAAACATTCCTAAAAATTCCCAAAAATTCCCAGAAATTCCCAGAAATTCCTAGGAATTTTTTAGATTTACAGCTTTTCAGGGAAAGTCATTGGTTCTCTGAGTTGGAATTCCTAGGAATTCCTAGGAATTCCCAGGAATTCCAAGTCCTGTTGGCTATAAACTTGGAATTTCTGGGAATTTCTGGGAATTTCTAGGTTTTTAGAACCAGAGTTGTTATGGTTGGGAATTCCTATGAATTCCTAGGAATTCCCAGTCCGAATTTACCGTGAAAATTCACACCTTTATTCCTAGGAATTCCTAGGAATTCCAAAAGCCATTTCGCAAGGGTTTGGTCCGCGCTTAGCGCAGTTCTGTTTAGTTTGTTTCTAGCCTCTTCGCGTTATTCGCAGTCCTCTTTACAGAAGTTTTCTCTGGCCAAAACAATTTTTTTAATTTAAAGTATTTATTTTATATCATTAGCCTCACATTTTTGCTTAAAATTCCCAGTAATTCTTAAACATTCCTAAAAATTCCCAAAAATTCCCAGAAATTCCCAGAAATTCCTAGGAATTTTTTAGATTTACAGCTTTTCAGGGAAAGTCATTGGTTCTCTGAGTTGGAATTCCTAGGAATTCCTAGGAATTCCCAGGAATTCCAAGTCCTGTTGGCTATAAACTTGGAATTTCTGGGAATTTCTGGGAATTTCTAGGTTTTTAGAACCAGAGTTGTTATGGTTGGGAATTCCTATGAATTCCTAGGAATTCCCAGTCCGAATTTACCGTGAAAATTCACACCTTTATTCCTAGGAATTCCTAGGAATTCCAAAAGCCATTTCGCAAGGGTTTGGTCCGCGCTTAGCGCAGTTCTGTTTAGTTTGTTTCTAGCCTCTTCGCGTTATTCGCAGTCCTCTTTACAGAAGTTTTCTCTGGCCAAAACAATTTTCAATCCACACTCTTAGTACCAAGCACGTCGGCTCCAATAAATCTTTTTCTTTTCATTTGGTTTGTGGTGTTATTATTCAAGGCCAGGAGTCTTGCAGGTTTATTGCAGTTTCATGTACTACAAACCAGAAAAAGCCTGCACAGCAAAGTTATCTTCTCAGAAGAATTATATTACACTGTATATTAGCTTTCAACTTTGAAAATACAATCCACACACACAGGTTTGCATGGCGCATTAACATACATATTCTTTGAAGTCATTGTAACTGCAAAGCTTGACACTAACAGAAGCCAACAAGCCACAGACTGGTAAAAATTCAGTTTTGGCTAGTGGTTTTCAATTATTTTCCACTAGACACTGGCTAGTGGGAAAGAATCTGACCGGAGCAAATGCCAGAGAGGGCTTAAATGCTGACATTGTTTCCTCAATTTTGGGTAAGTACATTGCATTTGGTGTTTTTGTCATTTTATTACTATTGGGAATTTGTACAATTGTACATGTTGATCAACATGACTTTCTCAGGGATCAGCCTTGTAAAAAAACTTTGGGACCATCCATATAAAAAAAGTGAGGAAAACAACTCCAAGCAAGTATTCAGAAGTTCCTTTGATCTAAGTGATCTCGGATTATTGATTGTGGTATGAGTCTTTCCAAAGTAACACAACCTTGTTGTCATGCATAAGTCTAAAAAGTTAAGCTCCTGTGTTTCTTTTTCTTTGCAGATTTTGTGGTATTTTCTATTATGATTTGCACAAGGCTTGCTTGCTTCTCTAATTATTAAATAACAAAGTCAATTTTTTGATTATTACATTTTACAACAACCATTTTTTATTGGCTTTAATCCCAACAAGAGACATTGTAAGTGACATTGCTGATTTTCATGAAATTTGTTTCTGTTTTACATGATTGAATGATGAAGTCCATTTTATAGATATTCTTCGTTTTAAAACAATGAATAGTTTTTGTTAAGTATCCCAACATTGTGAGAGTCATTTCTAATTTGCATGGAATTTATTGTTAAAATTTATGAAATAATCCAATGATGGATTTCATTGTAAAATATATATTTTTGCATCAAAAGACAATTTAGAAGCAGTCTTTTATTGTACAAATTTTAGGTTATTTGTCATGGTCAGTTGTACCAAATAAATTAAAGACATGAATTTCATACTTTTGCTTGAATGCTTATCTGACTTGGCCAAGTATATAATACAGCTGAACATATGCCGTATGAACTAGTGGTTGCATGCCTGTTCGTGCATATTAATTTACCTGGCTGCAGGTATGTATGCCATTCATTTATAATATCTTGAATACACTCTAAGTATACTTAAAGTATACTTTAAGTATACTGTACTTGTCAGTTTGCCACTAGTGGTTTTACTCAGGAAGTATACTTGAAGTGCACTGCAAAATTTTCAGTACCTTTCAAGTATACTTCAAGTATACTTTTGGGTGTTCCAATTTCAGGTGGGAACAAGTATACTACAAGTATACTTTTAGTAGCTCTGTAAACTATACTTCAAGTCTACTGAAAGTATACTTTGTGTAACTTATTTGCAGTACACTTTGATTACAGAAATAGTATACTAAAAGTGTACTTAATTTTGGTAAGGGATAAGTGACAAGATAACTTAACTACATGCAGTGATAGCCTTTAAATAATCTATAAAACTAGTCACATGTTTTTAGTAATTAACTACCCACTTTCTCTACATAAATATCCTAGTGACTAGATTTCAAACTTCAGTGCTAAGTTACATTGACCACCATAGAGCAAATAAACAATTTGTGGAAGCAATTTCAATCTTAACTGAATTTAAACAATAAATAACACAATTTTTAATTCTCTTAGTTCCTTAAATTCATAATGCATGTACTGAATATATATTAACATTTATTAATTAATATACCAACAATAAGATGATCTGTAAGACCAAATAAGATCATATACAGAAAATATCATATGGATCAGATAATTACAAAAATGATATCTCTTTCACCATTTTTAAATCCTTTCCATGATAAATCAAGTGTATGGTATAGTCAATCAATAGCTAATTTAGCATAGCTGTCTTTTAACTGCAAAACATTTTTGAGCATCACAACTTGAATCTACCCAATCACAATCATACCATTAAATTTGTCCCTAACTGAGCAATTACAATCTGAAGTACAACCAGTGGTGGAAATTATCCATTTAGAGTGAATTGTGATAATGACTCAATAATCACTGGCAACTATATTGAAAAACTTACACGAAATTGTATTGGACGTGTTCCAATTGTTTCCCATGTCTTCAGCTTTTTATCTAAAATGCGAAATAAAACATGCCATAAGTATTATTATGACTATTATCAAATTTTAATTTTTAATATTCACCTGCCTTTGATTTGTTAAACTTGCCTCAATCCGACTTTTTTATGCCCTTACATGAAGAGATTTCTATTGAAATAATTTTGCTATAGTCCCTGTCCAAAACTTTAAATCATTAATTATGATTTACAACTTTAAGATAGACATTAATTGAATAGTAATTAAGTGTCCCAACTGTTGTGTCACATGTTACCAATTTCACCACACAGTATAACTATGTTATGTATAGACTAGTTAACAAATGATTATTAATAATCAAATAATAAATTTTCATAATTACAGGGAGTAGACATTGTTTCTCCTGAGTATAAAAATAATTCTGGCTCATTACAGTTGTCATCTTCAAATACAACATGTAAAGCTGTTTCCAAGGATGAGGCCATTCTTTCTTACAGACAGTGCACAATTGTGGTTATTTGCAGCTGATAAAATCTACCAAATATTCCTGAAAGTAAAGAGAGAAGAAAGCATACATGACTGATCTAAGTAAATAATACAACAATCAGTCTAATAATACACATCAAGATGTTCATGAATGCTGATAAAATAATTGTATCACATTACTCTACAGGTCATCAATTTAAGGTAAAAGAGTCTTGATATGATGTAAGGGTACTTGTGTCCTGGTTTTTCTCCTTTCAATGTACTATTAACAACAAACAATGATGTAATTAAATTCAGCCTTGAATTAATGCAAGCATTAACTTCAGGGAGACCATACATTCTACTCAGTCATGAAAATTTTCTTTTGGAACATATATTGATTGTCGATCTTTATTCAAAAACACATTGAGAAAGATGATTTCTACCTCTTGTTTGGATGTATACGAGAGGCACTTCAGAACAAAGATCATCAAATATAATCAGGTAAAATAAAAATATTCAACATAAAGTGCATGATATTACTTCAAAATCACTATTTTACTGTCAGTAGAACATTAAGTTGCTTAAAAAGGGTGCCATTCACCTAAGAAAAGGGCAGTCCCTTCCTAAGGAGAAGGAATTGGTATCATGTCAAACACATATCATGTCATCTCTAGTCTGAAATGCAAACTGTTGATTTCGCTATCTGCAGGGAATTTAAATTATCTCCCTTATGCAAGCCAGATTGTTGCATTGGGCAAGCCCAATTTGGCAAGTGTGTTTTATAGCTCACAGAACACATTCAAAATGATTTAGAGAACACAACTTTTGGAGTATTCATTTTATCATGGACTGGAAGATTTTAGATAAAGCTTAATTGTTTTTGCACTGTGCTGAGAAATATGACTTCAATTTGGTAGTAAATCACAGCTAGCATGCAAATACATTGTGAATGCCCAATAAATTATCACAGGTGTAAAAAGAATGTGAACATTAGAGGAGTTAAAAACTGTACAGAAAAATTACTGCTTAAAACAAAACAAGAGAAGGAAGTTCCTGCGGTAAAAATAGCTAAACTGGAAAGATATTCAAACTCCTAATCAACACATGCCTGTTAGTTGAGCCTTTGGGTGGGCTTAGTGAAGGAAGCTTCCACAGAGAGAAGGGTCATAATTTGGGGCAAGGGAAAAGATTGGGCAATCTAGTGCACCGCTCTACCTAGATGGCCACGAATTAAGTCTGATTGTTGAACGACCCTCTAAACTCTTTTTGCCTGTCTTGAAGTAACAATCATTCACCTCTCATTATTTCATGAATGTTGCTTTCAATTTTTTCACTAAGGACAAAATTTATAGTTCTCCATCCTCCAGATGTATTAAAGGAGTACAAGTTTCTTTGACAATTTTACAGTACCAGAGAGATCAATTTCCTGGATCATTCTTCAAATTCTAAGATAACGTTGTCCTTACTAAAGGATACTATAAGGCAAGCTTATTTCTCCTGATTCAGCGATATTGCCCTACTTTAATAGCGTTCCTCGCTGGATTGTTCAGTAGGACTTCGTTGTGTCTATGTGGCTCGAAATTTGCATAAACATGTTCTTGCTCTTCTTCGATCATGAGGAAATCAGAGACCTAAACACCACAGCGAAAAATGACGAACACTAAACACTTACACCCATACTTTAGCCAAATGTGAACACAACTCACTTCCGGGTAGACGGCTGAGATTATTATAAATAATTTAAGGGGTATTTAAGAAATTTTTTGCGAAAAAAGTCGTGGCCCTCCCACTTCCCAGAATGGATTAATGTATGACTCTTCACAAATACCTATACAAAAACATCTGACCCTCCCCCCACCTCCTTCAAGACAAATATAACCGGAAGTGAAAATAACTAAACTGAAGTGTAACTCACATAACGTATCTGCGCACAAAGCAGTTAATTGCGTGCGTGGCGTGTGATTGCACGGTGAAAACTTGAAAATGGGCAATGCGTTTAGAAAAAGGGTACAGGCTGTACGAGGTATAGAAAGAGGGAAATGCGCTTGTGGTGAATGCGAGGATTTCATGAGGTCAGATGGAGCAACTTGTGGCTGTTGTGGCTGTTTGCCGACTTGCCATTCTAAAAAGGATGCCCGCTACTCCTCTGACTCTGTTGGTGGCACATCTGACTCTGTTGGTGGCACATCTGACTCTGTTGGTGGCACATCTAACTCTGTTGGTGGCACATCTGACTCTGTTGGTGGCACATCTGACTCTGTTGGTGGCACATCTGACTCTGTTGGTGGCACATCGGGTGCGTGAACAAGTGAAAGTGCAAGTCCAGAGAAGTGGAAAGATGAAGACCTGGGGTGGATCCCGAACCCAAAGGGCGAATATACTGAATTCTCAAATAGTATTCTGCCAAAATTCTACCTGTCCTTTTGGACCACTTGTCGATACAAGGAAGCTTTCGCCGCTGTTTCGTGACTGAAAGAAAGCGCCAGTGGGAAGTTCGCCAGGCTTTGAAAGCAATAAATCACAAGTTGGCTTTAGTGAATTCTGATAATCCAGCGGCTGCAGGGAGATTCATGGAGCTTTATATGTCGTGTCAAGAGCGAAATGGCCAACTATATAAACTTTAAGTTTATATAAGGATGAGAAGGATGAGACTACCAGCGCTCCACTTCTAACTCGACGACCATATCCCGACTATGGCAAACTACCAAACTTCCATTCTCTCTTGGAATGCAACCCCCCACCAATGGCCGTGAGCCGGACGACTTCCAGCCTCGAGCTCAGATTAAGCGATTGTTTGAGGAAAGTGAACTAGTTAGTGGCGACAGCGTGGCTGTTAGAAAGTTTTCAGATAAATATATTGTCCCCGAAAAGCTTGTGGCAGAGTAGGTTGAGCACCTTGCCCAGATAAAAATACCCCAGGAGAAGAAGAAAGAGGAGACTGAAAGGGAGCGAACGGAAAAGCTGAACCGGGAGTATAATGACATTGACTGCGTCGGACTGTACAACTCCGATAAGCTGTCGTCCTTGAGGGTGGACGAGCTATCCTCGTACTTTTCCTCTTACAAGATCACCTTCAAAGGGAAGAAAGCTGAAAAGGTCGCAATGATCAAAGCGCACATTGGCAGCTTGCTGTACGATTCAATGGAGTGTCGACAACCTCGGCAGCCCCCACTAAGAAATGTGCAGCAACAAGTGACCGCAATTTCCGAGATTGAAACTGACTCGCAAAATGATGTAGTAGATCGAGTTGTCGGTTCAAGCCTGAGTAGCTTAAGTGACGAATCGTCACCGGAGACTAATTTTATACCAGAACCCCGCGCGGAAACATTACCGCCGTCAAAATATGGACGAAAGCGGCCACGGGTCGAGAGAGACGATTATGTTAGCTGGGAGAAGATATGTTTTTTGATATTATATTTCGACACCTGTAAATGATTTAGATTAATCTTGGCTGATAGCTTTGCTTGTATATACAAGTTTTAGGTTTCTATACACTTCGCGTGTTTGTTAACAAATAAGAGACAACTAAGCGACATGAAGTAATTTTCCTTGCCAAAAAAACTGTGGCCCTCCCCTGGTTGCGAATAAAACAGGTTTGACCCTCCCCAATTTGTGAAAAATTTACTAATGACCCTTCCCTCCGAAGCCCCAGTCCCCCCCCCCCACAAACACACACACGCACGCACGCACGCACGCACGCACACGCGCACACGCACGCACACACTCACCCACAACAAAAAACGTACCTTCCCTAGGCTGGGGATCCCACAGATGGCATGAGTTAATACCCAAAAATGAATTCTGGACGACAGACGATGGATGACATGCCCATGTTAGAACCAAAGTTGTCACAAAATCTTTTATTTCCAAACTAAAAAATCTATTCCGTAATGCAACGTTGCATAAATTACTAAGATTAATTTAGTCTCGTACCCAGACCTTCCATGGCCAAGCGGTGATTACATTTCAGTTGCTGTTGAAAAGTAGGTTCGAACATCTGGACTTAGCCAAATTGTACGCGCTCTTATAGAATAGAGTGTAGTTTTTTCCGGAGAGGTGGGTGCCAAAGGGTTTTTTACGTGATTGCAATTAACCGTTTAACTCCCATGAGTGACCAAGACAGAATTTCTCCCTACATTATCATCATAATATCAAGCAGACGAGTGATGAGAATAAAGAAAACATCAATAAGGGATTATTAGTTAATGCAATACCAACTTCTCCGAGATAACATCATATGAATTGCATAGCAGACAGTTAAGAGAATTTCTAACAAGATCTTGGGAGTTGAAGGGTTAAGGCCAAAATTAATGTGATGCGTGAATTTTCCAGGAAGCGAGGCAACGTGTTCCGTGAACTTACGAATCAGCGCGAGGCGTGATTCGTTTCCAGAAATTTACGTGACTGGTGAATTTTTCTTTCGTTTAGGAGAAGTAATGACTAACACTTGAGTCCACTTTTAAAACTTTAAAACTTTCCCTGATTAGTGATTCACGTTACACAACATTTCTCCAGAGATAGGCCCACGGCAAGTAGGGCAGCGGGAGTCACCTTTCCTTTTATGCTCAGCCACACATGTCCTACAGTACAGCAAATGAGTGCAGGGCATAATGATACAGTCGCGTGGGTTTTCAAAACAAATCTGGCACAGTCTCCCTCCTTTGGCTTCTTCCAGCTCCTTTTCTAACTCTCGTATTCTTTCGGAGCTTTTCGATTTGCTCTCTTCTGCATCTTTTACCCTCTGTTCGAACTCTTTTCGCAGTTTTTCAGAGTCGAGCTCACGTTGACCATCAAAGTACTGGCGAAGTTCCAAAATAGCCGCTTCATGTTTTTCGTCTAACTCAGCCTGTCCTACTCTCAATGTGTTCAGTTCGTCTTTGAGAGCCAGGTTCTCGTCCTTCAACTCAGCCGCGCATTCACGCAGTGCTAGTAGCTGGGATCTAATGGAACTCATCTGCGTAAGCTTTACAGCAGTTTCTTTGTCAATTTTAGAGCAAGGCAGCTGACCTGGAAAAGGTTTCAAAAAAGCGAAAAAGGTTTCAACTTTCAACTGTTTTTTACTTAGTTCAATGATCAGTATATATTGTAAATTATCGAGTATCGGGTGCAAGACGCACGTCACGGCCATACCATATACACAAGCAGTGTCCACAACTTTCAACTTCTCTCCTTATCAGAGCACATTTTTCTTTCCCATTAAATACCACAGCCAAAGTTAGCATTACTTTCTCACTCGTTATGAGTTCGCCGTTCAGTCTTTCAAAAGATTCACCATAAAATGACGCATTTCACTTTTTCATCAGGCCATCTAGTTAAAACTAACCTTGACCTTGTTTATACTCGCGGTACTCTGTGACACCATGTGGCCAGGTGAAGAGAACACAGCCGTCCAACGACCCGTCCTTCCAATTCCCTTCTTGAATGGTTCCATCCGGACACTTCAGGGTCCCATATCCAGTCATTTCATCATACTGCCACTGACCCTCGTATACGACCCCGGACACAAACGTCATTTTCCCCTTGCCATGCCTGAAAATAAAATAAGTAGTTTGGGCTAAAGTCTTTTGCTTTCCAATTCGAGAAAAGATCGACAATTAACGTGAGGGGCTGAAGCAAATTCTGAGTTAGGTCGGATGAGAGTATATTAAAAGGAAGGGAAAGAGAAATGGAGGAAGCAAAGATAACTATAAATGCATTTTTCTGATCGTTCAAAACCCGTCTGGAAGGGCCACAGTTAACTCTCTCAAAGATAGATAACTTCTTAATGGACAAACGAGTCCCCCATAGATCATCATAGACAGGACTTAGCTTTCCAAAGACAGTGGAGATTTATTCTGATTAAAACTTTAGATCGGCTGGGATGGACTCTCTGTTTATCAGGGGAGGTGTTCCTTTCGAAGGAGTTAACTTAGTCTGCACTTTGCTCATACCCTTCAAAATTTTTTGTCCATAAAATCTACTAATTTCACTACGGAAAGAAAATGGTGTCTACGAGTGCACCGTCAAAATTATGTTCAACGTACCTCATGTTGTTTTTCCATCCTCCACTGTAGAATCCATTTTCGATAGTGCCTGGGCTGCTACCCACTAACGGCACTGATAGAATAAGTCCTTCACCTTTGCCATGTCGCTTGCCTGCAGTGCAAGAAATAAGTTCAAAGGACATCATCTAATCGCTTCACTCATAATTTAGCACCGTTTATGAAGACTCCTGGACAGAAGGGAAAAAAGCTTCTAAAAGGGTACGGAGAAGAATCATGGCGATGTGTAAGAGATACCTTAAACGCGAGGGAAGTGGAGAGGATGAGTAGGGTACAAGAAAGAAACGAGTACTAGAGGTACTAATCTCCTTGGCAATCTAATCTAATGCAGAACCATCTGTGTTCATCATCTCAATCCTTACACAGCCTCCTTTTCTTTATTACTCCTTTGCATTTACTTAAGAGGGTTGTCCCTCTTTTTTTTTCTTTATTTATCCTTTGCATTTACTCAAGAGGGTTGTCATTTTCGTTTAATTTCAATTAGTTATCTTTCCATGTCAACATTTAGTTATTTCCCTCACGGTAATTTCCATACCGCAAAAAAAAAAGGAGTCAAAATATCCCGCCAATGCAGATTACCTCTGCACCAGTCTCCTTTGTATAAAAGCTTCCCTGTCACGGTTTTTAGGGTTCCAAATCCATGAGGAAGTTCTCGCTGACCACTCGTCCCAACTTTGACGGTTCGAGAGCTTAAGGGCCGCTCATCCTGACATACATGATGTAGGACATCGTCGCTAGTTATTGCCTTAACTTCTTGGTTGGTGTAAGGGTTTCTTGCATAGTAACACGGCATTTTGGTTTTAAAAGCGATCTCTTCGAGGTCGGAACGAACTGTCAGTATGTTAACTTGACGGGATTCTGTAAAATAGCAAGGACACGAAAGCAAATTGTTGAGAATGTTCATTGTTTAAAATTTTTTCATGTAGTGTTAAGTACTACTTCACCTTGACCCTCTCTTAAAGATGCGCCATCGTTAGGCGGGTCAGCGAATTCCTCAGTTATCATCGAGTTCACGGCGACCATTCTTTGAAAAAGTCCTCTTTGAATTTCTGCAGAGCGCATTAAGGCCTCTAAGGGGCTTTTGAGCTCACACAGGAGAGTTCCTAGATCACAATCCTGATTCTTTCCGGCGTTTTTCTCATCACTCGCCTTGGGCCCCGGGAGAACATCATTTTCATCTTTAGGTTCGGCAGCTCGCTTTTCTAGTTTCAGCAACACAAGTCTGTAGAGAGAATTCTGGATTTGCATGCATTTGATAATGCTCTCAAGGAGGGAATCCATAAGTTCCTTCCCTTCTAAAACAGTCACGGTTGGCGCTAACTCTACCTCGTCAGCTGGGGGGAGAAAAACTTTGCTAGGATCTGCAGAAGTTTGCGCCGTAAAATTTATTATCGGAGAAAAGGAAAACTTGTGTGATGGTTGCGCTTGAGTGCGAACTGTGCCAGGACCTGTGGCCTCTGAAAAGAAAGTTAAAAACAGTTGAGTATTTGCCGCACTGAATTTAAATAATTAAGAAATTTCCCTGTTGTAAGGATACCTGCTCTCGTGAGCTCCCTCGACAAGTTTCCCCACTTACCGCACCCTCGCTTTTTCTGTCTGGCAGGATAGACATATCAATAGAAATAAGAGGGGAACGGGGGACTTTCCTTTTTTTTCGTTTTACGTCAACTGACTGAAAGGTGAAACGGTCTCGTTAATCATGTTAGGTGGAATTGCAGAGATTAAAATCTGATCCTGCCTGTTATTTCATCAGTTGTTGTCGGTTAAAGCTTTTAATTTGTAGCGAGATAAGGAATGTTAGGTTATCAGCTTGTTTTTAAACGTGTTTTTTTTTCCTTCCCTTACCAGCCACTCCAGATACGATCCCATCATCAAAGCCAGAATGACTATATATTTTTCTGCCAAGCGTTTTCTGCCTATCAAGATATTCTTTTCAATTGTTTCATTTACACTAAAAAGTAAAACGTAAGGTGCTAGAAGAAAATTTAAGCTGCACTCAGTTAAGCAGGCCAGGCATAAAGGTGACGGTGTGAGATTTCTTACTTTGGCTTGCAAAAACCACCGTACTGGATGATTTAGACCAAATATTTGCTGCCTTCTGTTTCTCTTGATTGAAAAGACCAGATTTGGAGGATTTGACTGCTCTTCTTTGGGTATCAAACGTAGCGGAACTGCGAAAGAATCATGAACAGGCTCATAAGTTCAGCGGTTAAAGTTAACTAACAAAGCGTCACCTGTTTCCCATACCATGAAATAGCCTTTGATTACGGAGCATGAAGTATCCCTACTCTCCAAAATAAGTGGTAACACTAGCATTACCGACATGACTCTTCCCTCCCCCCTTTAAAACAAAAATCCAGGGTAGGGAGGGCACTTCTTAATCAAGATTGAAGTGTTTTCCCAAAAACACAACCTAGCCCAATAAATCCTGACTGCACGTATACTTTTGAAAATATTTAGTACGTAATATGTTTTGCAAAGTCATGGATCTGTATTTTAATGTAATTATGGATATTTTACATGGGACAATTTGTGTCGTTAAGTTGGACTCCTATTTTTGTTCTTGTTTTTCTTTCTGATAATTTCCCAGACTTCTCAAGGTATTCATAGTCTTCTAAGCGCAACTCCTACAAGTTAAAAAAGTATACCAGTGAGTTTTCCTTCATCAAGCATTAAATATTAACAAATTTTTCACTTGGAGGAGGAACATCATATTCAGGATTACAGTCTATTCATTCAAGTCATCTCTGACTTCTTTACTGTCCTTGAACATTCTGGAGGAGAAAAACTCTTCAGTAACACAAATAAAATAACCGTCTTCATTGGATTGAGAGTTGTAAAACTAAACCAAAGTTAAATCACAACTGAACAAAGAAAAGGATGAACCTATGGGAACTCATTTAATAAATGTATTAATATATAGGTGATCAAGACCTCAAGTGACTGGTCAAGAGGGTGCTGGTAGTTTTCCAAACCAATCACAGAGCAATTGCAAATGCAACTGTGAATAACTCGCAAGAACCAAGTAAAACTTGCTCTAAATGCTTCTTACTTTTGCAAAGCAGTTTTAAAACTAAGGTACTTGAAAGATATAATTCCCTCAGGGTGTTGCACATATTATGGCAGACATTTCATTCAAGACTTGATATAGAGTCTTATTTTGATCTGAGCACTGAGACTTGTCCTTGTCGTCTTTTAGTCTCTGGGTGTTTGATCTGATGCCACCAAGAGACAACTTCAAAGGAGACTCGTTAACTCTTATTATTATCAATCCTCAATGATATACATGTTTAAAGAAACAGACATAAAATTTAGTCGTATTAAGACTAGTAGTATCTCAAAGGCAAATAATGAGTCACTAAATTGATTTCCTTACTTACATCAGTACTCTTCCTACAGTAAACATTCATTGCTGTTATGTTTTGAAGCCTTTCTTTGTATCCCAAAACATGATCACTCAATGACTCTAATGTGGCCTAAAACCACAAAATACAAAATTTAGTTGGTAAAAAGATACATGTATTTCTGAATTTTTGGTGGTGTCAAACTTACAAAAGAAATATCAGTGTGCACAAAATTTTGCCAACCAATTTCTGTCAATGATAGCATACTTTACTAGATGAAATAATTTGTGTCTAAATTAAAATGGAAATAAATAAGAGTCTGAAAAGAGGAAATAAAGAGTCTGAAAAGTTGAAACATTAAAAGCTTGTAATAGTGAAATGGCTATGACCTCTCTAAAATAAGTGTGAAATATCACCAAAAGGCACAGGTTTGACTTCAGAGCAGCTTTAGTAAAATACAAACTCCTGCATTTTTTTTACTACTTCAAAAGTTATATTGTAATAACAATAATTATGATAATAAATATTATTAAATCACTGGTAGTTCCTGTGGGCAATATGGGGGAATCCTGTGTTCTGGTTGGCTGTACCCAAGGGGGTGAGATGGGCCCATCTTGCCCTCCCAGGAAATACCTGCTTTTATCCTGCACAAGAAAACATAGTGTGGAGCCGGCTGACTAACAGAGTTTGTAATTTTTGGACAATGTTGGGGACGGAGTTGCAAAAAGAAACAGCAGGAGACAATAAAAACAAAGAAAACATAGCTGATTATGATGAAACAGGTACTGTTTATGAGTTAAAGTCAGCAAAGATTTGCTTTAAATCATACTAAACTGACTTCTAAAATTATCTTACACAAAATGGAATAGATGTCCCAGTTAATGTCCAGGCTGGGGGTACAATTACTGAAACAGAAGTAATATGAAAATAAGCATTTCAAAATGAAACAGCAACCTTGTCAGGAAAGAATAGATAGAGAGGGTTTTCTTGAGGACCCAACAATTTAAAGGAAATCCTTATGTCAAATTGGTCTCAAGCATTTCACCTAAGAAATAGATTCCATGCTGCAGTATATGTGTTCAGTAATAGATCACAAAATATGTCCCAATGTAGTAACAGTGGCACAAGAGACACAACCAAGTGTGTCACTGATTTTCTCACCACATTTTTATATCTTCTGCACATGTTTACAGTAACTTTAAAAACCCACAGCAACATGGAATCTACTTGTTTTATACATCTATTTGCTATGTGATGTATTACTATCCAATCTTGAACCCTTTACTATTGATTTAAAGACAAAGCAAGGCAAATTAACTGAACATGTATCAAACACGAGGAAATTCAGACATAAAATTGACATAGTTTACTTAGCTTACATGGAAGCAAGGTTGTTTCTCCTGAGTAGATAAGACTCTCTTGACTATAAATGTCATCGTTATACACAACATTTATAGAAATAGCAACTTTTTTAGCTGACATTTTGGACAACTTTAGAGATGATCATCCACTAAGCATGCCAGTACCTGAAGTACACATAAAAACAATAACTAACAACACTGATTAATCATGATATGATATTCACTTGGACTGAATTTTTTGATACCATCATGTGTTACTAATGCCTGTGCCAGAGGAAAAGATGAAAAACACTGACTAAAAACAAATTAATGATGAGAACAATTTAATTACAACTGAATTAGTGTAATATTGACCTATATATGATAAGTAAATTTCACTGAAGTTTCAAAGTTTTGGGTAACATTCAGTATAGAAGGAAGACAAAAACACAACACAAGATACTTCAGGAAAGCAAGTTTGAACAGACATATCGTTACAAAGTTATCTACACACACCATATGATCCAAAGCCTAACCATTCTATTTATTCCATATGTTCATTGTTTGCCTTGCTGATCCAAACAAAGACAAGATAAAACTAAATTAGTGTTTAGTTCACACGTTTTGTAGCAGCACAGGGTAAAACTGATATGTGTAGGTGAAAGTTTCAAAGAAAATCTTCCAATTGTGTAAAATGTCTACCTGCTGAATTCATGTTGTTCACAGTCACTCCCTACTTCTCCAACCTTGAGAATGGATCATATTTTACAATAAGAGAGCTCCTTTCCAACAATCCATAGCAACCCCAAAACATACAAACAATTGAGGCCCAGAGGTGAACTCCTTCTTTCCATACCATCCCACCCACCCCCCCCCCCCCCGCATTAAAAATGTTTATGAAATTATCAATCTTGTCTTACAAAATTTATAGCCTCCCTCAGAGAAGTTGTTTGATCTTTATTAACACCCAACATCCTCTATCTTTTTAACAAAATGAGTTACATGACAAAAAACCATATTTTCAAACACAACCGTTTTTCAAATTGCGGTGCGAATCTTGACTGAAACTAAGTGAACAATACCTGGATGAAAGAGGTGAAACCCTTGAGAGGAAACATTGCAAAAGTCATAACCCCTATCTGTTGGATAAATTGGCAATAATTCCTGAAACGGTATGCTGGCTCCATAGAAGACTGATTAGTCACCTTTCTGGAGAAGTTCGAATAGTTGATCCTATCAAGCCGATCTTTCAGGAATAACCGGCTTGATATGCAAAAATCACAGTGGGTAAAAGCTCCACCACGTTCAGCAGTACGAGGATTAGAAAACAGGTTTACGCGTTTAGAATTTAAATTTATTACAAGAATTATTTCTTAACTCAGTATACACAGAACTGACGAGTTTTTCGTTCTTCTCGTGTTCCATTTAACGTGTGTGAAACTAGTCTAAGATGCTTCCTGAATAATCAAATATCTGGGTCACAAATGCACGGAAGTTAAAATTGCCAACTGCACTATGTACAAGTACGGCAAACGGACTCTAACAACAAACAAATTACGGTGGACATCGAGTTGTGCTAGTGGCTCGAAGAATCAGTTTAAACGATGGTGATAAACAGTGGAAAATGTTGCTGCTATCTGCCATTCAACGTTAAAAAAACGTCAGTTGAAATTGCTTTGTTCTCAAAGAATCGAAAGTAATTTGCTTCCGGCATAAGGCATTACAATAAACTAAA